GGCAATTTTTTAGATTACTCATATGGTTGCCACTTGTCAATTAGTAACTCCAAAAATTTTTTTTTTCTTGGAGATCTTCATTTTTTTTTCTTTTTTTATTTTGGGCACATGAGATCTACCATGTAGATCAAAAAATGACTTCAAATATGAAGTTTTTGTCATTTGTAATCGAATTGGTTTTGCCCCCGTGAAAGTATATAAATAATTTGGGCTCCCATCTCAAAACCAATTGACAATGAGTGGGGTGGCCTTTGGCACTTATATACAAAGTCACTTCTTTTCAGAGTAGTAATGTAGGACAAATATTACACTTTAACACCCTCCTCAAGTCCAATGGGTCTTTAAACTTTTTGCGCAATAGACATGGATCAGGACAAGAACAGAATAGTCCACGAGTCAACGCTCAAGTGGGAGAAAGCCAGTTATACCGCTGGATTGGTCCACAACAAGCCCACGAGTCAACACTCAAGCGGGAGAAAAGCTAGTTATACCGCTAGATTGGTCCACAACAAGCCCACAAGTCAACACTCAAGCTAGAGAAAAGCCAGGTATACCGCTGGATCGGTCCACAACAAGTCCACGGTATCTTCACAAAAATTATCATGGAAAGACTGAAAAACCTTTTGCCAAAACTGATATCGGACGAGCAATCGGCGTTTTTGGCGGGGCGAGACATTACAAATAACATCTTGTTAACTCAAGATTTGTGCCAATTTCTGAATAAAAAGGCTGTAGGGGATAATATGATTCTGAAAGTGGATATGATGAAGGCATTCGATCGGGTATCCTAGTCTTTTCTGGCTAGGGTTCTGCAAGCTATTGGCTTTTCGCAGCACTTTATTGCATTAATCTTGAACAATCTGAAGGGGAGCTGGTTTTCATTTTGGATCAATGGAGCTCTGGCCGGATTTTTCCAAGAAACAAAGGATATAAAACAAGGTGATCCACTCTCTCCATACTTATTTATACTTGTTTCTGAGGATGACCTTCGGCACTCTGGTCATCTCGCCACTTTTGGTGCGCCGGCAGGGTCTCAAGTTGTCTCTCATTTGAGCTTTGCTGATGATTTGATTATCTTTACTAAGGGCCTAGAACGATCTCTCCACACCTTAAACGATTTCTTCAAAATTTATGAGAAAGCTTCGGGGCAGAAAATCAATAGGCATAAAAGTATTTTCCTTGTCTCAAATAAATGTAGAGCTAGTTGGATTGAGGGATTTAAGCGGCTTTTGGACATTCCTAAAGGTTCTTTTCCCTTTCTCTACCTGGGCTGCCGAATATATGTTGGTTGCAGAAAGGCTTCGACTTTTCAGTTTTTGCTAGATGCAATTGATCAGCAGATTAGAAGCTGGAAAAATAAATTTTTAAACCTGGCTGGGAGATTACTTCTAATAAAGCATGTCTTGAGTGCTATCCCGATCCATGTATTTGCGGCAATACCTCCACCAAAGTCGGTTCTAAGGGGAATTGAGAAACGCTGTCAAAACTTTCTTTGGGGAGAATCAGAAGGAAAACATAAGAGGCATTGGAGGACATGGAATGGTCTTATCTATCCGGCTGTCGAAAATGGAGTTGGTCTGCATGGTTTTGAAGAAGTCATTACGGCCTTTTCCGCCAAGCTGTGGTGGAAAATCAATCAGAAAGCTGGTCCTTGGAGTCGGTTTTTGCTTTCTTTGTCGGCAACCGCGCGTAGGAAAACTTCATGGAAACGGATCAAAAAATTCATCTTCTTGCTAGCTCCCTCACCAAGATTATAATCCGCGGTGGCAATAGTTCTTTCTGGCACACTAATTGGTCGCATTTGGGCGTTCTTTGGGGTGACATGACTTTGAAAACCTCCTCGGCCAAGCCTCTCTGTTAGGCAGTTTTTTGATAGAAAATATCGTTTGATGGAGGAATTCTCCAGTGTATTGCAAGCTGAGTTGGCTGCGGCCTTAAATGCGATGGAGGTGGATTTTGAAGAGGGTTCGGATATCCTTGTTTGGACGCCGGAACTGACAGGAGTTTTCACGGTCAAATCAGCTTATGAACACTTGAGAAAGAAACGAACAGTTGAACCATTCTTGAAGAATATTTGGCACACACGGATTCCTTTGCGAATCTCATAGTTTATGTGGAAGTTGCGTAAAATGCTTGTTCCCTTCCCAGAAGTTTTGCGGAAGCTTGGGTTACAGGTTCACTCCTCAGTTTGTCCACTATGTCAGCAACATGACGATTGTGTTTAGAGCTATGTTTCAATTTGCTCTTTTTCCCGGCAAGTGTGGAATTTCTTCGTTATGCTTTTTGAAGTTGACTTGCGCAACATATATACTTTGGATGGAATTTTGTGTACCTGGTGGGCACAAGGAAGTTTCACAACTACTCTAAAATCTCTAAAGATGTTAATTCCATGCCTCATAATTTGGAAATTATGGAAAAGTCGGAACAAAGCTTTTGTATGAAGGGACTGTGGATTCTTATGCAAATGTGATTCATAGATTATCTTCGAATATTTCTGACTTTTTGATAACTCATTCTTTGCCGTGTAATTATGTTTCGGGGTTGACCTTTCTAGAGCAGCACTTTCATGATCGGTCTGGTAGGGTTAAGAGGCGTTTATTCACTCCAGTTTGCTGGACACCTCCGAATTCAAATGGTTATGTTTTGAACATAGATGGCTCTTCTCGTCATCAGGAATCTGGTTATGGGTTTGTTATCAGAGGTGGAGATGGAGTTTTCGTTTATGGGGAGCTAGGGTTTTTAGGAGATTGTGATAGCATGGAAGCTGAAATAGCAATGAGAAAGACCAAAGATGATATCTCCATTAATATAAATTTTAAGAAAAAAACAAAGATCAATAGAGTCATATTTTACTATTAATTCTTAAATTTTGTTTAGATAGTAAGTATTAATTTATGAAATTGTGGGGGCCTATATTATATTAGGGTTTCTTAAAAAATTATTATTTAATAAATTAATCGAGTTTGTTGATTTTTTGTACTGGTCCCGAGTTGGGACCAGAAAAATTTTTTATTTAAAGGAGGTTATTAATTTATTGAGAATTAATTTAGAGAAGTTTGACTGTATTATCAAATCAACAACATTTTTTTTCTTCGTTTTGGGACAAGAAATATTAGCAATTAAATTCACGTACATTACACATTTTCTGAAGTATACGTTTAATTTCTGTCATAATCAAGATATTTGTTGTGCAACATTGTTGACTTATCAGTGGGATGGTAGTATAACATAGCTTCCCTTTCAAATGGAATAATTGGGTTCAATCGTGGCTTCGACATTCACAATAATTCCACTAATTACTTGATTATAAACATAAGAAAGATCCCCGAAACTAATTTCCCTGCGACGGCCGTCAATAATCCTAATCTCCCTCGCCAAATTACTTGCCACCACGGCAACCTTTTTCTCGCAAGGCCAAAGGCCTGCCGCCAGCAGCTGATTGTTCCATCATGTTGTTTATCTGATAAATTTGAGTTATTATTCTTTGGGAAAACCTTAGACCCAACAGGGATCCGACCCCGTTGAAATAGAAAGTACAATAGAACGTCAATAAATTAATAATCAATAAAATAATAACTTATAACAATTAATAATTTTTTCCGATCCCAACTTGAGACCAGTAAAAAAAGTGATAAAAATCGATAAAATGATAATATTTTAGAAAATCACTTATATATCTATAGGTCCCAATAATATCACAAATTAATAAATACCCCAACAACAAAAAATAATACTAATTAATATAAATATGTAGTAAAATATGAACTATTAATACTTATTTTTAAGGCCCTAGAGATGATATGAACTATGTATAAATTTTTAGTGTTCGGAATAATTTTAATGCTTGATTGATTCGGATGTAAAGATAACTGCAAATAAGTACTTTAGTGACAATTCTTTTTTTCTCATGCAAATTCTTTAAATCAATAATTTATTAATTTTGATTATTTAATAATTCGCTAAATTAATAAATTTTAGTGGTTCCAATACTATTAATTTATAGAAGTTCTACCGTAAATTGTTTTAGAAAAAAAACAGAAGAAGAAAAGTAAAAGAAGAGGAAAAAAAAAAAAGAAGAAGAAGAAGAAGAAAACACTGCTTATGCACGTCAAACATGCGAGCCCGTTTCAGTTTGACACCTGGGTAGAATTTATCCATTTGCAGTTCTTTGGAAACGAAAAATGTTTATGCAAATTGCACAGCATACAGCTCAAAAGACAATTCTACTAAGCGATAGACCTTGAGATAGATCAGATGCAACATTCCGACCATTTTACAGAATAACTAAACGATTAACAATACTCAAATCCACGACACCCTTAAATTTACAAAGTGACACCTTTACACATATCAACATTCCTGTCAATGAACCGAGCACTCCGCGAGCAGCTTGCGAATAGTTTAATTAAAGCTTGGCTTCAATTCGATTTTGACCGAATTCGAGCCGAATTCGAACAACTTGATTAAATAGACAAGTCGAACACGATTATCAAAATGTTTGATTCGAGAGCTTGTGAAACCTATTCGAACTTATTATAAATTATTTTATTTTTATTATGAATAATATTTAATTCATAAACACTTTTTTTATTCATTAAAAATTATTGTCCTTTATATTTTGAAAATGTAATAATGGGATATAAATATTTTTTAAGATTTGTCAAAGAATTTTACTCATAGAACACATAGATTGAACGTGTTAAATTAGAAATGATAAATATTAAAATTTATTCGAGCTCAATATATTGAACATTCAAACTAAATTTTTATCGGACACAAACTCAAGCCAATCGAGCCGAGCGCGAACTATTCGTTTTTATTTCGAGCTAAACTCGAACTTCAATTTAGATGTTCGACCAAGTTCAAACTCGAATACGAGCTCCAAATTTTTTGTCGAGAGCATTATAGTTTAATACAAGTGATGTTACAATTCACTTCCTTGAAGCCATTTCATTCGAAGAATTTAGACAATCATTATGCAAGACAAATGATGCAAGAATGAGGGCATAAAAAAAGTAGTCTACTGGAGCAGTATAAGAGAGTCCATGGTACTATTAACAGAAGAACGGTCCAGGAGCTACACTGATCCCAAGTTGAATAAAATTACGCCACTGTACTATATACAACAACAGGGATGCATAGACTTTCTATTTTTTCAGAATTACTTGATATTTCCACACAAAATATCAAAAGATTGTATATAGATTCACATCTCGCTCAACGTATCTATCAATAAATAGAATAAACTATCTTACATGCAAAGAACCTGGAAGCAACCTCCTTTCTCTGCCTAATTTTCCAAAACTGTGAAATATCCACGGTTGACTGATAAATGACTGGAGATTCAGACTCAGACTACAAACCTATCATTAATAATATTAGCCCGAATTCCTAAGACCGAAATCTCACACCAAACAGTTATAGAGTAAACGCCGGTTGCATCTGGATGTAGCTGTAGCTCAAAAAGATGGCAAAAAAGTAGTTGGCAAGCAAGACCAAAGGTGCAAATTCGAAAAAATAATAACACTGTGAGGCACCTAAACCTCTATCCTTAACCGGCGCAGTTCAGCCAAGAAGGTTGGACTAGAAGTCAAGGTCCGACAAGCAAGAGCCCTAATGTCATCACGGGAGCAGTCACGCGAGATGCGTACTAGCTCCCACAAGGCTCCTCCGGTGATCAAGTCTTTTGCATTAATCTCTGAGATAAAATTGCAAAAACTAATTAACTTCAAACAGAATATGCATTCAGTTTTTGATTCAAACATGTAGTCTTACCATGTTGTGCCAAGTGACATAGGGCAAGTTCAACATGACGTCTGATTAGTGATGCTTCGTTGTTAGCATTCTGCACAATCCATGGCAGTGCACCATCCTCTATTAAAAGAGAACGTCCATGTTTTGAACCTAAGTAGGGAACAGCACCAGGAATGGGTTAATTTCGTCAAAAAAAAAACAAGGTCAACCCCTGATATGTATACATATAAAAGGAGGAATTTCAACAAGAATGCACGCATTGCAAATCCATCACTTTGTAGTGCACCACAAAATAATGATTTACGACAAGTTCAATGGTGAAGACATACCCTGAGTAGCAGCTCTTGATTCACACTTAGCAAAATTTGCAATCCCTCGTGCAACTTGAGATAAAACATCAGGATGACGACTTCTCACCATCCCCAAAAGAGCTTTGATTCCCCCCTCAGACCTCAACCTCGTTTGTAACTTATCTGACATGGTCATTGACAATAAAATCATAAGTTCGATACAAAGATGTGATGCAAAGTTTAGTATAAATAGGTGATAGATGCAACAGAAGCAAATAAATACCATTTCCACACAGATTAGCAATTGCGCCAGCAACCATACGTAATGTCTGTGGATCCTCTGCATCAGATGCTGTCATCGCCAACAGACCAATTCCACCTTGAGCCATTATGAGCTCCTGGTTGAATTCTGTGTACACAAGAAAACAGCACATCACAACAGTTTCAAAAGGCACTTCATCCATAAAAATAATCCAACAGTTTCAAATTGAACATCAAAAAGAAGCAAAAGTAATATTCAACTTCACCAGTGGTAATGTTAAGACTGGTGGGAAAGAAAGGACAAAGAGATTAATGCTCACCATTCATTGCTAGATTAGCGACGGCACCAGCAGCTATTCTGCGAATAGTTTCATCTTCATAACTTCTAAGGAGCATTAGCAAAGAAGAGAGACCACCGGCCTCCACTATCTTTTCTTGATTTGCTTCTGCAGAATAATTAGACATAAGCTCGGTTATTGAAAGGAGTTGAAAGACATCTGAAATCTACATTTGCAATTTAGAAACCCTTAGCAACTATGTTGCTTAGAATACCAAATAAAGGCAAAAACAAATCAAGGTGAATAAAACCAAAAAACAGGTGTCCAGTATCCTTATACTTATTATAGCATATGAAACTCAATAAATTCCTTCTTTATGATGTTCCAGTTATAATCATAATCGAATAAACCTGAACTTTATAACAAATATTCTGATATCAAAAATGATAGTCAGACTTTTAAAAATTTCTTTAAGAAAATCAGCTTGAAACCATGACATTTCGTTCTCAACTCTTATCCTGGTTGCATTCTATCCACAATTATATCCCCTTGATTGTTCATAAAAGCTTTGTCTGAAGATCTGGTGGATGTTAGATAGTAGTAGAATAGAGACAGCATGCATAAGTAAGAAACAAAAGGGGATCCAAGTGTAAGTTACCTTCAGCGGCAAGGTTGGCCACCACTTTTACAGCATGAATACGCACATTGGGATCATCAGATTCCAGCAATGACAGTATCTTGTGCAACCCAACTATGAAGTTGTAAGATCAGTTGAGTTACATTGTAGGAATTCTCATTTAGGGATGGAAAATACAATATAGATGTTGACTTAGCATTATGGCAGTACCTTTTTCATGGAGATTGGAAATGGATGGCCTCTCTCCATCATTTCCGTCTCCCAACTGCAGATGTCTCAGAGAAGATGTGGTATCTAAACCTGTGAAGCCATTTCCAACTCTGCTTCTATCTATACAGCTGCTAGCCTGATATCATATTAGCTTCATGGTGTGAGATAAATTAGAAATCAAAGCAGGATCGTCATTTTAATCCTATTGTATTTGTTTCCGAATTTCCCATAATTTCTACACAGAAATGGAAAATATTTTAACCTCCAAGTCAAAAGATTATTTTAGCCTCTAGAACAACTCACCTGAGTAGCTTCCATAGTCAACCGCGACAATTGACTACGCAGTGTCATCACTTCCTCTTCAAGTTTCTTCTTTTGTTGGCTCTCCTCTTCCAGAACTTTCTCAAGGTTAAAAATATCGGGACCTCCACCTGCCAACTATATGGAATCAGTTAGTTTCAGATCCAAGGTCAATCTCATGATCGTCTTAAAGAACTAGAACCACCAAAAATAAGAGACAGTTCTTCTCTTCATTCAAGGTCATACCTCAGGATTCATAGAATTCAGCAGGCGACCTTTAAGTTTATTCATTTCAGCTTCAGCAGCCTTCCGTTGATTCATTTCATTCTGAAGCAACCTTTTTAATTCAGAGACTTCCTCACTGCTGGTGGGTACATCATCCTAAAAATTTATACTAACTATCAGAAAAGAAATTAAAGACTAGTTGATGATTTTCTATCATTTCTCATTAAAAAAAAAAAACAGTACGGAAGTTTAAATAGGACGGATAGCTTCTCACGACAGTTGTGTCAAAAAATAAAGAGAGTGCATGTTTTCATGCCAGTTGTGTCATGAATAAGGTAGGTGCTTCTTCTCATACAGTTCTGTTCTATAAATGTAAGTATGTAGCTGTTTTTGTTATATATCTCTATTTTCTCTTGTTTATGCTCATAAATCTATCAAAAGAACAAAACAAATGCATGGCACAAAAACCAACCCAAAAAATCACTTATGACAATCTCTCATTGCTACAGGAAATAGTATAAGCACACATCTACCTATGTGGGAAGGAGAGAGAGATAGAGAGGCGGCAGAATAATTTAGTAAATCAGTACAATATCATTGTTTCTAACAGAAATGTTGTCTGACCAGCATCAGTGAACACATTGACCCATGACAACTGCTAGCGTTTACAGCTCACAGAGAAAAGGAAAAAAGTGAAATATCTAATGAAGAACTTCTGTACAGAAACTACCTGAGCAGCATGAGTACCACCAACCAAACCATTTTTGGGATGTTTTTGCTGATTGAGCATCCACTTCTCCTCAAGCTTTTTAATTGATTCCATGTAATCCATTTGGCATTTCATTTTCTCCTCCTTCAAAGGTTGACGAGACAAAAAATTAACTAGTAGATTTGACCAATGCAAAGAATATCCAGCAAACAACAGCACATAAAAGAATCTTAATAAATGAAGTTAGGCCCTTCATAGACCAAGGCAAACATAGCTGGTTGGATAGCAAAAGATACCACCAGCCGCCAAAGATACCTCCAAACAGAATTTGTAAGATGTAGATATGTTTTTGTTTAACAATGTTGACACATTCAATCTGCTTTAGGAGCAAGGATGGGTGAGAGTTATAGTTCCGCTTTTCTAATGCACTAATCATTAGTTTGCCGTTTCTAGAACCAACCACCTATATACCAGGTCGAATTCAAGGTGTAATGATAAGTGATAACAGTCACAAACGACTCATCCAAGAGAGAAATGTATGTACTTTGCCAGTAAGCTTAGAAGTAAGATGGACAAATATAGCGAGTTTAAGAATGTTAGTGAGTGACGAGTGCATATTATGTTGGTATTTTGTAGTCCACTCAAACATTAAGAACTCTTTCAACAAATTTGCATTCATATCCAAACAAGTGTATAAAAAAGAAAGCGGAACCTTTCTCAAGTTACTACAGAATCATAAGACAACATCCCCAGGAAAACAAAAATATAACTACCTTTAGAGCTTCTGCAAATTCTCTCTCAGTTTCAGAGATCCGCGTTTGCGCTTCTAACCTAATTCTTTCAACTTCGTCCTCATAAGCTTTCTGCTGTCTTTCGTTTTCAGCAACAAGTTTCTCAAGTTGTATTTCCAACCTCTTGGACAGACTTTTGTAATCAAATTCCTCTTTGATTTTCAACATGTTCTCCACCTTCATTGCCTGTTATAAAATAAAAATTAGAAAAAATTAAAAAAAAAAAAAAAGAAGAGGAAAATTGGCAAATGCACAGAGTAACCAGCAGGTCAGCATATGGGCTAATCTTCAACTTAACTTATAAACACAAAGCAAATGTACTAGAAAGCTCATGGTAATTGGTAAATAAATATTTTTTTCTGTAAAATGTAACAACTTTTAACATATTATATTCAGTAGACAGAAGTCAGAAAGCATATAACAGCAACCAACAGTGACTTACCCTTTGCCCAAATAAAACTGTGCTAGCTGTTTCTGCCCTATGGCGTGGAGATGGACCAATCGTTATGACTAAAGAAGTTCTTGATGTGCCTACGACATACAAGAATTTGAACTTTAGCGACAACACCAAACGGCAAGAATTGGTAATCAAGGCCTTCACATTAGAAAACAACATCTATATAATAAAGCAGACTAATTTGGAGAAGGAGATAGTTAAAGAAGGGGCAAAAGTAAGAGAAATGTCACGTGATATTCTTTTCCATCAGATCCATTCAATGAGATGGTTCAATCACATAGAAATACAAATACTTAGACATGATACTCACCTCCAAACGAATCTTTAAGCAACCGGGTAAGTTTTGAATCCCGAACAGGTACATGAGAACTATTTTCTGCCAGGGCATTTATGCACTTGCCTAATGCACTTAATGAGAGATTGATAGACTTTGCTTCTTCCAACATATGTCCTTCGCTACCTGCAAATCAGAGCACAAAATCTTTCAAGATAATAAACCCAGAAACATTTACTAAAACTCAACAATTACACGTCCACACACACAATAATAGTAAATGCATATTCATATGGAGATCATAGTGAGGTTGTCATTCAGATTGATATTTACATTATGTCTAGGGGTATAATTTTCAAACAAATACAAATAATCCAAAATCAAATTGGTCGAAGCAAAAATTTAGGACTTTTTTTTTAACAACATTGAGAGTGAAATATGGTGGATATAAGTTACAAGTTTTTCTTCAGAGTTTTATATCCTTGCTGCTTGATATAAGTACAGAAAACCTCTTGAACTTAGCTAAAGGGAAAGTGATGTACTTTCAATACAATATATAAACAGCCCATCTTGAAAGAGATACTGCAAAACCGCAATCAAATAATAATTTAAGTAGGCACATGAAGTAAGAAAATCACGAGTAAGGTGCGTGACTTGTAGAATTTTAGACACACCTGACTTGTGGATCCTCTCAGAACCAGCAAGATCTACAACAACTAGTTTTCCTTTCCGAAGCATAGGTGACTTAAAATTGTTTGTCGAGCTAGAACCATTATTTTCCAAAGCAAAGTCAGTTTCTCTTCCACCAACAGACCTCCTGACTTGAACCTACATAAGCAGCCATAAAAATTTGCAGATGAACATAAGGAAATAGAAAGAAAGGAAAAAGAGAAAGGCCAGTTTGAATGCATACCATGAGAATAGCATGACTGCGAGAAGATTCAGTATTCAACTTTGTGTTAGCGGCAAACCTTTGACTCTCTCCTATTCGTAAAAGTTCCACAAAACTTTGTTGATCTCGAATTTCCACAACAGTTGCCCCGGGTAAAGAAACATCACCAGTTTTTTGATCTTCAACAATTGCTATATTATCGTTTGATGGGTTTAGAAGATCCTGGATGGTTTCCATATAAAGCTGCAAATACAAGGTATGTAAAACAGTATTAGGAAGTTTTACTGAGAAGTCTTAAATGATGTACCCAAATAGGAGGAAATATATCAACAATGATACAACAAGCATGTAACATTATATGAACAGCACTAACCTGCAAGTAAGAGACAGAGATCGTATCAGTGTCATGAGAGATATTTGAAAAAATATCTTCAAGTGACCGAACCATAATACCACGGGCAGAAGTATCTTCATCGCCTAGTCTTCCAAGAGTATATGTCTTTCCAGTACCTGTTTGCCCATAGGCCATCACTGTGCCATTGTAACCCTCAAGAACACTCTAAAGCCATGAGAAACGAAAGAAGAGAATAGAGAATTAGGATGTTACCCATTAAATAGGAAGAATAATAATACATATCATACAAATTAGATTAGCCAAGTATTCTCTGAACTTCAATCAATCAGCAAATTCTTAATTTTATACCATCACCATGTGTGTTAAAAATCATTTAGAAACATTGCATCGACATTAATTACGTCATCTGCAGTCTAACCACAAAATTGATCTCCAAACCACCTCTAAGACACTAATCCTTCTTGTCTGCTCCCAAATGGCCCTTTTCTGTTTGCATATTTGAAGGTTTAGCAACCTTTTGGAGGACATGATTCACATTTTCAAACAAGACATAAATCCAAGAGATGAAAGATCAAGACTGATTTGAAAAAAGGTAATTGTCCATAGGAGTTGTGACTGGGAAAAATTATTTTCCCCATTTTGACACCTATTACTGCTGAACGAAGAGCTCCTAAGAAGAAATTTCAAGCATCTGGAAGAGATTGCACATGAAAATTTTCTTTCACCCACTTTGACACCTAGGGCCACTAAACGTACAACTTTTGAGTTAAACTGGAAAGATGCATCACTCCTAAATCATCTGCTGCAGATGAAAGAAAAGAATGAGTGAATGAGCAATATTAGAAAAACTCCACACACCTCCACAACGGGTTTGGCAACAACTTCATACACACGTTTCTGCGATGCATATTCGGTAAGCACCTCATCGAATTCATAGGTATCGGAGTCCCAATTGTTCTTCCGAAGCTTCAATCTTTTAAGCTGGTAGATAAAACAATTATCATAATGTCAGTATGATCAGTCCATAACTCGATGACAGGCCAGATAAGTAACATTCTTTCCAATCTAGTGGAATTTTTCCATATACCTCTGGTTGCAGTTCCACGCAATCGGCAAAGTCTGCATCAGATTCCAACTCTTCAGCATTTCGAGGTCGCAATCGTACAGCAACTCTTACTCTTGCGGACACTACATACAGAGAGAAAGAGAGAGAGAGAGAGGAAAAAAAGGGAGAAAGTAATAAATACTATATATCCGTTAACGTTCTACAATAGGCGGTGAGAAACAAAAACAGTAAACAAATTTAAACGGGGGAAAATATAAGGAACCCAAAAGACAATGAAGGGCAACGGGGCATCATGATCCACAGAAATCTCCCCCTTGCTCCTAAGATACTTTACTAGTTATCCAATCATGTTCTACAACTTAAGGGACGGATAACAGACAGGTCAAATCGGGGAACATATATCACAACCCGAAAGACAATGAAGGGCAATGGAGCATTATGATCCACAGAAAAATTCCCCCTTGCTCCTAAGATAGTTTAAAGCTTGCCACAGTAACAAAAAACCCTACAGGCTGACATTTTTTTCCCTTCGGACCCAATTAATTCGAACAGTAGGTTCCTGATGCTGCTTGTCTTCTTAAAAAGATCCTAAAAAGGCCAACCAAAACAACCCCCAAAACATTCCCAACTACAGCACCAATTTCTGCAACTACATTGTAAAATCAACTTATCAACACCTATGCTCGGGAGAGATTTATTCCTAAGATCCCTTTATTCAAGCAAACTCATGATAAAACCCCCGACTTTACTGATTCAATTAACAGAAAAAATTTACTTTCCACTTCAAATTTAAGTTAGCAACCACGATCCCACCTCATTCTCAGTACACAAACAATCAAAGTCGAGTGGCGGCTGTTGGAAGTAAAGTAACAACTAAGAAAGCAGAAAGGGGAGGGAACTCACCGGCGTCAGCTCCGGCGAGCGAAGCAGGACTGCTGCGGCGGAGATGGGAGGAGGATGACGGCGTAGGCTTGGATTTAAAGGAAGAAGACGGCCTAAGATTGGGTCCCCTTTGAATGCCATTTCTACCTGAAGCCATCACCAAACCCGCATTCGCTCGCTACTCTTTGTTTTTTTCTCTCTGTAAATGCTTATATACAGCAACAACAACAACAACACACACTCACACACTAATCCGTTTTCACTGTTTTTTTTTTTGTCCAAATATGAATTAGTAAGATTTCTTGGCGAACTGGACAAGAAGCAGAGAAGTGTATTAAATTACTAATTATTATAGGAATCAATTAATGAATTTTGAAGGTCATTTTGAAGTTTCAAAAAATGAGGGGAAATGTCCATTGGTGCCTGACGCAGGTGGGGCCCAGAAAACGGCGCTTTTTAGCGGAGAGTGGAAGGAAAAAGGGTGGGGACAACCCCCGGCGGGACAGGGATAGATGAAATATTGAAATGGAAATTCGGAAGGTAATTCTGATAGACAAAAAGACCAAACTGCCCACAGTAGTGTAAAGAGTAAAGACCGCCTTAATTTTGAAAGGACCGCCTGACCGTCCTTGTGAGAAAATTAAATAAACGGCGCCCGATGTTTTAGGGTAGTAAGAAAATGACCAAAAATTGTCATCTATCTATAGTATATTATATTAAGAGAGAAAACAAAAAAAAATTCTAAAAGTGTTACATAAGATAAAATCCTATGTGTCATTTTTCTAATGGTTGAATCAAAAAATATTTACAACAAATATACTAATAGTCCTTCAAATTTTATGTAAATAAAGTTTTAGCAAATGGCATTTAAAACTATAGTTTAAAATAGGAAAATAAAAATTAATTAAATTTAATGGCCGGGATTAATGAACATTAATGCACCAGAATTATTCCTTCCCCAAAAGAATCCCCAAAGTTACTACTAGACTCATTTAATTAATTTATTTTTAAAAAAAATCTCTCTCCCAATCATGTAAATTAATAGACTATAATTCAAAAAAAAAAAACCAATCATTCAACATTAATGTTATCTTTAAAATCTTTTCCCAAAAACAGGACCATATATTTTTCACCAATTAAAAAGAAAAAAAGGTACAAAACTTGCCTTCAATAATTACTAAAAGGGTGGGATTTAACTATAATTAAATGTTATCTTTTGAATTTCAAACCAATGCATTTATTTGTGTAATATTATATTTACCCAAATAAATATAATCTTTTCTTAATAATATCTCAAAAGTTGTTATAAACTTTATCTTTATCACTGAAATTTTGGATAATCAATTATCATCAATCCCAATTTATCTCTATTTATTTCCACTTTTGGATAGTAAAATATACTCCAAAACACCTACATTACTGATGGATTATAAATAAAAATAGTAAAATTTATTTTACATTTTTTATATTTTTTTTATAAATTTTTTATAATGTATATAAATAAATCTCGCGCATCGCGCGGGTTTAACATCTAGTTTGATAATACTCTTTCCTTTGAGTATTATCAAAAATTGTCATTACGTTCACGTGTTAAAATCCACTTCCAAAAAATTAATGATCTTTTGATAATACTCTTTCCTTTCACAAAATATGATCCACATTATAAATTTTAAACTAAAATAAGAATTGTATAATTTACTGTTTAGAAAGTAGATTTTTTTTGTTGTCAATTGAACAGAACTACTTCAACATTTTAAATAGGAAGATTGACCTTAAATAATTTGGAAGAGGGAAGAATGTTATATTAGATGTTTATTCTTAAAAAATGAGGAATCTACTAAATTTTGTGAAAAAAATAACAAAATTAGTTTAATTAAACATATTTAAAGAGTGTTTATGTACGTAAGAGCGGAAAGTGTAATAGAAGAATGTCACAGAAAATATAATCCCGAATAATAAATACTATAAAAATTATTTAATAAAAATATAAACAATGCGTTTAACACTTACAAAAGTACACATTGTTCATGGGATTTCAGCTTGCAAGGATACTTTGTTACAACATTGCTAGGAAATCAAATGCTATAAATGCTAAACCCTAATTTTTTTTTTATCTGCCATTATAATTTACTTACTTCATAATGACATTGTTCCTTAAAAAAAAAAATACCGGGCCATTGGTCAACTTGACGAGGGGCAGATTTGGTTAATGACAAAAAATACGCACACAAACGGAGTTAAGAAATAGACGGAAACGGTGTGGGTTACATTAGGCCCTTTTTGCTTTGACAGTAGTTTCTTAAAAGAAGTGTGGTCGTAGAGAGAATTTAGGCAACCGAAGTCCGTCAGTCAGTGTACTAAAAAAGAAAAGAAAGGTTAATGTGGGCTCAGACGTGGGATAATCAAAAACTGCCGTTAGAACGTGGAGTGTTTTTATCCCACGAAATGGGCTCTCCAATTTGGGCGGTTGATCTGCTCCAACAAAATGCTGTGCTGCTGGGCTGCACCATCCCCCCCGTTGGTTGTTGGTTTGTTTTATTCCGAGCAAAAACAGTACCATTGCATGGGTTGCACCTCAATGAGGTTTCATATTTTGTTCTGAATCTCTTGAATGGATAGGGAGAAGAACAAAGATCATATTATTATTTGTTAATGAAAGTACCTTATACTAATCCTGAAAAGATGAATGGAAAAAATAAATTATAATTAAAACAAATGATACTACTTGTTAATTCATAATACTCTATCCGTCCCATAATTATTGTTCAGTTTAAGTTTCATTTCTAGTTCATATTGTATTAAAAATGAAATCTCAATCTGGACAATAATTTTGGGACAGTAGTATAATGGTATGTTTTGTTGCTATATCTGTGGATTATTACAGATGTTGTGAAACTGAGAGATCAGGTTTTGGTTCTCCTGGAGAAGGATCATAGCTTTCCTCCGAAGTTTTTCATTCTCTTCAACCATGATTCTGTTCATTAGGTACAGTTTCATGTTCTTGATTTCCAATTTCTTCTTCATCAACTTCCTACCTCTGCACTTCTCTTTCGCTTCCTTCAACATCTTCGAGCTCCTGTTTCATTCAATTCGAACATGGGGATAAATATATGTCCCATCATAAAGCAAATCCCGAGATCCAAACAAAATTTAACCGACAAGACTCTTATTTTAAGACGGATAACTTGTGACAACTTACCTAGTGAGCCTGTGATCATGAACAACCTTCAAATTCGTTGTTTTCAAACTCATAATGGATGTCAATGTGAATCAAAGCACTGAATCGGATATTCTTGATCAGCAAAAAAGGAAAAAAAAATTGGAAACGGGAGGAAAAGATATATATCCAATTGATTCAAGTAGGATATGATAGAGGAATTTTGCTGAATGGAAGACTGATGAGTGTGATATATATAGAGGGGAAGAGTTCTTGGCATTGTAATATGAACGTGTTTATGCATGAATGATGAGTCTAGGAAGAAGATAAGAAGGGAAGGATTCAAAATCAAAAGAATTTATCAAAATAATGATGGGCAGTAGCATAGGACTCATGATTACATTTGCCAGCTGCAATTTAGCCAAACCATCGACCTTAAGAAGAAGAAAAATAGATAACTCCAAAATCGTTATCATGTGTTTTTTTATCGAAAAAAGTACAACAAATGTGACAATCTTTTTGGGACGGAGTTAGTAAAAAAAGAAATATAGAGAGTTAGGCCATTCAACGATGAAGAATGCCTGATGAGTCCAAACTCCTTAGGACAGTGAGCTAGCTGCTTAGGTAAGAAATGGGCACGCAGAAAACGACTTAACATGCAAATTGGAGGTTTCCTTTTTGACCTTTTCAGAACCATTCTCTCGTAGTTACCTGGACAATATGGTATTTGTGTCCTAAATTGGTATCATTGCATTCAGAGACTTTCAATAACGGTCATGATTATGACATTTTTTTTTTACCTTTCGGGAATTGCCATCATGATATGCTGCAAGTACAATGTATATTATGTCAATGGAGGCATCCAAAAGGTCTGGTCAAGAGTCCAAAAGGGCAAAAAGCAGGACACGGAATTACTTAGTATATACCATTTTTACTTTCACACGGTCAGCAACAGTGAAAACAATGTCGACAAAGTTTCCAAGAAACCTCACTTACAACTTTCTCATCATTACATTTGTCGAGTTTAGAGTTACAAAACCCACACCCATTTCCTTCAGTTTCTACAAATTTTCCATTTCAAATGGAATGAGCAGGAAATGAAGAAAAACAGCACTCTGAACCAAGCAATTTATAACTGCTAAACAGATGAAGTGAAATTTTATTCAAAAAGAAAAAAAGAATGCAGCCTCAAAGGCTTACTTAACTGTACCGTGATTCCATAACCAGTTTAAAGAACCCTACCATATTTACCTCATCTAAATGCAATTTAGAGGCAAGAACCTAGGTTACCATTTACTGTCCTACGCAACCCTAACTGAGAAAAGCTGGAAACTTTGCATCAATAGTGTGATGCTTCTATTCTTGATCTGAGTCTCCGCTGACATCAATATCATCTTCATCCATTGCATCATGAGATCCCAGATCCTCCTTTCCTCCATCACTGTCAATTGTCTCATCATCTGATTCACCATCAGTATTTACTTCGCTGCTACCACCACCATTACTACAGCTACCTTCTGTATCGGAGTCAGAGATATCTACTCTTTCGGCTACCTCTTTACTTTGACTTCTAACTGCGCAATTAGATTGGCCGTTCTTATATGGAACCTCAGAACCAGTCGTCTCCCCTAGCAGCTCCTGTTCTTCATTCCATTTGGTACCCACAAGCTTGGAAATAGGGGCAGTTTGACTTTCAGCTACGATACCATTGGCATCATGCAAAGCAACATGATCATCCTCATTGCCTTTGCTCTTTTGAGTGTCGTTCTCTCCATAGACGGAAGGAGCAGTACTATCAGCCCAGCTCCCGGGAACCTCTGAAGTCAAGAGATCCGCTGTTCTGATGCTGCCTCCAGGTTGTGTGTCCACAAGATAATGGAAATTCATATGATCCGACTCCTTACCGGGAACATGTTGATCCTGCACCATGTTTTGGCCGTTGGTCTCATCATCAAGTTCAATTGTGTCCGCCACTATTGCCCCACATTTATTTAAATCTATACCATTCAATCCAGCTACTTCAGTCTGGAAAATAGCTTCAGTTGCATGAAGGTCTCCTTCTAAAACCGGCGCTGTTTCCATACCATCAGTTTCATGATTTTTCTCAGTCCCAACAAGATCTTCCTCTATAATTGGTGCTGTCCCCAAACCATTAATGTCAGAACCAAAGCCACCCTGCACAGTGGGTCGAACACCGGTGAATTCTACCTCCTGAGTATCTTCATCATTGCCGTGAATTTTCATATTGCAGTCATGCTTCTCAGTGACACTTGCTTCATCACTTGATGAACTTACATGGACTCTGCCATTACTTCGGGTGGACGTACTGGAAAAAGCCTTAGCAGCATCGAAGAAATGATTATTGATACCCTTCTCTGTACCAAGTAATTCTTTTATGTTTCCATTTGGAAGATTCAAGTCGAAATCTAATGATGTAGTTTGATAATTTTCTTCATCCTCTAATGTCCTCTGCATGGCCTTTAGCTGCTCCTGCTGTTTGGCAAACAAAACTTGGATTTCCTCTGTTGTAGAATAAAAAGACCGGAGTTGGGTTTCCCTGCATCCAAACATCATAATTTAAGGGACGTGTATGAAATAACTTCTCTGATATTGGTTTATGAAATAATTTGGACATGGTTAAATAAACATCACATCAGATATTTTAGTCTTACCGAAGCATGATTCGCTCTCTGGCACCTTTTAATCTACGTCTTTCAAAGTCTAAATCTCGCATAGCGGCATTTATCTCAAGTTCGAGAGCAGAAACCTTTGCCCATGCTTCCTCTCGAGCAGCCTGCTACCAACAGCAAGAAAAATCTCAGCTTGGGAAACAAAAAATCTTTAACGAAATAAAAAAAAGAAGAAAAGAAACCAAGAGAACCAGGTTTCTTTTCCACAAAGGAGAAACCCCTTGTGTTTGTTCATGTATAAAAATTGTAAGAAAAAATTTGATATCTAATCAAACGATTAGTTTCGTACCATTTAGATGAAACAGAAAAATTCGGATTGCTAACTCCTACCTTTTCACTTTCAAGTTCTTTCTTCAATCTCTTGTTATCAAGCTCAAGTTCATCCTTTTTCTGCACATAAACCAGGGGCCAAGCACAAAACAATGTTTAGCTATTCAAGATGAGTTCCATTGAGCAGATCTATGTGGGTGGCTAAGGGTAATCATACCTTTGTAATAGTAGCAGAAGCTGATTGCTCCTCACGAACCTGAGCTTCTAGTTGACGAACTTTATTCTCAGAGACAACCAGCTTTTCCCTGGTGTCTTCCTATAAAAAATCACAAAAAGAAGCAAAATAAAATAATGCACCATCAAGAAGAAGAAAAATCAGATTAGCATTACTGAATCACAGTAACCACTCCTAAAATGTAAAAAGAAACGTACCAGTTTGGATCTGAGAGTCTCAACCAAAGAGCACCTTTCTTTCTCTGATTCCTGATAATGTAATTAAGAAAAAGATGTTATTTTGACAAGAACATATGATTGCAGCAGAGAAACATAAAAGACAGAAATAATCATTTGCACCTGAAGTTTGTTAATCATTTCTTGCTGCTCCTTCTCACGCTTATCTGCAGCATCTGAAATTCTTTTCACTTCATCCTGTGCCTCAGCTTGGATCCTCTGAATTGAGGCTTTCAGATCTGCTGCAGCCTTTTCTCGTTCTTCCCTCCTCTGTTCATGCTCTTCGGCTAAAAGGGCTTTTAGTTCTGATATGGAAGCCTTTTGGCTGAAAAATAGGTAGCCAAGACAGCCAAAAAATTTTACTTATACCATTTCCATCATAGCCAAAGACATAGGTATTGCATAAGATTCACATCTTTTTAAGGAAAAAAAAAAGACAAAGAGGTGATATATAAGATTCATATCTTTTTTTTAAGAAAAGACAAATTGATCATTGATAAAAAGAGAAAGATGCCTCACCTAGTTATAACTTCATTAGCTTCAACACAAGACTGCAAAGATGCATTAAGTCTTTCATTCAGGTCATCCAGAGCATGCTTCTGTTCAGCAGAGATTTTGTTCAAATTCATCAGTTCCTTCTCTTTGGCTTCTGCCAACTGCTGTAGTTCCTTCAATTTTACAACATAACTTTCTGAAATTGACTCCTTCAAATCTTTCATCTCCTAGAAAGCCACAAAGTAATAAAATTTCAAATTTTTGTCTCTCAAACCGTTAGATCGTAACAATGTCACTAACATTAGCCATCAGGTCCACAATTCAACTAAATTTGCCAGTTGCTAAGCACCAAAAAGACAAACGCTCTTGCTTTCAAGCGCGATTGAGGAATATCTCCTACATTTGAATCTACACATCAAGTGGTTAAAGGGTAATAGTAGATTAACAACTCCCAGACAGTGGTGGTGAAAAGTCAATGATTTGTCACTGTGTATCTCATTACTCATAAGTTTCAAAAGTAATTCTTTTTAACCTACAAAAATGTGTGCAAAGCACAATTGTTGCTTTAACTTCTGGATATCATTTTTTGAACAAGCAAAATAGCATTTTTTGAACAAGCAAAATATAGACGAAGGTGAGAAAGAGCAAGGTTGCAAAGAAGAACATACAACTTCATGTCGCTCGATGGCAGCACGGTTTTCACTTCGCAAGGACTCAATTGTCAAAACGTGCTCTTCTAACATCTTCCTCAGCTCCTGCCATGCATGAGATTCCAATGAGAATGTGAAGGAAATAGCAAACTCCTGGATGACATCAATATAAAACAGCCTAGCTGAACCAAGTCAACCAACAATAATTGAAAACACAATACCGTGTTTGATCTTTGTAAGCTCTTGAAATCGTCAAGTGAGATTGGGCCTTCCGTGGCACCAATTCCAATTCCTTTTAGCTTCTTGCTCGCAGAAACAGGCTCCCCTATACAGAAAAACATTGCACCAATATCATGGTTTGTTACATTGTAGCAGTTCAATGCAGATAATTGTATATGAGCAACATTTCATCCTTCAAACAAAAACTTGTCTAAACAAGTGTAAGAGATAACGTTCAATCAAAAAGAAGTAAGCATGACAGTCTTTTAAAAAAGAGCGGAGCATCCATAGAACAGTATCAGATCAGCCTTCAGTGAAGTCTATTGTTTTCGAATTTCTTAGTCAATGTCTTCCCCTGTACTGAGTCGATATACAGGAATATACAATTTCCAAAGGAAGAAGTCATCAGTGATAGGAAAAATTTACATCATATTATTCCCCCCAAGAATGACATCATCCACGAGTGTAAAAAGTTTTCAGGGGCCACAGTGAAAAGTTACAACCAAAATGGATATTCCACCTTATTCTGAAATCAAATACCTGATTTTCTCTTCAAAGGTGAAGAATCACCATGGGACGAAGATCTTAGAACTTCTCGAAATACAAAAGCAAAGGCAGATCCTGCAATTTCAACCAGTGTTCAGTTGATGAAATCATAATGGAAATTTCGAATTATAAGTCAACAATACAGAAGTTCATGCTAAATACAATCACACCCACAACAATTTAATTTGATATTATACATCATCTCTGTTAGAAGGTTAATAAAAATGACTAAATTATTAGCTTTACCATGTTCAGGAGGAAATGCGACTGAGACAATGTCACCATGACAGAGCTTCACTTCAGGGCCACCTTTACTTAACTTTTCCCAGTTAACATATGTCCCATTTGTGCTGCAAAAATGGCAAACTTTCAGAAACTGTAAACAAGCGCATCTGATAAACTCCAAAGCTAACCAAGTGAAGCAACCTGGTGTCTTTTAAGAATACAGATGCAGAGCCATTGAATGAATTATCCTCATCGCTGCTAGCCCTCTTCTTATATATCTTGCAGTGATGTGCACTAACTGCTGGCGATATAATCTGGAAAGGTGCATCCTTGACTAATCGACCAATGCTATGTTCATTTGATACCAAAAGCATATTCATGCCCTGTCATTTGAAAACCGAAGTCAGATTACAGGTTCAACTCCAAAACTGTTGATAGCCAGAAAAAAAGGGCAAAAGACAACCAAAATAGCATCACAAAAAGCAGGACAGGTACAAACTGAAAAAACAAACTTGGTGATCATGCAATCATATGAAAATTTACGATCGCCATCCTGACCACTCACAAATGAAGATAGTGTATGGAACAGTAAGGAACAGTAAGAAGTCAAACACTCGGAAATCTACAATCAACTACTTTTCTTCTTTCTCCTGTAAAGACAACGTAATGCAATATGTCCCCTCAAATTCATCAAAGAACTCAATTTTTCGTAGAAAAATTTCACTACGACCTCAAGCCAAAAGAAATCACGATATTGCACAAATTAAAGTAAATCATCCCAAAAAGCTACCTAGCAAAAGGAAACATTAACAATCCCACAAATAACTTATCAAAATATTTTTAAAAAAAACAATTGGACAAACCCCAAGAATAACCCTCAATTATGCAGTAAAAACAACAGCAATGCGCTAAAATTCAAAACACTAATAATAACCTGGGAGCGCTTGCGGGCGGTGTCAGAAATAGCAGTAAGGACGCCCCAGACTTGAGGATCAGAGTTCTGAAGAGGCTGAGCCGCAATTTTAGAAGCCACAGAAAGTATAAAGTCCTTAGGAGTCTGGGGATTCTTGGTAGGGGTAGTAGAATCGCCATTGGCAACCTTAGCAGGAACAACGTTGTTGTTGTTGTTATCAACGGGATGTGAAGAACTGGACTGGGAATAAATTGTCAATGGAGATTTCTCCTTTTCAACATTGGGACTCGGCTTTGGGGTAATTGGGGTTTTCGGGGATTCATCTTCTTTCGCCATGATCGCAAAAAACTCTCAGAGAAGTGAGAAGGTTTATGGTAGTTGATAAAAATGGCGCAAAAATTAGAGTAGCCCTAATTCTCAGCCTATTTATATACTACTTTGAAGAGTTTGTTAAGACTTGAGAGAGCGTCTTGGAGAAGTTTCGCTTCCTTTAGGATTCTATTGCGAATAAAATAATCAGTGTTGTATATAGAGAGTGAAAGTGTTTGAGTGTGACAGAAATTGTAATTTTATACTTAGCCACGCCGTGATTTGATGACGGAATTATTTCTTTTTATTTTTATTTTTCATAATACATGACTAATTCTTTTAATCATTCGTAAAAATATTAATAAATTTTACATAAGTAAAAATATATAAAGTACTCCCTACGTCCCAAGATTATTGTCCAGGTTGGAGTTTCAGTTTTAGTACAAAAGTCTTGAACGCCTTTCAAGTTAAATCATTATCATGTTTTCAAAAATAAAAGTCCTTTATTTCAAAAGTACACAATGAATCAAACCACTTTTCACTGCGTAATTATCTTGCATAATTATCTAGTAACACAAATATCCGGAGATCAAGTGTTGTTCATTTTACCATTAACCATGAACAAAGTAAGAATTGGTGGAGTTGACAACAAAATCAAACGATCTATTGGGAATTTATCAATCATTTTCAATAAGAACCCCCCGCCCAAAAAAATGATGATAAAAGGAAGAAACTAAAGTGCCTCTGACAATAGTAATCGTGAAACAGGAGTTTTAAATCAAATGTCATCTGCAGTAGCATTTTAGCGGAGTTTTTCCATTTACTGTACTTTAATTTAAGCTTTAACACTCCTGTTACGTATGATTCGGTTAGCCAATGAATTCCGGCAGGGCAATCTCCTTCCCTTGAATTTCATCAAACGTAACGAGGACTAACAAGAATCTATAACTCTAATTGACCCACCCCAGACCATGAACCTAATAATCCCAGCAAACCCTCATCACCCAGCAAGCGGGTTGGCATGTATCGTCACACGGGTGATCCTGATCTCTGCATGAGGTCGGTCTAGATCTTCTGTTGTAGTCTGCACAAAGTTCAAACAGAAATTAAGAACAAACAAATACATCAATTAAAATCCCATCACGTTGGTGATTGCAAGCATCGCACAAACAGTTTTGGATGAATTAAAAATTATTACCTTTTCCATGAGATCAAGGACTTCAAATCCATGAATCACTTTGCCAAAGATTGTGTAGAGTCCGTTCAGATGAGGCAGCTTAGCGTAAGTTATAAAAAACTGGCTCCCATTAGTATTAGGACCACTGTTTGCCATTGATAATATTCCTCTAGAATTGTGCTGCATAAAATGTGATAAACAGAATGATTAAGAAACTAAGACTTGCAGAATCATTTTGATGTAAAATGTAGGTAACTGATGCTATATCCCAGTCTCTGCCACTAAATAAATTCCAACATCAGTTTGATGGTGTTCTTTGTAAAAATCTTGTAATTGGTAAGGGAAAAAGAAAATTAAAAAAAAATAAAAAACTGATTGCTCAACAAATGTCCATTTTCCAGCATTCCAAATCTTGTAACTAATCAGAATAGAGGAAAACACATATGAAAGGACATCAAATGAAACGATCCAAATTTATCAACAAAGCAGTGAGACCAAGAAGAAGGTGACATTATGGACTGAAACAAGGACACTGAGCAAAGGGTTCACATAAATCATTAACATTAAGAAAACCAGTCCTACTGACAGAATTAGATTCTTGAGAGCTTTGAGCCTCTGAGGTATCTAAATCAGGTAATAAAGCCAAGCCTTAAATGCTCTGTTCCAGCCTTCTAGGTTAGCAAATTGAGCACCTCAAAGATACTAGAACTGATCGTATCTTGTAACCATTAGAAACAATGAATAAAAGGTTCAAATTGGCTAACATCATCAGCAAGTAGCACGGAGATGTTTTTGCAATTTTAGTTTGCTCGACAGCACTATATAAGATGGCAAAACACAACAAACCAAAACGGCACTGATTCTTTCAGTGGTTACCTTAAGAGACTCTCTTATCTCATCGTTAAACTTTTTGCCCCAAATGCTCGTCCCTCCTTTGCCTGTACCAGTTGGATCACCACCTTGGATCATGAAAGTTTTTATATTCCTATGAAATATGGTTCCATCATAATAGCCACTTGCACATAATGCCAGAAAATTCTGCAAAGATAAAGATCAACTAAGTGAAATGTCCCGTATTGATAAAATAACAAAAAGGTTCTTAGGGTCTAAACCCCAGAAATTGACAAAGTAACTTCTGATTTCTGAGGTCGAATATTTGGGGATTAGAAGGTTTACAATATAAACCAGGTGGCGTGAAGCATAAAAATTCTAACTATTTTACTTCACAGAACAAACAGCTGAGAAATTGATAAGGCACAACACTGGAAGCTGGAAGCTGGAAGCATCACCTAAACTATATTATGTTCTTCATATGCTATGAACCACATTAATATACTTCTCAGCAGAAGAAAACACTAGTCTAACTGCAAAATCACCCACTTTAGCTTGCCTAAACTACTAGTTTCTACTTTCTACACAACCCCAACTCAGTTTGAGTATTTATCCATACGACACAAGAAAACCAGTGAGGTTAAGGAACCAAATTATCAACTGCTTCAAACCAAAACTGTCAATTACGTAATAAGAAATCATCAAGTAGCATAGAACATTCACAAACCTCGGCTGTTTTCGGCACTTCGTCACAAAAGATTTCGCACTTGATGTCCCCCAAGTTCGTGTGAAGTGTCACTGCCTGCCAATAATAAAGGTAAAAAGAGGGGGGGAATTGTTATCAACTGTGTATTGCCTAAGATCGATGAGCTGAACCTGTTCGATGAATTATCCCAGAGAAAACATATACAAAAAAGGAAAAAAAAAAATTCATAATCCATACCATTTTAAGATCGAGAAAACGAAGATGTTACTGAAAATTCGTCCACCTCCGGTAGCTCTGATGACGGAGTAAGGCTTCGATAAAAGATTCTAGACTCCTCTGGGCTTTTGTAGTCGTGATTTCTTTTTTCTTTCTTTCTTAAATAGCCAACGGGCTACACACACATATATACGTCGGTGTTTCGGTTGAAAATACGGATATGCCCGCCTAAAAATTCCAGCCCAGCCCGCTTAAAAGGTCGGAAAAGGGTGAATTGAGAAACTCGCTATTGTTCTTTAATTTTTTTTTTTAAATCATCAAAAAAAATAAAAATAAAAATTACCGTATAAATAGATATTGATTTTCCGTCAATTAGGAAATTTCACGAGATTATATTATTTTTCGTAAATGGGAAAAAAAAAAAAAGAAAAGAGGTGTAGTACGGTTGTCTTCTTCGATAAAATTCTTACAGTATATCTCAGCTTGACATGAATTAAAATTAAATTGCTTCCCCTTTAGTTTTGAATGTGACAATTTTTATTCAACTTTATAGCCAACCCCTTCACCTTGTCAATGAAAAACAACCACACTGAACTAACCTATAAGTGATTATGTACATGTTTCATAGCTCAGAAGCTGGTGTAGGAAAACCAACTTCCTGAAAGTTGAAACATGAATGGTGGTATACAAATGAAAAAAAAGCCATCCTTTCAAATCATTAGGGAAGAAGATTCCAGCGGCTCATCCATCCTCGAGGATTTCTTTATGCAAGTGCATACATGTTGTGCTGCAGTACTTGTAACTGTACCTATGAAAGGGAACTATCCCAGCAAGTGAAACACGACAGCACGAGCATATAATGTCAGAGGCTCCTGTTGTTTTCGTCCCTGAACTAGCAGCCACAGATCCTGCGCTCTCTGCTTTGAGGGCTGCCATTCTTCTCTCAGCAGCTGCAGCTCTCTTTTCCCTCTCAGCATCTTGTGCCCTTTTAAGCTCCTCCTGATTATAATAGCAAATAAGTGATTTAGAAGATTACGTCTAGACACATATCGAGAAAAGGTGTAACGTCCAGCAACTGCAACTAGCCATATCTAGACATTCTAAACATTAAGTCAAGGAAACAAAGACTAGATGGTTTCTTAAAGTAAAAAACTGAATTACAGTCGTAAAACTGGACAGTAAGTTTTTGAACTAATGATATAAAACTTATGCTTGTGAAGGGTGCAGCACACACCTCTTTAGATAATTTGGGCAAGTTAAGAGTAGATCCACGATTCTGCGAGGAGCTTGCATTTTGGGATTGAGCAGCCTCAGCCTGCATTCAGAAGTAACAAAAAGACTCTTTGAAAAAGAATAAAAATAAAATAAAAAATTTCCAAATACGATGAAAATGAACACACACAAAATTATCACAAGCTAGACAGTTCTTAAAAATTAAAACCACAGTGTAAATGTGAGTGATACATGTCCTTTGGTTCAGATTAAAACAAAGAAAAAAAAAAAAGAAACTTTCAGAAATAAATAAAGAAAATAAATTATAAATTAACTTCCTCCTTTTCCCTTGCATGAACCAAAACACAGAATGCTTCAGAAAACGGAGTGGTTTGTTACAGTGTCCTTGCTGAAAATTAAATGGAACCAAACAAAAAGAAAAAAAAAAAAATTAAATGAAACCAAACACTTTTCAACAGTCAATAGTAACCTACCTGAGCCTTCTTTGCTTTTGCTTTACGCAATTTCTTTAATTCCTTCGCTCTTGCTTTCCGCTTAGCTTCTTTTTCAGCCTGAACAGAGTGGAAAAGGCATGAAATGCAAATTCTGGCAAAATGTGATATAAACTGCAGAGTAACAATATACTAATACTTATTCTGGCACTTCCTCATGGACACAGAGTCTTGTCTAATGACAATATAAGCACATTTCATTGTGTTGCCGCACCCAAACAAAAAATTGTCTCACACACAACCAGCCCAAAAAAAATAGAGTTGAAGCCAAAGAAAAGTTACTTAATTTTCTTTTAAAAAAAACCCACCAACAACTACAACAAGCTTTTACACCACAATGTGTGCTGACTATATGGATAATGTATTGCGCCGTCGAGCTCTGTTGGCGCCCATCTTCATTTGAGTTTTAAAAAACACAAAACAACAAAGAAGTAACAGCCAATGGTGCAACAGAACATTGAATGCATCTACAGGAAAGTTCTAAAATCCAGTTAACATTCCAATAAACCCAGAAATGTACTTCGTTTTACTTGACAACTTAAAGATTTAAACAGAAGAAACCCAAGAACTAATAATATCTCTTTGCCAGTTGATAAGAGGCCTTAGGGTCCTCTACATGGTCTACACATGAAAATGATAGAATAAGTCATGCTACCTGCTTGGTGGCTTGAGATTCCTCCATCTCTTTTGTCAAAGCACTAGGAACTTTAGCAGCATGCCAATCCCATTTATCAAGGTTCATTGCCATGAACCGTCTGAATGTATCCCTTACTTCCTTCTCTGTTGCAAGCATATAAGGGGTACGACCCTTCTCATCCTTGATACAAGGATCCAAACCCTGCTCCAGAAGGTCTAAAACTTCTTGAGGATTTCCAGATTTAGCTGCTTCATGCAGAGGTGTTGATGCTGAGATATTTTCCCTCTCACTTTCGCTATCACTTACTATGTGAATGGAATCCAATTTTCTCTCAAGGATGCTAGAATGATTACTCTCCGAATTCTCCCCAATGTCCAGCCTACTAGACTCAAATTGGCCATTAACCTGAACACTGTCATTTTGAAATAGCTCCTCATCTTTATTTTTTGCAAACACAGTGAACTCCTCATCTGTTTCAGAGTATATTTGGGTCAATAACTTATATAGCCTATGAGCTTCCTTCAATGTGGGTCTTCCAACAGTCAAAGGAATGTTTCGCACCAAATGTTGCGGACAGTTAAAAATTGGCCGCTTTCCGTCGAAAAATATTTGATGATCATAAGAAGGAGCACTAATAAAAACACAACAGGAAGCAGCAAAATAAAGCTTCCAAGCAGCAAGTAAAACTTGAATTTCCTGTTCACCATAAAAAAAAGGAACCAAATGATTTCATTGAAAAAAAATATTTATCCAACAAATAAAAAAAAAAAAATATGTAATGTTTGTAAAGTGGAGATGATGCTTCATTACAGCTTTCTAATCCATAATGTAATAAATCTACACACCTTTTTCAGAGCGAGCTCATTATAACGGCGAAGAGAAGATCCAGCGGAATGAATGGTCTTTCCACTTGCATCCTTTGATGACTGCCTTTTACCAGCCTTGGCACGCACTACATATCTTCATGCAATGGCCAGGGAGAATGATATCAGTGTGTCATTAATTTTTTCATAGCATCAATCATCAATAACGGTTTGCAGTTTGTAATTCAGACAATCTCAAATAATAAAAATTCCAAAAACCAAATTTTCAATTTAAAATGTCCCGGATGAAGTTATATAAATACCGGTACACTTTTTTCTTTTCTTTTTTTTTTTATCAAATTTGATTCTTTTGATGGATGTTTTATATGAGGTATCTAAACACCAACCAAATAAAAATTAATACTAAAACGAGATTAGCAGGAAAACGAAAACCCTTTAAAGTCAAAACATTAGAGTTGATAGGCTTGGTAAAAAACTCACATCTCACGTACTAAGAGTCTAATATTCAACTGGAGAGAGAGAGAGAGGGGAAAAAAAAAAAAACTAAAAACACTTGGAAAAATCTCACAAGCCACAAATACCAGCATGATTCACCCAAAAATACTATGTGGTCTTCCCAACAACAAAGATTAAAATCATGCAAATAAAAAATGCCATTGATCTTACCTGTGGAAAGTTTTATGGGCGATAACGGTGTTTCCGTCAAAGACACAGCCTGCAAAATGCCCACCCTTGGAAAGCAAGACCACTCTTAGGCAAGTCCCATTCCTAGGTTCATCAACCAATTTTTTCAATTTTTCAGTCACATCTTTCTCTTGCAAATTACAGCCACCATCATCTGTAGTATCTAATTTGTCATTTTCAAATGCGATGTTCTCAGATTCATTCAGAAGCAAACATTTCCAAAAGGAAACTCTCTCTCCATTTTGCAGCTGTATAAACATCTTATTCTTTAGATTCCCCACTGATCTGCTGTGAGAGCGGTTGCGGACACCAGTTTCATTCTCATCTTCATCGTCTGACCCTGAAATACTTGACACATCAAAATCCTTGCATAAAGTGTCCAATGATGTTTCATCAAAGTCTTCCTCCTTTACAGTTCCTTTCCCCGCAACAGTTAATTTTACCTGATATCACAAGTTCAGGGGAAACGGCAGCCGCCAGTCAACACTAAGTATGACAGATGACATGACATGCAGTTAGAGGACTTTACAAGGACAAATAAAGGAATTCCCAACTTAATATCTAGCACCAAAACTGAAGAACCTCTAAGTAGTGACTTGGGTAGCTTCATTTTTAAGTAGATATACTTCAAAAACAACAACCAGGTCTTCATCTAACTTTCCTGCAGATATACTGCGCACAAAAGGAATGAACGAGATACACCGTAAATTATACTACTGAAGTGCGTTAAATTAATAAGTAACTAACAAACCCACCCAAGTCGTGCAGCCCAATCGCAAATTTCTTTAAGGTGACAGAGTAGAGAAAAAGAATGCACAGAAACTGCAATAACAATGATTATCATGAGTAATGGCATTTAGGAAAACGAAAAGAAAACAAATTCCTACAGCAAACTTTCACCATGAAGCATTCTGAACAAAAATACAAGCAAAAAGAAATAGAATAAGCAATGAATATTCACATGATTGAAGTTCATGTCTTTTGTAGGATTTATTAGAAAAACAACACAAAAACATACAGAAGTACACTAAATTCCTTAGTAGATAACTGTCTTAACGAAAATATATATATATATATATATATATATATATATATATATATATCAACAAGGGAAAGAGAATTACATTTAAGCGATGAAAATCGGAGCTGAAATGCGATCTTTGTTCTAGAAGCGACTCGAACTCTGCATCACACGTACTGCAAGCCCATCTCTGCATAGCAGTAATTTCACTAGGATGAATCCCGGAAGTGCCCTCTTCTTTATCCTCGGGAAAGTCGTCAGGGACGTCTTCATTGGGTGGTTTTGAAGGAACGGATTGGGTTGGTATTATTGACGAGTATGGAGATTGAAGGAGGCGACAGGAGTCAAAGAAGTCCCCAGGAACTTCGAAGATTGAAGGCTGACGTTTATCTTCTTGATGCCTTTGCAGATAATGAGTTAGCGCACTGTTGTTCTTGATGGTGGCGGCGGGGTCTGCGGCGGCGGCGGTGGCGGTGGCGGTGGCGGCGGCGGGAGGCGGAGTCGACGCCATTGATATTCCAGGTGCAACCAGACGGTGGCGGGTCGCCCAAAACTGATAAGCTTCTCCGGGCAATTTCTTCTCTTCATCTCGGGGAGGGAAGACTTGTTTTGTTTGGTCAATATTTGCATTTGGGTCCCCTTGGCCCATATGTAATGTCCAGTAACCAAAAGGTGGAATTTGAGAGCCCAATTTATGAATGGGCCTCCATTTGTGTCCATCTCCCGGGAAGGAAAAAGAAGCGACTTCCTCTTCCTCGAGTGCTTTTGAGGTTTGAGATTTGAGACTTGAGTGATTCAAGTCGAGTTCAGTTAGTTCAAGCAAAGAACAGCCCACTGGAATCCAGAAAAAATAAGCCTGGCGGGAAGGTTTACACTATGCCAATCTGTTCTAGCAGCTCTCCCAATCTATTTCATGCAATCACAACAAATCCCTAAAGCTTCCAGTGAAGAGTTAGACAAGTTAAGGCAAAATTTCTTATGGGTAGCTCATCTGGAAAGAGAAAGATAAACATGGTACAATGGGGGAAGGTTTGTCAGCCTAAAAAACAAGGCGGTCTAGGTCTCGGGAAGCTCAAGGATGTAAATACAACATTTATACTCAAACTGACATGGGAGCTACTAACTGAGAAGAACAACCTATGGTCCTCAATTTTCAAAGCAAAATACGCGTCACAAGCAAATCTCAACAATACATCACAATTAGGCAAGCAATTAGCACAACTATGGCACACTGCAATCAATGGCATAAATGGACTGTAGGCAGTGGTGAAAAAATTCTTTTCTGGAAAGATATATGGCTTGATTTGGATGAACCACTTATTCACTATGTCCTCTCTCCGGTTCCGGGCGACCAACAATAGAAACTCATCAAGGACTACGCAAACAAGGATGGACACTGGAACTGGAGTATCATTAAACCATTTCTACCGTCGGAGATCTGTCAGAAAATTATGGCGGTTCCGACACCTGAAAAAGAGGCAGGTCCAGACAAACTAACATGGCGATGGAACAAATCCGGCCTCTTCACAACAACTTCGGCCTACTCGGTCATCAACGGTACAAATTCGGAAGCCGAAGACAAGATCTGGGATGCAGCGTGGAAGTGGCCAGGACCGGAACGTATTAGAATCTTCCTCTGATCTCTAATACGGAAATCGCTTCTCACCAACGCTGAAAGGAAGCGGCGCCACCTCTCCGACGAAGATTTATGTGGCTTCTGTGGCAAAAGCGAGACATTTTTCCATCTCTTTCGTGATTGCCATAAGACCTCCCAAATTTGGAAACTCATCTCCCCCAATCTCCCACCAAATTTTTGGACCAATATTGACTGGAATGATTGGCTCTTTTCTAATCTATTCCCCTCTCCCTCACTGGTAAATCCAAATTGGCTGACATTTTTCAGAACCGCTTGCTGGAAGCTCTGGAAAGCTCGAAATGATGACGCCTTTGAAGGTATCTACCACAACACCAGAGAATTGTCAACCATGATTCAAGCCGCCTCGAAGGAAATAATCAAATGCTTCCACTAATCAAAGCCAAACACAACCCATTCGCTTCCGGCCACATCTCAGATCCGACAACAATACAACAAAAATCCAACCGTTCCAATCTGGAAGCCACCTCCTTGGGAGTGGATTAGTCTCAATACCGACGGCGCGGTACAGACGAGCCCCTCAATGGAAACAGCCGGTGGTCTACTGAGAAACGCTGAAGGAAAATAGATATCAGGTTTCGTCGCCAAACTTGGAGATTGCTCGATTCTGGAAGCAGAATTATGGGCTTCTTTTTTTGGGCTAAAAGTCACATGGGATTTGGGCTTTAGGAAGATTCAACTACAATTGGATAGCCAACATGTCGTAAATCTCCTCAATGAAAAGGGTCCTTCCTTTTGTTCTAGTAATATACTTAGTAGAGTAAAAATCCTTTTGAACCGTCAATGGTTAGTAGAGGTCTCCCATATAAGAAGACCTGAAAATGAATCGGCTGATTCCCTAGCTAAATTAAGATTTCCATATACCTCGGGGTTGCACGTTTTGTCAACGCCTCCACCTCTAACCCAATAGAAACTAGTATTAGATTGGCCTAGTCAACTCACTCGTGACGAGTTGCTTTTGTAACTAAGTTTCGGCTTCCCCAATATAAAAAAAAAAAAAAGAAAGTCGAGTTCAGCTCAAGCTTTGATCTAACATGCTTTGGTCAAGCTTATTAGCATGTACTCTGTAACAGATGGTTCTTTACTAATGAAATCTTTTCTTTCAAAAGAAAATTTCTAATATATTTTTGGCCAAACTCGGTCTGTCGTACCCAATCGGTTACTATATTTTGTCAACGTATCCCTCTGTTATCATGGACAAGCATCATCTCAAGTCTACATGGATGTTTTGTAACCCCTATCCTCAGGTTTCCTTCGTATATATATATATATATATATATATGTATAAAGCTTTAATCTAATATAGACTTATGATCTTTTCTAGTTTCTACATGGTTAGACTAATATTGGACTAACGAATGTAATATTGAACTGACGGATGTATTATTTCCTCTGTGCTAAAATTATTATCTAGTTTATGAGTGAAAAATTAAACTGGACAATAATTTTGGTAGGGAGAAGTACCAAATTTCAATGACTTAAACCGAGATCTAGCGGTAATATCGCTACTAGATAACTACATCGACTAGTATGGTTCATAACTTTACAAAATGTAATTATATTAGTAAAACATATATTAAAACTCATAATGAAATTACAAAAGATCACAATCTACACATAAAATGACTTCGTTAGTTTGAGTACAATATCACATCGTACCCAACTCAGAATCCAAAAATTAGGTAAATACTTCTCTTTGTAGGAGAACATAACCCAACAGTAACTCCTCTTTTTTTTTAGAACACAGCAGCATCATGTGTTTACTACACTTTAATGGTTTTTTCCCCTTCCTTTTTACACAAATTGCTAAGACTTGAAAACCAGATGAAAGATGTACAACAAAATATTCAAATTTCATATTATAAAAAACCATTGTGGATCATCATCAGCAGCAACTCAGCGCAATAGGATTCTCTACATAAGAGCCTGCAGTTCCTTCATCTTCTCCTCATAGTCACTAACTTCAGCAAGCACAGGCTTTGCATCTAACCATTCCAATGCCTTCTAAATTGCATCTCTGGCCTTCCTTTTCTGAGTAAAAGACGCGATTTCTCCCTCATCTGGCAAGCATATCTCTCCAAGGCATTCCAAGCTTCGAGCTTCTTCATGTGCTTTTCGTCCTCGGCCTTGTACTCGTTCGCATCTTTGATAATCCTCTTGATTTCATCTCTTCATAGTCGTCCACTTTTGATACTGACGCTCTTCTCCGCACCTGTAACTTTATTCCTTTGAGAGACATTCAGAATTCCATTGACTTGCAAATCAAAGGTGATATCAAATGAAGGGACACACCTTGGAGCTAACTGAATGTCATACAACTCATATCCCCAACAAATTGTTCTCAGATGTTTTGGCCCTCTCACCCTCGTAGATGTCAGTAAGAACATTTGATTGGTTATATATTTCTAAAGTATTGTCATAAGTTTTTACAATGATCTCTCTAAATATTTATACCCATGTCATATCTTTTAAACTATCACTTTGACATAAAATTTTCTCATAATTTCTTTCCAAAAACTTACCTTTATTTTCCATTTTTTTTATGTAGCTTTTGCCTTTTGCAACCTTTCTTTAGAAGTTTTTTTGTAAATTTTTCCTACAATATAGTGTTTACTTTTTTTTTTGGTTGCATAGTCTTCACCTTTTTTAAAAAAATAAAAATTAATCGCCTCTCTTTGAAACTTCGTTTCTTGAAAAATTTGTAATAATTATGTCATTTTCCACTATTACCTCGGCTTTTTTGTTTTATATTTTCTTATCCTTCACAAAAGTTTTCCTCCGTATCATTATTTTCAATTTTTCAATATATTTTTCTTCTATTATCTCACAAATATTTTTATTTTTTTTCTTCTTTAAGAGAACTTTCTCCCAATCGATCTCTACTTTTTGTTTTATCATCTTAATATTAAGTTTTTATACCATTATGTCATATGGAAAAAAGTATAATTAATAATTTAATTGATTTTTCATATGCCAAAATCAAGCAATAATTAATCAGTTGAATGCCAGAAATATTTATTTTTGCCCTATTGGAATAAGAAATACAAAAAGTTTCAATAATTGATTGAATAGATTATATCAATTATCCTCTTTTTTCTTATATATTTTTTCATCGAATATAAGACTCAAGAGTTTCTCATTAATTGTGGGTTTTCTTTTCTTTTTTTTTTTGTTGAACATCAATTGTGGTTTTGGGTTTGGTTATAAGTGCAGTTAGGCATTCTTGCTGAATATTGACTTTAGGCCGGAATATTGTTATGAGGGTACAAAACATAGGCCAAGTTCGTTTTATATCTTGAAGCAGGAAAAAATGTCATTTTTAAATTTTTTTCACTATTAATATTAAATATAAAACACCAAGATAAAAGAATAAATACTATTAACGCCCGCACAACGAAAACCGTCACAAAATAAAAAGGCCAAGTGGGCACCACATAGAAACCAACGAAGAAAATATCATGTAAATAATACCCCTGAAACACTATCAATAATGTAAATAATATCATTTAATAGTGTTTTCCCAAAAGAAGTTTTTTATATTAATAATAAGTATTGCTTCAATACTTTCAAAAGCAATTACCTCGCAAGAGTATATAAAGTTTAGGCCTTTGGGGAAGAAATAAATCACTATTTGAATTTTACTAAATCTTTTGATGATTAGTGGCTGCCAAAAAAAAAAAATCCAAGAAAACCCTAAAAATTCAATAAATCTTCGACGATCAAGTTCTAATAGCAAAATGTTCGTTCGCCAACTAATTTTATCTTATTATTTATTTTTGGTTTGGTTTTTTATTTATATCGAATAAATAAGTTTTTTTGTTCTAATATGATTATCCAATTTGCATTTTCATTTTAGTCAAATCGTTTTGAGATGGATGGAGTATGTTAAATTTATTTTCTAGGTAATGATGTAAAATGTGGTTACTCAAAATCTCATATGGATCCTTATCATTTTAGAAGACTTGCATGTTCATCATCTTCTTTTTTTTTTTCTAAATTTTTAATTTATTTTGGTAACATCTCAATCATTTTTTTTAAACGTTTCAACCAATTAAATATGTTGTAAATGTATAATTTTACTGCATTAGTCATAATATTTAAAAAATAATTCCAAGATAATACTTAAATTATATAGTTCACTTTTCAAATCCTATAATTAATTGAATTCTTAGATTTAGGAAAAAAACTACAAAAAAATTTTTTTAAAAAGGAAAAAAAGTGCCTATGTATTCGTTGCCCAATTATTTCTCAAGTGCTTTAATTTCGTAATACATAAATCTAAAATAAGTGCTTTAATTAGATTAATTTGTTTCTCTCTCTCTTTCTGTGTGTGTTTTCCTTTTAAGTTGATTTTGATAGTTATATTATTCTTCTGCACAAATAAATCGGGGTAAAATTAGTTATTTATAGATTTACGAATTTACAAATAAAAGTTACTATTATATGATGGAGTGATGTGAATACGACATGTGAATTTGATTATCTATGTTTTAATACGTGGATTACCCTATCTAATTTTACACTATTTGTTCGATTGAAAATTCTCTTTTAAATATATTTATAAAATTGGAAGAGTAATATATTTTTTGCCCCTTGACAGATAATACTAATAAATAATTTTGTTGATTATTTTGTGTATAAATTATAAAAAAAGTAATTGATTAAGAATAATAATTACAAATGATTACGACATCCTACGGCCTAATAAGATTAAACTATCATCCGGTTTAATCCACACAACGAAAATTATGTGATCCGGTTTAGTATATGTCACGTTGTGCATTTTCTTTGCTCATAATTGTTTTGTTGCCTTTTTATTGTAAGTTTATAATTCGGTTGATCATTTGTGTTTGCATATAATCCACATAATTTTTCGTTTATGCGGTTTTTACACTGATTTATTTTTTCAATTTTTGTATGATTGTTAACGTGCGTGTGACTTTAAAGCCTTTTTTCTAGTGGAGTTTTAATGTAATTTTAAATATTTTTTTTTGGGAGAATGAACCTTTTCATCCAAAAGTTTGAGCCACACCATCTAAAACATTCCAAAATTTAAAATCATATTATTTTCATCCCAAACTTTTCAAAAATATATAATATTAGGACATTTGTTAATTTTTTTCAAGTTATTAACGGCGATATTTCATTCAGTTTCTTTTCCCCCAATTTTTTTTAGTCAAAAAAGTTTCATGCTTGCATTTGGTAAATTTGGTCCATGCCAAGCAAAAAAGTTGCATGCCCCTGCATCAATTACAACACCAATTTTTATAATGATGCTACATATTTAAATAAAATAAATGAAACAGGGCTTACTTTCTAATTAGAACACACACAAAACCTCTCATGATTGTTATCAATCTAGAAAGTGAATCTTTGATTTTCTTTTTCTTTTTCTAAGCAAGGAAAATATGGATGATGTGAAGACCAAATTAGATTTAGCTATTTTCTTATAAGGTAGGAATTAGTGGAACGTGTTAAATGATTAAAAGAATTGGGGGAGGAGAAACAGAATAAAGTAACACCACTAATTAATTAACTGGAGTTAAAAATTTAACAAATATTCTAATGTAACATGTTTTTAAAAAGTTTGAGATGTAAATGTCATGTTCTTAAATTTTGGGATGTTTTGGATGGTGTGACCTAAACTTTGGGATGAAAAGACTTATTTTCCTATTTTTTTTTATAAAAAAATTAAATAAGGTAAAATTGGTTACTTATAAATTTTACAGATTTACAATTAAAAAATTACCATTAAATGATAGAGTGATGTGGTTGCGATATGTAGATTTGGCTATCTAATTTTTTGTCATGTGGATTAACCTATCTAATATCATGTCATATGTACGATTAAAAACTCTTCTTTAATATATTAATTAAAGATATAGAGATATAGATTTTGTAAAAGTGAAATTTTCAATTGAACAATTATTTTAGATCGGTGTTGGATTTGATCGGACATAATTACAAGGATTTATGGTTGGAACCTGTAAAAGTTGAGGAGCGCCCAGCTTTAAGAAATTTGCAATTCAGCCACTTAGCCAATACACGACGTACGCTTACAAAAATTCAAGAACCATACCAAGAAAGCATCGATCTCTCCTCTGATTATTGAAATTGAATCCACTGATTCTACTTATACTAGATTGCTTTCCTCATGCATTCAATCATTATGACAAAGAAAAACATATGTGTACCTAGTAATCAAAGTAGCATATAAGTCCAATGCATCCATTGAAAACAAAACAAAGCTCCAAATAGTTCTGGTTCCTTTTTTGTTTATTTTTTGAAAGAAAAAAATGCCTCAAACTTGATCGACAGCTTACTTGGGTCCTCTAGAAGAGAGCCAGCAATTCCTTCATCTTCTCTTCATATTCACTAACTTCCGCAAGCTCATACGAATTGACTTGTAACCATAGTAAGGTCGCCTTGATTTTGATTTCAGCCTTCCGTTTCTGCGTAAACGATGCGATGTTTTCCCTCAACTCACAAACATATTTCTCCAAGGCCAACCATGCTTCATACTTCTTCCTATGCATTTCGTCCTGCGCTTTAAACCTGTTTGCTTCTTCTATCATCCTCTCAATTTCAACTCTTGGCAACCTTCCACTTGTGACACTAATCCTCTTTCCTGCACGTGTAACTACATCATTCGCGGAAACCTTTAAAACCCCGCAGGCGTCCAACTCAAAGCGGATTTTGATTTTAGGAACTCCTAAGGGAGCAAGTTGAATACCATTCAGCACGAATTCACCCAACAAGTTGTTGTCACTTGTTTTAGCTCTTTCGCCTTTGAAAACTTTGATCAACAAGGAGGTTTCATAGTCTGAAATAGTAGTCATCCATGTTTTGGCTCGCACAGGAATGGGAGATTCCTTGGAATCACAACCTTCATGGCTTCTCCTACGAATTCGACACCTAGAGATAACGGCGTAACTTCCACCAGCTTTAGGTGTTGAACCTTGTTGTTGCCCCCGGCCGGTCAAGATCGCGGCTTCAACAGCTGCGCCGAAAGCCACAGCTTCATCCGGGTTGATGCTCCTGCAAAGCTCCTTGCATTTGCTGAACTTTTGGAATCCTACTCGAACCGCCTACCAAGACAACCTCGTCGAGGTCTTCCTTAATCATCTTGGCATCTTTCAAACACTTTTCAACTGTCTCCATACACCGGATGAATAGATCCGACTTCAACTCCTCAAACTTAGGCCTGGTGACAGTTTCTGAGAAGTAAATACCTTGGAATAAGGAATTAATCTCGATTCTTGTCTGACCGGAAGAAGAGAGCATCCGCTTAGTCTTCTCGCAAGCTATTCTCAGTCTCCTTAACGCTTTAGGATTCCCACTCACATCGTTCTTGTGTTTCCTCTTAAATTCACCTGATGAAATGGTTCACCATTCGATTGTCGAAATCCTCCCCTCCAAGATGAGTATCATGACCAGCGGTAGCCTTGACTTGGATGTTATATTTTGATGGCGAGAATCGAGACATCAAAAGTACCACCTTCTAGGTCAAAAATAAGAACATTCCTCTCCTTTGCGATGCCAGTACTGGAACAAATGTTGTTGAGACCGTAAGCAATAGCAGCGGCTGCTGGTTCGCTAATGATACGCAAGACGTTGATTCCCGCAATCTCTCCAGCATCCATGGTAGTCTGGCGTTGCATGTTATTGAAATATGCTGGAACGGTTATAACAGTATCGCTGATCACCGTGGATCCAATGTATGCCTCAGCGATCTGCTTCATCTTTATGTCATTCTGAATCGACTCATCACTATATCTTCTGCCAATCAATCTTATTTTTAGCATCTGTAATCATTAGGAGTTTGATCATGTGGACACTTTAAAACGTTGTCAAATGTAAAATTTTTTAAACTAAAGAGAAACCATACGTGGTCAACTACTGAGCATGTTGCAATAAGCGAGGAGAAGAAATCAAACATAATATCTGTAGAAAAATCACTGAAAAAGAAAAAACGAGAAACACAACAAAACATGACATTATCACTCTCATGGAAGAGAAATGCTAGATCGATTACCAAATACAGTGTTGCCTGGATTCAAGGCAACTTGGTTGAAAGCAGCTTCACCAATGAGTCGCTCTTCATCCCCAAAAGCTACGTAAGACGTGCGGTGTCGTCCGGTTGCTTTGATCATTCACAATAATTTCGACATGGTCGTTTTTCCAATATCCCACACACGAATAAGTTGTCCCCAAATCAATTCCGATCGCAGGATTCCGGCTCTTACTTCTCATTTTGTGATTACAAGTTTTGAAGCCTATCAAAGATATGCAAACACACTATGTTAAAAGCCATAAAAATTAGTTCAAAGTCAAAGGTAATTATAAAACGTGTTATCAGAAAAAAATTAGTTTACACCTGAACAAATTAATTAGAGACATCTATTACAACGACAATATATATTACGTATTATAATATATACTCTTAACATAAAAGTCATGCACTGCAGAACTTTCCACAGAAGATTAGATGGATAAAACCACAAGCCATATGCTAAAACGTATAGCTAGGATTTTGCATATACATGTGTTATAGTATTTCAATTTGTTAGGATTTTGCCTTTTAAGGTCATTTATTGTTGCACATACATGTGTGCTAGGCTGCTAGCTTAGTAATTTAGGCCTCTTCATTGTACCAAAAAAAAAGAAAAACATATAGCTAGGCGAAAATGCAAAACTGATTTATTTTTTTTAAGAATGCAGTCTATTAAATTTGACCCCATCGTTCTATTTAATTCAAGCAGAATATTTCGTTATCTGAACTGTATTGGGAAAATGTCCCAAAATGAGAATTCGCTTGTTGTATTCTCCTAGTATGGTGAGCAAAACCCTTCGCTTGTTGTATTCTCCTAGTATGGTGAGCAAAACCCTTAGTCCATTCAAAACCACAGAACATGAGAAATTCAAATTTCAGCAAACTGTGATAACTGTGATACAAAAGAAGACCTAAATTAGATCTTGCAAAATTATTTCTTTGAAACTAGTTAAGTTACACATTGCGATTGACTGTAAAAGTTATTGATTTCACTCTCACCGAGTATGAGAAATTACAAGAATGTCTAAGCACTAAGCCATAAACGTAATACTACAACAACAAGAAGATAGGTGATTTAGATTTTAGACTACACCCAATGATATAGAGAATATATAATGGACAAAAAGTACTCCATCACCACTTTAGCGGTTCAATTTGTGATACTGAATGCTGATATTAGTGGCATTTATTTTGCAAATAATACTATAAAAAAAATGAGACGGAGCAAGTAAAAGTAAACATAATCCAACGAGCACTAAAAGAAATTCAAATCAAAGCATATGTGCACCAAGTCCTGCAGGAGATGAAGAACAACTCTTCCCAATCCTATCAAAACATAAATCAAAGAACATGATGGCAACAAAGCCAAGTACTCTTACGTACTTTGGACGGAAAAAAGGGTAAATTTTGCACATTGGCTCACGTAGGACAAAAAAAATAAAAAAGAGCAACAAATTCATAGAGCAACTCATAATGTAACGCTCGTAGGTCTATATTCTTATAACTATTTAGGTGTTTATTTTCGCTGCATCCAAAATGATTAACCAGAGTAACTAGTACACCTAGCAGTTTGAGGTTACATATTGATCGCTCCTCTCACCTCTCACCGATGTGGACATTTTCCACTTGCTAGCTTGACATGCTAGCTAGTTTCCACGTACGGGACATCACACACAAACCGTTGAGGGAACGAAACCTAGAAATATGATGGAAGGAACTGACAAAAAACACACAAGTACGTACTTCTTTAGAGGCCGGTAATTAGCGGAAGAAGCAGAAGCAGAGTCAGAAGGGAGGGAAGATGACGATGATGTTATAACAAAAGCTCTGTAGATGAGATATATAAATTAACTGAAGGCGAAGGGCTACTTAATTATAAGCCGACTGCCGACATACGGGTCATTATTGGAGGTCCAAACCAAACTTTCTAGTGATTCGGGATCAATTTCGGGCTTTTTTTATGCCCGTTAAATTCGTTTAAGAGTATTTACTATATTTATAGGTGAACATATTATTAATTTGATAACTGTTGTTCAGTAGCGTATTTTTTCCCCAAGCTAATAGTACAATAAACTAAATTAGTATTTTTTCCCCAAGCTAATAGTACAATAAACTAAATTAGTAATGGTGTTTAAGGTAATTTTCTCTCCATTATATGAATCAATAAATATTGACAGAAATAAGGCAGGAGTTTTGAAGAGAGATTTACAACACGCTAGCTTTCTTAGAAGTTTATGAAAATCTTTTGGTAGTTTCAGTTTGACATGGAATCGGGAAGTGATCATTTTGATCAGGGCATGCCTCAGGCCGAGGGACAAGGGCAGATTCTGATGGCAGCCCCGGCGGCAAGTCAGCCGTTGACTCTGTCAAATCTGCGGCTGCAATTACAGTATCATCAGCAGCAAGTAAAATATCATCGGCAGAAACAATTGCAAGTACTATATCATCATCAGCAGACAGCAGTTGCAGGGACTCGACCGGATGGAGGTAATGGTTCTTTTTAGATGCTTATATACTGTGAAGTTCTCTCTTTTTTCTTTTTTTTTTTTATCTCTTTCTTTTTTTGGTTCCGGTGGATGCACATATTTGACTACTTTTGTGGGACTGAATACTTTATAGTTTCACAAAAAAACGTCCTATTTTTACAAGTGTAAACCGTTTCAAATCTAGAGCCAGTCTCATCATCATAAGTTAAAAGTTTGGTAGAAAGCCTATGCTCTTTTCTGGTAAGTTCAACTCTACATAAACTCCAATGCCTTCAATGTAACAAAACTCTTCCCAAATGTGAACTACAATCGTCCATTTTCGGTTGGCAATTAATTTGGAAATGCCATACTATAGTCCATCTATTGAGTTTTAATTTGAAATAGTTTTAGTACAAATTTTAAAATTCAATGTGAACTATTCTTTAAGGACAGAAGAAATAGTTATTTAATTAAGTAAACCCCGTGTACTCATTTCAGTGATTCCCTACATACTTGATCTACCTGTTAAAATGGTAGCAACTTAGCCAAAGTTTAAGTTGCAAAGAGCTGAAGCCTGAAAGTAACAAGCTATTTAGTCCTGTTGAGGATTTGATATTGTTACTTAACAAAAGAGATAAACAAAGTGTACATGGAAAAGATGATACATGCTTTAAAATCTTTGTTGTAATATTTTATAGGCTTGGAGGATGCAAATGTACAAAAGTGGTCGCAGATCTCCGGCGTCTTTTTTGGAGGCAAAGAAGAAGAGAAGGCAAGAGGAATTGTTGGAGTTTGCACTCCAATGTTTGGAGTACTAGAAATATGTCCTGTTTTCTTAACCACGCTCGATTAAACTTTTGTTGTTCGTATAAACCCACTGCTTTTCAAACTCATTCGAACCAAAATCCGTTTTAATTTTCTTGATATTAGTTGAAATTGAATTTTCTATTTTTTATTTTGTTTGGAGTAATGTACTCACTGTTTCAACTGATTAGAATTTAAACTGGAATAAAACCCTTCATTATACTTATCGCTCATTTTACTCACAGTTGCATTAGGTTTGTGTCGGACACAACTCACCGCGCTTTGAATTCAGCAATGATTTGGTTTTCCTTCTAGCTTTCTTATCCAGTTTGTTCAATTTTTTTAGCGATTTTGTGGGTATCTGCCATTTTAACAAAATCGACACTATTTTTTGCTCAACACTGTACCAGAATTTCGCATAACATTGAGTACTAAATTAATGTGATCATTATGCCCAAAAAATAGTTTAGATTGATTTTGATATTTGTATTAATAAGGAATATATTATGTTATCAAAATCTTTTTATTTCTGTTTGACTATAAGAATGTCACAAATTTTGATTATTTATTAGCATATATATTTATTAATATCCAATAATAATAATCATTCAAAATCCCCTTAATCGCGATTCCTTATTTCCATTTGAGGGATTCGAACCAAACGCACCCTAAGTAATTCTCTCGATTTTGTGCCTATAAATATAGAGCGAATTTTTTAGGAAATCGCACAGTTCTAGAGAAACCATAGACAAGCTTTGTTATTGCGCTCACAAAATCTCCGAGTTCTCTTTCATTTGTAAATTACATAGGGTGACATTAAACCTTCCTGCCAATCAGATTTCTCTATGGAGAGGTAAGTTTTTATACGTATTAAAATCTTTAGGGTTTCAAAAAAAAGAAAAATTGTTGGATTTCAATGTTCCCAAAGGGTTTTTCAATGATTTTGTTGGATTAAACTTTAAAGGAGTTAATGATAGAACTTGGAGTTGATTTTGCGATTGTCTTTTATGTTGTACTACTTTTTTTAGTAGGAAGCTTGACATGCGATCTGGAGGAGGAAGTGATCAGCCGTCTGATCAGGCCAAGCAGTCCGGCGGTGGACATGGCCGTATCCCGGCAACGACGGTAGCTTCTTCCCAGCCTTCGACGTCTCTGTTGAATCAATTCCAAAATCAACGGCTACAGAAATTATTGGACTTTCATCAACAGTCAATTCAACAGGCGATGGCCGCCATGGATAAACATGCCAATGCCATGACAAATATTCAGGTACCTAGGGTTTCAATCAATACCCACTTTTTAAAAAGTAAGGCCCTAATTAATTAAAAAAAAAAGTGATTCTTTTTTGTCCACATGTGAGTGAAGATCATTATTAAGCTTTTTTAAAAAATATTTTTTTTTTGCAATCTCTTAGTAGTTGGGATTTCAAGTTATTATTAGCCGATCTTATTGCTTTTTATTATTTTAGAGTTATTCTGGTATTTCTTTCGCGAGTTTTACACACAAATTCAAGAAATTAGGGTAGAAATATAAATCAAAGATGTATACATTTTATCCCCCCACAGAAAATGAGGATTTCCTTGAATTGTTGTGTGCCTTTGTAGTCACACCGTCAAATTGGAAGGTCATATACTCAAATCTCTCTGTCACATATGCAAGACAGTATATAAAATAATTGTAGAAGGGGTTCATTATAGTTAGTGGATGACCTCTTGGGAAATACTCCCTCCGGCCCATAATTATTGTCCAGATTGGGTTTTCATTTTTAGTTCAAATTGTACTAAAAACGAAATTTTAAATTGGACAATAATTTTGAGACAGGGAGAGCAGTTAAGAACATAATAAGAGCTTTACTTCACGATGATTTTTCTTTCTCTTGTTTTTCTCAACTATCACATGCAAATTATGAATAGTAAACATGCATGGGGATGGTGTATAGTAATTCCATCATCAGGATTATTCCTGTACAGAGAATAGTGTCTTGCTTATTAAATTAAAATAATACTATGAATATGATTATTTGTAACCGTCACGATAACCTTTTGTGCCAAATTCCATTTTCATTTTTATTTGATTATTTTATTACAACCTTTTAATTTGATTGGTTCTTAATTTTCAACGTGCCCAACAGCAGCAGCAGCTAGCTCTTGCGCAGCAGAAGATTGCAGAATCGCATTTTAATTTAGTATCCGAAGATATGAAACGTGCGCATCAGTTGTCCATGTTAGTGGCAGCACAAAATGCCAATAAACAGCAGGTAAGTTCTTCCCCAGTGGTGGGAAATAATAGTTCCCCTGTTGGTAAATCGGGTAGTCCTATTCAATATGGTTCCGGCCAGCAGTCTACCTCAGCAGTTAATGTAACTGCTCCGGTCAGTGCACATCAGAGAATGAATTCTATGTTTAATCAGGCAGTAAAATCCATTCCACCAAATTCTCTGTTACCTCTGACAACACAGACCAATTCACCAAGTTCTCTGTTTCCTCAGACTGTACAAACCAATCCACCGAATTCTATGTTTCCTCAGACAACACAAACCATTTCACCATTGAATCCTCCAACAACACAAAGCATTTCTCCGAATTCTCTGTCTCAGTCTGAGGTGGAAATCCTACAAATTGCTCTGGAAAAGATTAAGAATAATGAATTCCCCCCAGCCGTATCATCTTTACCCAATGGTGCTCGAATTGGTTCGGATCAGACTCAGCAGATACAACATGTTACAAAGCCCGGCTGTTCCTCTCAGCAATCAATGGTTAAAACTTCTGATGGGGCGTCTGGAAATCCTTCTACATCTGGCACTAAAAAGGTGAAGCAGTCCCCGGAGGTGACGGATGTGGTAAAAGCTTTTGAGCTCCTCAAGGTCTGTTCTTTTTTTCTTTTTCTTTTTTTTTTTTTTTTGCAATTAGATCTTGTAGCTCTCATGCATTTTAGTTAAAAAAAAAATAAAAATGATTGTCCCGTTGGATTTTCATTATTAGTTCAAATCGTGCTAGAAGTGAAAATCTAAACTAAACAATCATTTCGGGAAGGAGAAGATATTTAATTTCTTAGTACTTTTATCAATATGCTTAGTTTTGATTTTTCTGTGCTATATAACTTCCTGTAACTATAGAAATGGATTGCGACTCTGCCACAAAATTTAGCGGAAGAAGCAAGACGGCCAATTTCTGTGCTGGAAACTCAGTTGTCGCCGCTTTATAGTCGCAATGCTTATCTGGAGAAAAAAGTGGTCAAGAAGGTGAAGAGCTTTGACTTGGGCCAGAAGTTGGATACAACTGCTGAAACTAATTCTGAGTCGCCCCCAGTATCCAAGCTACAAAGTGAAGCAGAGGTGAACAAGGAGGAAGTTGACAAGAACGTGAAAGAGGCCGATCCCGGCCGCATGGTTTTGGGCAACAAGACGGATACTACTCAGTTAAACAAACAACAGAGGAGTGGTAATGATGAAATTGCTGATATCACTCCAGCCAGAAATTTGCAAAGTGATGCAGAAGGAAAAAAGGAGAAGAAGGTTGACAAGAGGAGTGCGAAAGAGACAGATCCCGGCATGGATTTGGGAAATAAGCTGGATATCACACCATCAATGAAACTGCATAGTGGTAATTTAAAGCAGGGTGTTGCAAGTAATGATGAGATTGATGTTGCTCCGGCAAGCAATCTGCACAGTGAAGCAGAGGCAAATAAGGAAGACGATGAAAAGGAAGAGTCTTTGCGGAAATCACTTGACCTTATTAGAGCTGCTCAAGAAGAATCTAGCTCAGAGACTGACGGAAATTCCTTAGATGATGAAGAAGATGACAAATTGGCTGAGTGGGTTATGTTGATGGATTCATAATTTAGCACTTCTTTTATTCTTCCTTCCCACACAATAAAAATTTTCTTAGTTGAACTTGAACCTCTTTTTGTTATATTTTGGGACGGGAGAAAGTGTAGAGTTTTTTTGTTTTGATAAATTGAAGTGTAGAGTTAGTAAATACTCACTGCGTCCTAAAATTATTATCCAGTTTGGATTTTTATTTTTAATTCAAATTGTACTAAAAATGAAATCTCAATCTGGACAATAATTTTGGGATAGGGGATTAGAAGTTTCAAATTCATGTTTTTTTTTAGAAAAAATTATTTTTATTTTGAGGAGATGTAGTAAGCGCTGGCTATTACCTAAAAGAACCGTTACAAACAGTACGCAATTTAGATTTTATAGACTACACATAATAAAGTGTGTAACAGTGGGTCAAAAGAAATAGTTCGTGACTACTTTAAAAGTCCAATATAGTGTACTGATATAAATTCGACAATATCATAGCTACAAACCACTCTTATTTTGTGTGGGAAAAAGTGTAAAATTTGCACTCATTTGTTAATTGAGGCAATAAACTCGTCATAAGCACCAAACTCACAAAGCGTTGAGTGAACGAAGTAAGCAAGATCTGCAGGCACATGCAAGTTCCCGTAACAATCCTTTGTGATATGCTGGTTTTTATTTATTTATTATTTTACGTTCATCATAATAACAATAAATAATCTTGTTGCTGAGTTGTAGGCACGATGATGGAATAACATGCCAAAAAATTTAAGGTTTTTGGGACACGTAGAAACTTTTAAATTATCAGTCAATGTTTAAAGTGGACGAGCCTTTCCCAGTCCAATCACAAGCCCTTTCTCATGTGCGATGCTAGTTGGTCTATAGAGTTACGCGTACCCTGAATCATTACTTTCATTATATGTCCTCTAAAGAAAGACCAACGCGAGAAATCCTCTTATGTACATCTCTTACATATACACAAAAATTTTCTTTTTTGGTTTTTAAAATGTGATAGTAATGTAATTTCATGTCAATCGACATTGATGTTACGACATAAATCTCGGCATGGATGCTTTTCGTATTAGTCTTAATATGGAATATATATGGATGCTGGCGTAGTTACAAATTCGGTAAATCGTTTCCTCATTGGGCATAGATTCGACGCATTTCAAAGAGTTCCTCCTGCCACCAGTTTACTACCCAGGTACATACCAAAGATTTCGAATATGTGGGATTTGATCATTTTTTTTTCCTATAAATGGTAGTTATCAGGATATAATTTGAATTTCTTACTATCGAAAGTAAATAATAAAAAGTAGTTTCATTTTTCCTTTGCATATTTATCAGGGACCATAACATTTGTAACCTAATTAAAAAGTTCATGCGATAATTTTAGAATTTATAGATTTTTGTGTTAAGTTTAGGTTATTAACTAGGTCTATTTTTTTTGCCGCCTCCCTCTCCCTCAAAACCCTAAAAAAGGAAATTAATTTTCCCCATCTTTTCATCATGGAAGGATGGGGAAATAATTATACTCATATTCTTTCGGTTTCTTATTGTGTTTTAATTTAGTTTTAGTAAACGGTTCGTAAATTATAATCTACAGTATGGTGGCAACATTGTTATCGATGATTGCAGGTATGGCGGCGATATCCTTGTTGAAGTTTGCTAGTATGGTGGCGGTTTCATCGGTGATGTATGCAGATACGGCGGTGAAAGCTTCTTTGAAGTGTTAGTCGGTTTGGCAGGCATGGTCCAAGAATATTCAGTCATAATAGATCTAATTATTATTAGGTTTATGATTTGGAGGTTTCAACCAAAGGTAAATATTGTATCCTTGACCGGATTAAAAGTTTGGCACGTGGTACAAGGTAGATCAATATAGGTTTATCCATATAGTGAAACAAAACAATGATATTGTAAGTGTTTGTAAGTTGTGTTTTTATGTCTGTATCTTGCTTTTATCAAAATCGTTGCTAGACGATTTCTAATAAATTAATGAATTTATTTTTATTTCTAAAAAAAAAACTAGGTCTAAATTTTTTTTTTCTGAAATTTCCGAGGATTGCAATGTTTTTGAATGTGTTTACAAATAAAGCGTTTCTAAGTGATCTTGAAATGAATTTAATTGCGGTTCAAAAAAGAAAAACAAGTAATAAATGCGATTTTCAGAATCTTCTTTGTACTTTAAAGACTTATGGAAATACATATTTCTTGTGTTAAAAATTGTCCTTAACGTGAATAATCCTTGATCCAATCAGCAACATCGGATTGCGATTTTCCAACGCAAATTTCGCTGAACAATCTGAATTACAGGAGTAGCGTAATTTCACTGCATATTAGTTTGAAGTGATCTTATCGTCGATCAGAGAAAGCCATGTATATTGGAATATGCCATTCTTTCGGCTTGTGACGTATGTCCACTTGCATTGCACATCTTAATTAGACCGAACCGAGTAGTTCTTATATATTTGTCCCGGATTTTAACTTTAGCTGTAGTTTATATTCCTAAACATGAGATATGTGATATCTGACAAATACATTGGATGAAAGTGCTTTTTATTATTATTTTAATAAAAACATAAAATTCATTTGCGTACAACTAGTCAAATAGAATAAATTGCTTCGGTCCTCTTTTCTTTTTCTTTAATTTTCTAGACGAAAGCAACCTTTTTTTATCTTGTAGGAAAAGAGTAAATAAATTAAAGCGGTCAAGAATTAATAAGCTAAACAAACCAAATATGAAATTATGAAATTATATAAAATACAGAAACTAAGAAAAAAAAATTCCAAATCTATTGGAGATCGATTCAAGTATTTTTGAGAACCTAGAATATCATTCGTGATAGCAATCATCATATTTTAAATTCTCGGTATCACTATAGCAGATTCTACGACTGAATCTATCCATAAGGATCCACGATCTTCATGGACATGTCTGACGTGTCTCCATATTGCTCCAACGGGGATCTTGTGGCACTACGATAATCTTGCCATTTTGATCTAACTTTGCGATCATCCCCAATCCAGTAAAGTTGGGGGTTTCTCATGAGTTCATAGCCACCCAAAAGTCATCATTCTGGTTTTTTCTGATGTTGTCCGGATCACCTGGAAGTTGTGCAAATAGCTCAATTGTGCCGGCCAATTTTTTCGGTACTGACCGAAGCCAATATCTCAAGACTCGGTCATTGGTAGTGTCTATCACTAAAATGAAATCACCTCGTTGACTGGTGCGACACCATTCGGAAAAAAATAGCCCATTAGCAAGAACTCTCACTGCTCTTGTTTTGGGATCGAACACTAACAATCTTCAAGTATTATCTCTAGTAGAGATTATTGACCCATAATCTTTATGTGAGAATTTCGTGCTGCTGTCGGTGAAATAGACGAGACCATTAGTCTGGTCGACGACGACATCATTTGTCAATCGAAAAGGAAGGCCTTGGGCCGAAGTGGCTAGTTGGCGATTCCTCTCCTTGGGCCAACTACAAGTAAACCTCTATAAGCGTCTGCAATATAAAGTTTGCCGGTTTTCTTATTAAAATCCAACCACAGTGGACGCCCACATCGGGCTTCTGTTGAAGTGTGATCGTAAGATCCTTCACACCTATCCCGAATTGGAGTGGTAACCGCAAAAGTATTCCAGCGGTTTTGGATTGGGTCCCATTTTAATATGTGACCATCAGAAACTCCAGTGTATGGGTCACCGCCAGTTGGATCGAAAGCAATACTCTCATGTCCAGACGCACCAGGAATTGTGAATCTTTGTATCAATCTTGGTATACGACTAGCCATGAAACCTAGGTGTTGAGTCTTTTTATGAACTCCAACAAATTAAGCTGGATGTAGTTTGAAGAATTACGAGAAGAGAATAAAACTTTATTTGTTGTAAGGATAGGATATGAAGTACGCTGGTTTATACCACATTTATATAGAATAATTAGAGCCAATTTTGATCTATTCCTAGTAGAGTTGAGAATTGATAACATATTCATGCATGAATTCTGATTCTTTTTTCATATTTTCTTTTCTCTATCTGCTTAGGATTTTATAATTGTTTTATTAATTAATAATATGGAAAGTGGTTTTGAATTGCTGCAAATTAAAACCAAAAAAGCTGATTGACCAAGGCAGCCTGGGAAAAAAATAATGGACAAAAAAAAAAGAGAATCTAATTTAATGTACTGATTTTTTTTTTTATTTCTTGAAGAAAAGGTTATTGTGCAGTACAAAGAGTAAAACAAATTATACCAAAAAAAAAGACAGGGAAAGTAAAAAGAGTAAAACACTGCATTAAAAGAAACCGGGATCAAAGCATGCACTAGGTCCTGCAGGTAATAAGAACAAATCTTTCTAACCCAATTAAAACAAAAATTAAACAATATCATGGCCACAAAGAATGCACAAATCTTTTTCTATTCTCTAGTTTTTTGCTACCTACTTCGGATGTTTCTACAAGTTCCATTATAGCCATACCAATCAGATACCATACAATGGTTGCTATTGACAATATCCCGAAGCCGAGAACCACCTATATGCTCTTCCAATCCACCTGAGGTACCTTCCCTTAACTTTGATCGAACTATAGTTGCTGCCACCACGCAAAACACTAATGGCACACACTCCACAAGAATGATTGACCTTCATTGTTTCGAATCTCTTGAATCCTTGTTTCGCAGCTTTTCTTTCTTCTTGGTGGAAGAAGGTGCTGATGATGGCATTTCAGATTCCAACTCCATCATGCTTGACGCAAATGCATGTTTGGATGGATCCCAATATTCACCTTCAGTTAGGTAGTTTGATGAAACTGCGCAGGAAAATGTTGCATAGTCTCTCTTGCTTGTTTCCTAGCCTCAACAACATCCCTAATCTTTTCGATGTTGGGATCAGCAGAGTTCTTATCAAAAGGTGTTAAAATTTTGAAAATGTTGTCAAGTAGTTCCACCTGGAGGTGTTTGCCAGTGTAACCATTTTGTTATCGATCCAATTGCGTGAACAGCCGAGGCCTTCATTTCCCAGGAAGGGTAGATATATCCGATTCCTGAAATCCAAATGTTTAGTCGTACTAGTGAGTTCTAACACATGATTCTCCGGATTAAAGCAATTGAATTGACAACTCAAATTTACCATAAAGTTCAACGATCAATCAATAAAATCCATATACTTTCGTGACCGGACCCCCGAGGAGTGCTTGCCACTCATATTCGAATTAAACACAAAAGCACACAGGAAAACAATTGAATCCATGAGCACAAGTTGAAAGGAAAGAAACTCTTTTAGGAGAAATCGTCGTAAACTTGATTCTTGAATCAAATTGTTGTTGAGTGATCTCCAACTACCCTTGTTTCTCTCTGTGTATTTTAACCCTAGCAGCTGCCTACGATATTTGATCCTCCTTTTTGGTGCAATCTTAGGGCTTATTCACAAAACCCGAGACTTCTCAATAGGAAAGTCTTACAATGTTGGTCTGTGTCATTCTAAGTGCTTCACTCCACTCTAAAGAGTGGTCTCGATAACCAACTATCAATATCTCGTCGCTCTGTGGAGTGCCCCGTTGCTCTAGAGTGGTCCAGACAGTAAAGTCGCTGCTTTCGGTTGCTTTTCTCTTTTTAATCACTCGTGGAGTGGTTCTTTTCACTCTGCAAAGTGTTTGGTGGTTTTCCAACTTTTCTTCAAGTGCACATATGTCATTTTTACTACCTTTCAAACACATTTTGCTCACATTACTTCTGTAAAAGAGATAGCAAATAAACCATATTAGGTAGTAGAAAATTCATATAAACTTATACACATTAGAGCAAACTCAACACTATCAAAATGGTGATTTATATGTACATTCTTATCACATATGCTCATTAAATAGAAATTATGACAATCTACAAATTTAAATAGGAGATTTATAACATTCCGAGTTTCACTGTCAGTTGCACAAATTATACAGATTTGTTGTCCTTATCCCTAATTATAATTAGTAGTAAAAATGATGTCCTAATAAATTTGAAAGTAAATATATAAATTTTTTGTTTCTATGACTGAAGATCATTAGGCCTCTTGAAAATTGCAATCTTTTAATTGTTGGGATTCCAAGTTGTTACTATTAGCTTATTTTATTTCATTTTATTTTACATTTATTGGTATTTGTTTCGCAAGATCACACATAAATTCAAAGAATTAGGGCAGAGATCAAGACCGAATAACTCTATCCCAAAAAAAAAAAAAAAAACTATTGAGTTTTGAAATTTTTACTAACAACCGTACAAATCTCAAATCAATGTAGATTATTTTTCTGAAATGGATTATAAATTTTTAGCCCATGTAAATATATTTATCTCCCATAGATAATGAGGATTTTTTTTTTCTTTTTTTGGTTTGGTACAAAGATAATGAGGATTTCATTTCCTTTTATTGTGTGCTTTCGTGGATTGGTCCGGGGATGAAACCCTCCGGTGGTCACAAATTCAAATCTCGCTTGAATCTCACCATCGCTAGCAAGGAGCATCTCCTTAAAAACAGTATCAAAAGAGAAAAGAATATTACACGGCTGATCATCTGTGATCTTGCCAAAAGGGAAATACTCCTTTCTAGGAACTTCTTTCTCGTATGATTAATTTGTTTTTCTTCTTTTCAACTAAATTCAATTACTCCTTTCATTCCAGAATAATTGTTTGGTATAGATTTTTAGATTTAGTACAAAACGAGTTTTAAAAAACAATAATTTTAAGACTTAGAGAATACAAAATATATATGCACGGTGTTCTTATAATAATGTCTGTCTGTGCATAGCATGCATGCGAATCATGCATTGTACTAATTTCATCGTCATTCATGTAGAATCAAATGCTAATGCCAAGGCAGGATCAAGCTGTTTAGAGAAGACAAACCACTCCATCATCTTTACCAAACGGTGCTCAAATTGGTTTGGATCAGACTCAACAGATACAACATGTTACAAAGCCCCGCTGTTCTTCTCAGCAATCATTGGTTGAAACTTCTGATGGGATGTCTGGAGATCCTTCTACATCTCGCATAAAAAAAGTGAAGCAGTCACCGGACGGATGTGATGAAAGGTTTTGAGCTCCTCAAGGTCTGTTCTTTCATGCAATTTAGATCTTTTAGCTCATGCATTTTAATGTGTAATATTCTCTCTGTTCCAAAATGATTGTCCTGTTTGATTTTTCATTTTTAAGTACAATTTATATTAAAAAGTGAAATGTCAAATTGGACAATCATTTTTCAGGACAGAGGGAGTACTTTTCTTCAGTGTTCTTAGGACTTTATCAAATAACTAGTTTTTCGTTTTCATTTTCATTTTCTTTTTCTTTTTTTACAAACGTTGATTTTTCTGTCCATAACTTCCTGTAACTGTAGAAAGGGACTGCGACTCTGCCACAAAATTTAGTGGAAGAAGCAAGACGGCCAATTTCGGTGCTGGAAACTCAGTTGTCGCAGCTTTATAGTCGCAATTGCGTATCTTGCGAAAAAAGTGGTCAAGAAGGTGAAGAAGACCGACCCCAGCTTTGATTTGGGGCAGAAGTTGGATACAACAACTGAAAGTAATTATGAGACTCCTCCAGTATTCAATCTACAAAGTGAAAGTGAAACAGAGGCGAACAAGGTGGAAGTTGACAAGAACCTGAAAGAGACCGATGGGCATGGATTTGGGAAAGAAGATTGACACTATTGTTAAGAGTGGTAATGATGAAATTGCTGATATTATGCACAGGGATTTGGCCGTCACAACTAGAATGACAACATGAGTTGGTTCCCAAAATTTTTTGCAATCATTGAGAGTGAGTGTGTGTGTGTGTGGGAGTACTAGAAAAATGTCCTGTGCATGTCAAACCTTTGTCTTCACCGTGGCATTCGATCAACTTGAAGAAAAGACATTCTCTTGTAGCCAACAGGTCGAAATGAACTCCCACTGTGGAATTAGTCAATGAAAGTGTTAAATCATATGTATCATCAAGTTATCTACAAATTTTACTGCTTTCATCCTAGCGATGATGCCCAAGAAACCATCCTATTTCCGTTGTTTTATGTATTTTGAGTTTTTCTTCTCTTCGGATATCAATATCCACTGATTCAACTAATCTGAATTAATTTAAACTCGATACTAAATTTTATTTCACCCTTAAAAAAATAGTACACATTGAATTTTGAGATCACTCATTGTACTCAGAGTTGAATTAGGTTTGTGCCTTCGTGGCGAACACAACTTATCAGGCATATAGCAATTGAGCAAAATGTACCATTTCAGGGGTATTGGTGATGTATTCTGCTAGTCATTAAAATTAAATCTTGTTGGAATTTTTGGAAAGTAATGAAATTGATTGTAAGAAAAAAAAAAAAAAAAACTAATCAAGCTACTTTTATCATTTCACAATTTTGAACCGGATGTGATAATACAGTCGGTAGAGAATGCTACAAAATATACTGTATTGTCTTACTAGTTATCACATCACATCTTTTATATTCCTTATTTAGATTACAAATTTTGATTATTTATTAGCATATTTAACTAATTTCCCAATCGATCATAATTCCCTTATTAAACATGAATCCTTATTTCTATTTGAGGAATTTGAAGCAAACGCACCCTTAGTAATTCTCTCCGTTTTGTGCCCATAAATATTGGGGATAAATAAAGAAAACCTCCGAACTATGTCCCAAAGACTAATCTCCTCGAGATTTTTTCTAAAGACAATACCTCCTGACCATCATAAGTTTGAAGTCAATGGTCCAAGGGTGTTAGAATGACTAGAAAACTAAGATGATTATGAATATATTTTAAATAGAAAAATTTATAAATCGAATTTACAATTATACTCCAAACTTACTTATAATTTTTCAAATTATAAAAACAAAAACACTCCAAACTATATTCATATTTCCTAATATTGAGTAATCATATTATCTTTTACAGTGTCTGTAACTTAAAAAATTAGCTTATAGATCCATAAATTATATATTAAATTCAGAAATTTAAATAAAAGATTTATAATGATCCGAATTTTCACTATCAATTGCACAAATTTTAGAGAGTTGTCAAATAAAGAGTATTAACAGAAGTTGTAGGGATTTTCGGATTTGTGGGTTGAAACAAAACCAAGTAATAACATAATTATTATTAAATTATTTAAGACGCTTATCTTTTCAAAAAAAAAAATTTTAAGGGGGGCATGTGAGATTTGGGCATAGCTTGGGAGTCTTTGTCGTTTTTCAAAATAATAATAATAATAATAACAATAATAATAATAATAATAATAATAATTTTAAAAGGGTATTGTTTTTATTTTACTCTTTTCTTTTTTCCATCGACGGAGGGTTCAATTATCCATTTAGACGTAGTTTTGTCCTTCTGAGAAATGTCAAGGGGGAATAATATTTGAAGCATAAACTCTTTTGAGGGGGTCGAACCGTTATAAACAAACCAATACACCTTAATTTTGTTATACTCTCTCTCAAAGTCTTCGATTTTTTCTTCTTTAATTATTAGATCTGATAGGGGAAAAATTCTTGCGTATCAGATTTCTCGAAGGAGATCGAGGTACGTTTGATTATTAAAATCTTTAGGGTTTTCAAAAAGAAAAACTTTAAGTTGGGATTAATTTCATGTTCCCAAAAGGTTTTCCCATTGTTTTTGTAGGATTACAAGAATAAAGAACTTTGGAGTTACTAATTTATGAACTGTTAAAAAATTATTTATATATCGTGTTTGGTGTATTTTAGTTGGAAGCTTGACATGGAATCTAGAAGTGGAAGTGAGTCTGATCAGGCTAAGAAGGCCGGCGGTGGATATGGCCAGATTCCGGCAATGACGGCGTCTTCTTTCCAGCCTCCGGCGGATCTGCAGCCGTGGCTATCACAATATGATCAACTGCTGGAGCAGGTTAAATTACGGCACCAACAACTGCAGCAGCATCCCAACAGGTAGGGTTTCAATCACAACGTCCAGTTTATATTTTAGTAGTAAAGTGATGCCCTAATTAAAGTGATTCTTTTTTATTATTATTCATTTTTTTGGTTCTCATGAGTGAAGATCATTAGAGGCTTCTTGAAAAGTGCAATCATTTTATTCATGGGATTCCAAGTTGTTATTATTAGCTGATTTTTTATTTCATTTTTTTTTAATTTTACATATATTGGTATTACTTAGCAAGAATCGCATAAACTCAAAAAAATTAGGGCAGAAATCAATATAAAGATTAATTTTAGCCCATGGTATATTTATTTTCAACAGAAAATGAGTATTTCTTTTTCTTTGATTGTGTGACTTTTGTGGATTATCTGGTTAGGGGATGAAACCCTCAAATTGGAGGTCACATATTAGAATCTCACTTGAATTCACCAAGCCATCTCCTTAAGAACAGTATTAAAAAATAGAATTTTATAGGACGGATTTATATGCCTGATGATGTATGGGGTAGAGGATATTTAGGACCTCTTTTTCTCGTATTGTGTTTCTCTTTTTCAACTAAACTCACTTACCCCTTCCATTCTAAAACAATTATTCAGTATGAATTTTCATTTTTAGAACAAATAAGTTTAAATAAGACAATCATTGTTGAACAAAGGAACAAGAGTTTTTATCGTAATTTCTGTATGTCCATAGTATGCACGCGAATCATGCGTTGTACTAATTTCATCATCATGCACCATCAGAATTTATTCGTCCACACATTGGAGTCATGTCTAGTGAATTAAGATAATACAATGAATACAATATTTTTTTTTTTTTGAAATGATACTAAATAACTAGTGCAAATAAGCTTTTGTGCCGAATCCTACCTATCTTATTTTTGTTTGATTATTTTGTGTTTGCATACAACTTACTTTGTTTTGTAATCTCTTATGAGACAACAGAATCACATAGTCCAAGAGAAGACCAAGAAAAACTTGGCTACAGCCAAACAGACCACTAACATTGAAATTCTGAACACCATTGCTGCAACTTCTTCTGTGTCCACCATGCAACCGGGTCATCTTGTTAACCCAGGTGCTTCATCTTCCAGTGGCCATTCTTCTTCCCTGCCGGCATTCGATCAATTGAAAATCAATTTGCAGCAGGTAACCACCCCGGCGAAACCAAATCCCGGTCGAATAAACAGAAGTCAACGTGTGCAACAGCAGATAGCTCTTAGGCAGCAGATAGCTCTTCAGCGTGACAAATTATCCAGAGCAATGAATCGATCGAATCAGTCGTCCATGATGGCAGCAGGACAAAATGCCAACCACCAACCAGTTAGTTCATTCCCAATGGTGGCAAATAATAGTTCTCCGGTTGATAAATCCGGTATTCAAATTCAATATGGTTCCGGCAAGCAGTCTAGCTCAGCTCCGGCCTCCGCTTCTGCAACTGGTGGTTACCGGGGGAATCCACAATCACTCCTGCATTCTCAGACGAAATTCGTGCAGAATCAAATGCCAATGCCAAGGCAGGAACAAGTTGCACAGAGAAGACAAACCATGTCTTCAAATCCTCTGTTTCCTCCTATAACACAACACATTTCACCAAATTCTTCATCTGTAGCGAAAGGTGCTCAAATAGGTTGGGATGAGACTCAGCAGATCCAACATGTTAGAAATCCCTCTACATCCCAGCAATCATTACTGGTTAAAACTTCTGACGGGGTGTCTGGAAATCCCTCCACGTCTTGCACTAAAATAGTGAAGCAAACACCAGAGGTAACAGATGAGATGAATACTTTTGAGTTCCTCAATCTGCTCTTTTATTTTGCAATTAGATCTGGGTCATGGATTTTATACTTTTCTCCAGTGTTCTTAGAACTTTATCAATAAGCTAGCTTTTGTTTCTCTGCTTTTTTTTTCCCCTTTTCTTTTTAAGAACTCATTCTGATTTTTCTCATTTCTATCACTTTAACTGTAAAAATGGACTGTGACTCTGCCACAGGATTTAGCGGAAGAAGCAACACAGTTGTCGTGGTTTGTTGCCCGGAATGATTATCTGGAGAAAAAAGTTTATCGGTTTGAAACTGAGTTGTCTCAGCTTGTTTCCCGCAATGCTTATCTAGAGAAAAGAGTTTCTCGGTTGGATACTCAGTTGTCGCAGCTTGTTTCCTGCAATGCTTATCTGGAGAAAGTTGGCAAGATGAAAAAGGCCGAACCAAGCTCTGTTTTGGGCAAGAAGTTGGCTAAAATTCAGTCAATCAAACAGCAGAGCTCATCCAAGGTGGAAGCTGAAAGTAATTATAAGACTCCTCCGGTATCTAATCTACAAAGTGAATCAGAGGCAAACAAGGAAGAAGCTGAAAATAACGTGAAAGAGACCGATCCCGGAGTTGATTTGGGCAAGAAGATGGATACTACTCAGCCAATCAAACAACAGAGCTCTCCAGCAAGTAACCTGCCAAAAAGTGAAGCAGAGGTAAAAGAAGAGGAGGTTGACAAGAATGCGAAAGAGACCGATCCCGGCTCTTGATTTTGGCAAGAGGTTCGATATTACGCCATCAATGAAACAGCATTGTACATTACAGCAAGGTTTTGCAAGTGATGATGATATTGGTGTTACTTCAGAAAGTAATCTGCAAAGTAGTGAAGCAGAGGCAAATAAGGAGGTCAATGAAAAGGAGGAGGAGTTTTCTGATCCAAAAGAATGGGACTTACAGGATCTTGATGGATCAGGTGAAAAATCTGGCGGAGATTCCATAGGTGAAGATGACAAATCGGAGGAGTGGGTTCTTTTGAGTTTTGAAAGACGATTAGATCGTTAGATGTCCTTTCTTATGAACTTAGCATCTCTTTAATCCTTCCTTCCCGCACAATAAAAAATTTGTTAGTTGAATCTTACTAGTTATATTTTGGAACGGGAAAAGTGTAGAGTTAATTTTACTCCTTTTCGTCCCGAAATGATTATCAGGTTGGAATTTCATTTTAGTTCATATTGTAACAAACTAGATAATTATTTTGGAGGGAGTAAGAGTTTCAAATTCTATGATTTTTTTTAGCTGTTATGGTAAACAGTACACTGGCTAGTTTCCATGACTACATAAAGGATACATAAAAGCAACTGATAGTTTCCATGGCTAGCTAGTTGTTATGATTTTTTTTGAGTTGTTATGTTGTTGTATTATATGAATCTATGATGTTGATTTAGTTTCTGATTTTATGAATCTATATGATATTTTTAAGGTATAATATCTGTACAGGACCAAAAATTCAAGTAAAGACTAGTGCTGATTTCCATGACTACATAAATGATACATGCAATTTTGGAATTTCATGTTGTACTAACTAGATAGTAGACACAATTTTGTGTTTGACCAATGGCATCTTTTTTATCTCTTCTTCTCTACTTTTAATGTGAGATAAGATAACTCGTCTGACGCGTTTTCACTTGAGACGGAAAAAAAGAAAACTAATATGTAAATGTTCACATTAGACAATCACAAACACTATCCTGATTTACTGAGACAAGAATAGATTGTAGTCGCAAGTGATAAACTTTAGAAACTGTGTGATACATTGCATATTCCAAAATCCAAATGCCTGATCTTTAAGCGAAAAAGAAATCAATTGTAGTATTTAAGTTTAAAGAAGATTATCCGATGTTTAATTTTTGATGGTAGCCATTTTGGGGGAAAAGATCCTAGTTTTCTTCTTCTTTCTTTACCATAAATATTCGTATCAAGAAAAATTTTGGAAAAAAAAATTATTTCTGTCATCAATTAGATTATGTTGGAATCCATTTATTTAATGAAATTTATTTACCAAATAAACTAAATGTTTAGAAGATATATAATATACTCTTCATATACTGCTATCCATGCAACAAGTAATTACTTACTTACTCCCTCAATTTTATTTTTTATTTCTAGTAGTAGCTACCAAAACTGTAAAATAAAATTACTAATATACTAACTCGATTAGGACTTGACGGGATTTATCTGTTCTCTACAATTCTGACATAATCCTAATTCGTTTGGGTTTTAATTAACGTCGTTCACCACATTGTGCTTCATAAAAGTATTCAGAGGGTTTATACGTAACAGAGCTTTGATTAAAAAAAAAAAATCTTACGGGAGAGGTACGTCAAATTCCTACCCAATGTTTACTCTTTTAATGCTCATGATGATCCTACACTTCAATTCTTTATTTAATCTCTCTCTCTCTCTCTCTCTTTTCTCGTTTCTAGGGTTTAATTTTATTTTTCCTTCTTGAATGGATTAGGGATGAAAATTGGGGTTTTGTGCTCGTATATATTATGAGAAATCTTACAATAGTTTATAATTATTTCATCCTTTTACAGTATTTAGGATATGGATCAGTTTGATCGCGTGAGTCAAGGTGAGTTGAAGGCTCTTGAGGTTGGTGTACTTGGCCGGATTCCGACGGCGCCACCTTTTCCGCCTTTGTCAAATTCGCGCTATTGTACCCGGCGGGATAAGGTAGTTCTTCGTTTTTGTGATGAGTATTATAATTAATTAACGTGTATACCCTGAAAGTGATTTTTTTTTTCTTTTTAATTCTTGATTTTTCACGAGGGAAATCACTGAGGCTTAGGGTTAGGAAAGAAGTTGTCTCAATAGAATAAGTTGATCCATTCATGATTTCTCAATAGAATAAGTTGAAATTGCAGCAGCAGGTACGTAATAGAATGGAAGAGTTAGAAATTCCTGCTAGGGTCAAAGATGAAGAAGAAAAAGGCCATGGTTTTGGTCGACAATTCCATTCACCTCCGGGGTTTGAAAGGAAAAAAGATTCCTCGGTATCCAACCGCCTGAAATTGGCTCCACCTCGTCAGAATGGAGATTCATCACTTGTAACCCCAATGCCCCACCCCAACCTGGAAGGCGAAGAAGGGCTCCATCGCAAATCAGCACAACCAAAAAGAACTTCTCATAGAGATGAAATGTTTGTCAATGACTTGCTTGCTCTTCATCAGCCAGCTAATAAGAAGTCCCCAATTTGTAAAAAAACCCCAGTTGGACATGGCTCTAGTCAACGATCTTATACATCGCCAGGATTTGAGAGGAAGAATGATTATCAGGCAGCCAACTCCATGCACCGTGGAAATGGAATTCAGTCTCCACAGCAAGGGGCTCCTCTGTTTGCAAACGTAGCGATCATCCCTGACCCTGTATTCGAAGGCCACGAAGAGTTCCAAATCCGCCATCACCCATCAACACAACCAAAATCCTCCACTGATTATGCCTCCACCTGGCAGCCTAGCTCAGCCATTTTTGGATACCCTTCTTCCAGGACTGCTTATAATGGCAATTATCAATACCCGCAGCTTCCTCATGAGATCTATTCACAGGCGAAGCAGAGCAATTATCTATATCCGTTGTTTCCTCATGAGTTATACTCTCAGAAACAGACTCATGAGGCAACCATTGGGAATAATGGAATGTCCACCAGATCGTCTCTACCGGGTAGCAGGAATCCTAATTGTTCTTCTGCGGAATCTCCATCCTTTGATTCTGTTATACAAGTCTCGAAAAGTCCTGGAAAGCTAACACAAGAAATAAATGGATATACAGATCAGCCCAAGGATGTCTTACTATCTTTTCAGCGACTCAAGGTTGGTTCTCTTTCTATAATCAAATTTAAACGTGCTATGCACGCAGTTTTTATACTCTCAATTAGTAACTTCTTTCGTGCTTTGATGCAGTTGTGGTTTCATTATGTCCCTTATTATTATTATTATTATTATTTTTTATTTTTTATTTTTTATTTTTACTTACCCCTTCAATTGTAGAATTGCATTGGTGGTCTGCCGGAAGATATACGTCAACTGGTGTCACCGCTGGTTTCTGAGTGTCATGACAAACTGGTGAGCCACGTTCTCCGGACTGCTAGTTTGGAGATTGAAGTTGGTAAGAATAATGCAAAAGAGAATGAACCCAAATTTGTTTCTAGCAAGAAAGCCACTCAGTTAACCGAACAACAACCAGTAATGGAGGAATCATCAGGGAGTGACGAGATCGATGTAAATGAAGCTGCTAATCTGCTAAGTGAAAAATCATCGGTGGAGAAGAAGAAGTGGATTGAAGAAGCTGATCTGCAGAGTGGAGAAGAAGCATCGGTGACAGAGGAGTCTAGCCTTGTGTTAAGCTTCCTGCTGGAAGAGGACCAATTGATTTCTGACGATACCGCCGGTAAAGGATCCGATGAAGAATCTGAATCATGGACTGGAAGTTCCAAGGGTGAAGATGATGACTGGGTTTCCCAAACTTGGGATGAAGGGGAAGTCTCCACTCATGAAGACCATGCTCAGCTGGTGGTAGATTGGGTTTGCATTTGATAATTGAAAATCCCGGCTTCTTTTTTTTTTAACAAGTTTAATTTATTTTCAGTGTTTCCTTCTTTTTTTTTTCTCTAATTCAAGTTTTTTTTTTCTAACAACCAATTCAAGTTAAAGTCACCAGTAATTTTCATTTTGATGATTTTTTTCGTCCCACCAAAAAATCAAATTTGTTAAATTATACAAGAATTATATTTTTGATGATTGGTGTAAAAAGGGTAAATGGCGGATATCTAATTGGATTTTTTGGACCAAAAAATGGTATCCCGGCCAAGATTCTGGTATCTAATGGTCATTTTTACTATGGGAAACTATCAAGTTAATTCGATTTCTGGTTGTGAAAGGTCGATGATAGTTACTTGAACTTGAGGAGGTTGTTCTTTCTTTCTTTATTGTTTATTTATATTAACTGTTTATATTGTTTTTATTGAGTTACTAAGATATTTCACTCTTTCCCTTTCACGACGCATTCGATATGTAACGCACAGGTAAATTAGTGGAAATTTTACACTCAGAGCTGATTTTCCAAAGGTTTGCTTAATTCATTTGAAGTCATAACCAGTTGGAGTGATTTTATCAGGTAATCCCTCCGTCCCATAATTATTGTCCAGTTTGGGTTTTCATTTTTAGTTCAAATTGTACTAAAAATCAAATCTCAAAGTAGACAATAATTTTGAGACAGAGAAAGTATAAATTAAAAAACCAGATGAACCAAATCTTAGTGCTACCTGCGTCCTAGAAAAATGATCCACCTCCAATAACGGCGCTGACTGACGTAGTGAAGCTATCGGCCAGTTGCTTTGCTGGTAGGCCGACTTAGGTTATTTTCTTATGCATAAAATTACTGGTTAGTTATCAAATTTAATTAAGTGATTAATGAACTCGTTTTGTAATTTCATCATGACAAGAGAAAGTAAGGAAAAAAACAAATCAAATTAAGTTAAAAGTTATAACAAATACAATATGACAATAAGCGATGGGTTATGACGTGTGAAGTATTAATTTATGAATAGTTGATTGACATACTGTTTAAGAAAGTCAAGAATGTATTTTACAGCGATGATTTGATTTTTATTCTTAGGGATAGTATGTTATGCCTTGGATCCCAAAGCAATTCTCATGTTATACATAGGACAATTATTCTTGGATTACGGAAGCCAGATCCACTCTGATTATCTGTATGCTAGCTAGTCATGTAAGTTCCTCTGTTCAGAATATTGTCTTTCTTCTGCTGACTCATTCAGTAGTGAATACTTTAAAAGGCACAAGTGTAACCTGTTTCTGAGTTGCTGAGGTTCTCTATATCTGTGTTCTTTTTTCCATTGAATACGAAAATCTACATCAGGCAGTTGGAGCATTCTGGTACTTGTTCACGATAGCGCGCGCATAGATGAATGCTGGCGTATTTCTTGCGCCGAACATCATTGCAATTTCGATGCTTTGTACTGTGGAGCGCCGCGCTAGCTGCCCCCTCCTTGACCGTAATGAGATAAAACGACCAACAGATTTTAATTTCTGCATATTCCTTAAGGCTCTTCAGTCTCAAGTAGTTGTAAAGGGAGACTTTTCGCCCAAGCTCTTCAATCTGCCCCTCTGGTGGGGATGGCGAAATTTAAGGTTTGTTCTCAGAGTTTGATGACTAGTTCCTTTATTGCCTTGTCTCAGTAGAAAGCTAGAACACATGTTTTTTGAACCAAAAGAAGAATGATATCTGTCTCACCAAATTAAACTCAAATTTGCATTACACTTCACTTCACATGATATTCACTCATTGGCTAACATTTACCCCCTCCGCGAAGTATTGATTCAGAGTGACAAAACAAATTAACAGTACTAGTTAAAGTTCCACCAGTTTTGGGTGTTTGTTGCTTTCCCATGAACCACCAAATGTATAAGATATATAACTCTGAAAATGGAGCTTTCGCTTAGGATTATGTTGAAATTTCCGCTTTGTCGTGCATTCTCTCTGTCACTCACAGCTCAGACTCGGGATTTTCAATGTATATAATCCTAGATGGTTAAGTATGCCGTGTTTATTTCCTTACATTTGTTTTTCAGTTCCCTGGGTCAAAACCTCCAGACAAGCAAAGACATTGTGAAGAATTTCTTTGCCCGCCTAATCTCGGTCGCTGGATTTGCTCTGTTTGCATTGCTCATCAGCAGAAGTCTGGTAGAATCTGATAGGCAATTCAATGGCCTAAATGCAATGGTTTCCTTAACATATTAGTTGATCATAACCATCAAAACCTCCAGACAAGCAAAGTAAGTTTCATCTTTGCACGTTTTGCTGCACTTATTTTGTTGTAGTCTTCTGGAAATTTGTTTCACATCTTAATATCAGCCAACAATTCCTTTGTGTATTTTCTGCCTTTTCCCTGAAATGGTTCCTCAGAGGGAATTTCTCTTTCCTTCTAGGTGACAATGTTCGCGAAAATGGATGATCAGTTCATGAGTCTTGTGTATGATCGTCTTAAACAAGTTTTCTTCACCGAAAAAAATGGCTATATATGTGTGAAAGGTGACACAATTGATGAAATGCTCTTTTTCAAACATGGCAAGCTTTTGAGCATGACCACCAATAATGGCAAAAGTACTAGCTTCAGGGTTCTTCTCAATCCGGGGGCATTTTTTTTTTTATCGAGGAGCTAACAACATGGGCTCTGGATCCCAAATATAGCACTAGACTTCCAACTTCAGTCAAACCAATGAAAGCAATTGATGATGTGGAAGCTTTTGCTTTGAGAGCTCATGATCTGAGGTTCATAGCCTCCCAGTTCCCTTGTCTAAATCACAAGCAGGCCCAACACATCTTCAGGTGAACTTAACAACCATATGTTTATCTGTATTTAAAAGTAGAAAATTATGATCGTGCGTCATGCATGATCGTCAAAGTGAAGACATACCGCTGTTTAATAGTGCTTTAGTTGTTTTGCTGCATATCTGTACTACTAGACCGGCATTTTCTTTGTGAAATCTAGCGCTGTTGTGCAATGTGCATCAGTCCAACTGTGCAAAAATTTCATTTCAGATACTACTCAGAGCAATGGGGCAGCTCGCTGTATACAATCAGCTTGGCAATCGCTATCACAGGAAGAAACTTGAGAAGTCCTTGCAGGAGGAAGAGGAAAGGCTACAAGTAGCCTTGCACCAGCAGGCTGGAGGAGGAAGCCCAACTCTAATCTTGCTTCCACCATTTATGCATCCAAATTCGCGGTCCGTGTGCTACGTAAACTTCGTCGCAATCATCAACCAGTACTGCATCAGAAGCCGCAAGAACCTGATTTTACAGCAGAGTTCTCAAGGTAGAGTGTGCTGCAACTTTAGTGTAATGAAAATGAATCTTTACTATTGACTGCAAAAATGTTACTGTTTCTCTGTGTTAAGGAGATTTTCACTCAAAAAGTCTTAAGATGATGGTTTGCTAGTTTTGTGAAAGTACGTGATGAGAATTCTGTATAATGTAGTATGTGTAAAGCATTAGCATATTGCTGCCTTGTCTCAGGTAGCAGCAATGTAAATTCTCATGGTTCTCCTATACTTAGAAAAATTTTGTTGCTTCTGCATTGCGAAAAACGAATGTCGCAATGTTCTTCTCAGTCTACTACACACCACTAAACTCCTCCGGGCCCCCATTAGATGAGGGGATTTCAAGAGCCTTAATTCCCACTAGCAAAATAGAGTGGTCTTAATAGGTTTTTACTTGAATTAAAACAATCTCTTCTCTTTCAAGTCTTAAGAAGAAGACTTGGAAGTTGAATACATACAAGAAGACACTTTTGTTCAAGATACTCGTATAGAACAAAATTTCCTCTAGAAAGGAAAAAAAAAAAAGAAAAAAAAAAGCCAAATGTTCCAAATGAAGGGACAGTCAATTTGCCCATGTCCAAGAGTTATTTGCTTGACCGTAATAATGATGGCTTAATGAGGGAGTAATTTGCTTGACCAGACTAATGATCACTTTGCAAACTTCGAACTCCATCTCTCCAAGTGTCCAAACATAAATAGTGGTATATGCATCCAATATGTGAAACAAATGCTCCTTTTGTTTCTAACTTTATCTAACGTAAACCTCATTAAAAACACCCGACCGTTGGAATGGAAAGAAAAAAGCGTTTTCATGGACTCTAGAATCATTTTGTCTTTAATTCCAAATAAATAGTACTACCTCCATTCCAAAATAAGTGTCGTTCTACACTTTGCACATATTTTAAGAAACTCTTAAATAGGGTAATAAAATTACTTGAATATTCTCAACCAACCCCATTAGAAATTTGTCCACCAATAGCATCAACTTTTTTGAGGGTAATTTTGGAAACTTTTGACAAAAAGTGCATTGAAATGTGAGAACGACACTTATTTTATAATTTCTCTATTTTGCTAAAACGACACTTATTTTGGAATGGAGGGAATAGTTAGATCATAGAGCGAAGGGAAATAGTATAAATTTCAATTCGCTCGGGAAACATGTGATAATAGCTGGCCTATTAATCGTACATTCTGCATAATAACACAAGTTCGAAATCACAGCCACAATTTATCCTCCACTTGCAAACTATTGCATGAAAGATGGCTTTCCTAGTGTTATCTGTTTGTTTGGTTTTTGGGATGTTTTTTTCAGATTATTTTAATAATAAATATCTTATTCCAATATATCTTTTTTAATTTTTAATATAATTTTTTACATTTACAATACAAAAAACACATAAATACACACACTAAAAAAACGAAACAAACATTTTACTTCTTATCGTACAATTTTGCTTTTTCTAGTAGATTTTTTCGCTCAACTTTTTGTTAATATATTCGAAATTTGTAATGTATTTTTTTATTTTACGTTCTGAACACATTTTTAATACTCTCCCGATCCTTATTATAAGTCATTTTGATTTCGTCCTAGATTTCACCTAAGATGTCTTTTTAATTGAAATAAAAATTTTAAAAATATTTTATCATAATTAGGAGAACAGAAAGAATATGAAAATATATTTTTAAGGTTTTCTTTTCAATTAAAGAGATTAAATTTATGACGAAATCATAATAAATAAGGGCCGGAGGGAATCTAAAATAAATATCGTTTTAATAAAATGAAAAATTTCTAAAATAAGTGACGTTTTTTATGCCAAAGCACTTTTGGTCTTGAATTTTCAAGATTACTCTTAAAATAAATAATATCATTGGTAAGAATTTATTTTAATAAAGTTAGTTCCAAATATCATAGTAATTTATTTGTATTTTTTCCAAGGTTTGTAAGATATAGAATAACACTTATTCTGTGATGGATGGAGTACTAAAAAAAAACGTTTTGAAACAAACAGCAGACACAATCTAGTGTGTATATAATGTGATCTGAGCTGAGGGATATAATCCAGTGTTCAGGAAACATCACCACGTTTGATTATATTGTGTATCAAATCAAACGCCACCAACCACCATCAAGATGTGGGGCCCGGCACAGGTTTTCTCAGAGCCAATCCCTTATTCACGTGCTTCCTTCCTTATTGACGACCACCGTCACAGAATACAACGCACCACACATTATAAAAACTATATATACATATATTTATTTATTTATTTATATATTCTGAGAAAGAAATGAAGATATAACAGGAAATACAAATAAATCACGCAGAATAATTCGATTCAATCCAATCTCTCTGATAAATTTAACAACATAAATAAATCAAGTGACAAAAAGAAGAAAAAAAAAAACGAAAAGAAAATGTCTCTCTAAAAGGAAAAAAGGAAAAAACAGTCACTAATAAAATTACATGACTCCACCAAGAAAAGTGAAAAAGAAAAAAAAAATAATGATAAACAAGTGGGAAAGTAAAATGACGAACTAGGACATGGTAGCAGCAACAATTAACGAGACTGACACTGTCACCAGCACGCTGAACAAAGCCGGAGCCCTGACGAAAGCGGCAGCGTTTTTGTCGGCGGTGCTGTTCTGTGAGTCAGGGCTGGGACCTTCCGACGGAGAACCGGCCGGAGAAGATGTCGGCGGAGCGGGAGGAGACAGGAGGGGAGACGGGACAAGATCAGCAGGTGAAGGAGCAACGGACGGCGCCGGCGACGGAGAAGTCTCGGGAGCAGGTCCCGGCGCCGGAGCAGGGGACATTCCGAAGATCTCCTGTGGGAGAAGCACATCTTCCACTGTGAAAATGACCAGCGGAGGAGAATCAGAAACGGTGGAAGCCACTCGAGACTTGTCTACTCCGGTGTCGAGGGTGATTGAATCGCCGGCGGTGGTGACACCTAAGCCGTATTTTGCAGCTCCGTTAGTCGCCAACGTCGATAACGGGTCTTTTTGGGTCTTCAGAGATCCGGTAGGATTATAACTGGCGAGGGCATGGTACCGCAGAAGCGAAGTGAGCTCGGCGCTGGTAAGCTTGCTTAGATCTGGCACATTCGCCGTCTTAAATGCCTCATCGTTTGGTGCGAAAATCGTCAATCCCTTGCTAGCAGCCGATTCGAAATCCTTAATAACTCCGGTCTGGGTAATCAAATTAGCAAAAGTTTTGCATCCGGCCTTCACCAACAAATCGGTAATATTCGACGACGAGGGGCCGGCGGCGTCCAAAACTTGAGGCACAATAATGGGCGCACTGATCTCAATGACGGAAACGTTGTATGGGATTTGTTTGACAGGCTTGACGTAAGTGGAATTGAGAGGGGAGCCAGGGGAAGCACCGCCGAACCCAACTTTCCCACCTTTCAGATCAGTAATGTTGACGGAACCCAGGTTTCCCGGCGCGTTTCCGGTGGTCTGGTACAATGTGGTGGAGAGAACTGAACCGTCGGAGATGTCGTGGAGTTTAGATGGGTCGAAGTAGTCGAGAACCACGTGAAGGGACAACTCTGCTTTGATTTTGGAAATCTCGTTCTTGGCCGCGGAAACAAGGGTGCCCATGGCTCCATTGCTTAAAGCCAAGACGGTGATGGTTTGCCGGCTGTTAATTTCGTCGGCGAGTTTGGTCTCGGACAAATACTTGTTGAACTCGCTGTAGTCAGGGAATCCGGCAAGGACTTCAGTGATGTTGGATGAATTTGCAATGGCCAAAATGGAGGCAACACAAAGGGCAAATAGGAAGATTTGGAGTTTAAGATTTCCCATTGCTCCGAGCAAAGCAGTGGGAAAGTGGAAAAATGTGAACTTGAGAAAAGCAAAAGAATGGAAATGGAAGTGAATTGATACTCTGCTACTACTGTACTGAAGCAGAGTAGGGAAGCAGAGCAGGGGAATAATAAAAGGGAAAATTGTTAACTAGGGTTAACCAAGGTGTGGAGTTGGAATGTTAACTAGGGTTGGTAAGTTAACCAGGGTTAGTTGGTAGAGGAATTTGAAGAGTTTTTAAGGAGATGGAATATGACAAGAAAGGGGCAAACGGGATGGTCTTTTTATCTGGAAAACAGCTGGAATTCTGGAAAAATTATGCTAACGTTATTCTTCTTCTTTTTGGACGTTTCATTAAATTGGGATGAATGTGCTTTGTCTTTCTCTTCTTGTAATAATTGTTGCATTTTGCAATATTGATAATACTTCTGGTGACAAGTTTTTTACTTGTAGTAGTAGTGTAGTATTAGTAATACTTATCCAGATTGTTTCTAGCTGGCTTTTAAGGTTCTGTGGCTGTTCGAATTTTGTTAGGGCAATTTTATTCGGTTTGCTTTTGTTTGCCAGTTACGCTTATTATTGGGGGTGTAATGAAGTGGCTCAAACTTGTGAACTTCATCAATTTAATGTTGTTGTTGACCTCTTTGATTGTGGGCTTCAATGTGGTCAAGACATAGATTAATTACGTTCCTATCGGGTTCAATTTACTAAAAACTTGGAACATTGGAGTGTATTTTGTTTTGAATTCAATCCCGATAAAAACAGGGGATAAATGCAAACTTAGGTAGTGCATCATTTGGTTTGAAATAATGTCGTACTAGCAGTAGTATACTTCATGCCAATGGTGCTTTTATTATTATTTTGGTGTTTTCGTTTAAACTGTGATAAGATAAATGATTTATAGTTATCGAGAGAGGCTACCTAAATCAATCTTCATCTATCTTTGTTTATATGTTTCAACTTTCAAATTGTGCTTATGATTTCAATTTTCTTTTTAAAATATAAGTGTGTACATTTGATTTACCATTCTTCTTACTTTTCTAAACCTAGATTTTCTTATCTATCGACACTTGAAAAGAGTTATCTCAATCGTCAAATAATAATCATATTGTGTGCATGAAACAGTTAGTAAAACGAAATTTGAAATTCTTTTATTAGATGGACATTTCATCAGCGGATTATAAAATACCCATTTGTTAGGTCTTTTATAGCAAAAATAGTTCACCCGAAGTGTTTAGATGTAATTGTTTTGAAATAGAGTACCTAAAGGTATTTGTTGCTCATGATTTTTTTTTTTTTTTTTGGATTTAAGAAAAATGTACATTGAATGATTTTAAAAGTATAGCTCTCTTAATAAACAAGACTCTTTTTGTTGTTACGTTAGTACTTAATAAGGAGTTGGTGCATAACTTAGCATATCACCTCAGTGTGATGCAAGACACTATTAAGTTGTGCTTTGATAAAGTTTCATTTTGCTTCAAAAAAAAAAAAGAAAAGGAAAAAAGGAGGAATATTTGGTACAATAAAAATATAAGTTCCCTCAAATAATCATTATTTTTTCAGAAATGGAAGAAAAGGAAGAGTGAGGCAAATTTGCTGAATATTCACCAAAGGATCCCACCGACACAAGATTATTCTGGACTCTCAACGGATTACGGATGGTCACAATTCACAGAGCATTTATTTACTCTGGGCTCTTCTCAGCCCACTCTATAGAGTGAAAGTAAACTCATTTATACGAACCCAAATGTCAAATCGTTGAAATCAGTTGACCCAACTGATAGAACACGCAAAGCCCATGAAGATCCAACAAAGAAAGAAAGAAAGACCAAAAAAAAAAAAAAAAACAAAGGAAGGTGACATCTTATGCGTTTTGCGGTGTGAATCAGATAATATGTTCATCGGACAACAACAAAATCCCATTCCCTCTCTCACTTCACGAAATCCTTTTGATTTGTTGCTTGTTCCCTTTCCTTTTCCACCCCACTCACATTAACTCCATCCTTACTCTGCAATCACTCCGAACGTTTATGTGTATATATATATATAAAAAGCTGCAATCTGTCAGAATTCTGCCAAAAACTACTTTAAAGTTTTTTCCTTCCATACATTTCTATCTATACTACACTTTCTTTGACTCCCACTGTTTTTTTTTTTTTTCTTTCTTTCTTCCTATCTCTTTCTATCTCTGCATCTATTATACTAGCCTTTCAGCTTTTTCAGAAATGGCCAGATGGGCTGTCTGCATGTCAGTCACAAGTGACTATACTGATATTGTTGTTGTTGCTGCTGATGCTAGTAGTAGTAGTAGTAGTGCTATTGCGTTGTTCAATTTAGGCGGTTCTTGCTTTGCCACTTATTACCATTGCTACAGTTCTTGTCCTATAATACTTCCACCAAACAAAGTTTCCTTTTTTCCCCTCTTTGAACCCTTTTCACAGTGTTGTTTTTTTTTTTGCCCTGTCTTAATAACACTGCCATTTGCAGTTTTTCCAGTCAGACAACCATTGTCTTGGGCTTTTAATACGCATTAGTAGTGCTCTCTCTATATCTTGAAGAAGACCCATGTCAAGAAATGCAGACCCTGCAGCTTAAAGGTGTGGTTTTGAATGTTAATTTTATTTTCCCTGAAAGAGTCTCTCAATCTTTAAAGTGGTTTTTTTCTTTTTTATTTTTTGGCAATTTGATGATGATGGTTTTGTTACCATGATGGTGTAGGAGAAGTTGTAGTGAAAAGGGAAAGCTCGCCTTTGAGTGATCTTGAGCTTGGGATAAGTAGCTACTATGGAGGTGTAAAGAGCAAAATTAAAGAAGAAGCAGATCAAATTGTGTTCACAGCTGAACAAATTCAGGAACTTTACATTCAAGCTGCAATCTTTAGGTATTTGCTATCCGGGCTTCCCGTGCCTATTCACCTTGTTCTTCCTATTTGGAGCAGTGTTGCCAGCTCTCTGGGCCCTGATAGTACTGGAATTTACAGGCATTTCCCAACCTGTACGTTTTTAATACATTCGTTTGTCTCATTTCTCTTCGAGTTCTTATTTAGTACCTTTTGGGTTGGGATATCACTGCATCATCTTGAACTATTGTTAGTCCTGTTTTCACTTTAAAGGTGGAACCTTTTTAAGGCCTTATACCTGAGCTGGTGCGGTCTGCTTTCTGTTGTGTGAAACACTTGGCTGAATTTGTCTAAACTTATGACTTGTGGTTGAGACATATTGGTTTGAACTTGCAAACCCTGTTTTTGCCATTTATCGGTTCTAGTTTTGGCTGAATTTGTCCCTGAATGTTTATGCATAGGTGCTGTAAGATGATTATATGGATGGCCTCTTCTTCTTGTTAGCCATATTCAGTCCCTTAGTTATCTGATTGTTTATATCTACACGACTAACTTTGAAGAAATTGGAATTTCTCATCATTTTGCTGTATCATAGTAAAATAACATTTTGCAGGATCTTCATGATTGTTTAAGATTTGTGTTGATGAATGAAGAGTGTCACTTTTATAACTTAGACTGATTTCTGTTGTTTTTATCTTCTTTTAGTGGCTACAGTCTTTGCATTTGGAGACGATTTTGATTGCCGGAGCTTGATGGATCCTCAACCTGGTAGGTGTAGAAGAACTGATGGTAAGAAATGGAGGTGTTATAAAGAAGTAGTTCCTCTTCAGAAATACTGTGAAAGGCACATGCACAGAGGCTCTCATCGTTCAAGAAAGCGTGTGGAAACTGCTGAAAAAGCATCAGCCATCAGCTCCTACAACTATGCACCGCCTCTGACTTCTGCTAAGGCGGCCTCTCCTGTTCCTAGGACTGCAGTTGCAGTTTCTACAAGCCTGGATCTTACAGTTCCGTGTTCCGATCCTATTCAGAGTGCGCCTAGAACTTTTAAAGATGGCTCTTCTTTTACTTGCAATATTATTCGAAAAAGCAAAGGTAAAAAAATGGTGGGAGAAAATTGTGGCACCAATGCTGGTTCTTTAGTGAGAGTTCTAGCTGACAAGAATAACACAAAGTACCAAAGTGACTACGGCAGTGGCAAAGGTGTCAATGACTCGGATCACATCATTAACTCCAAAATGATGGATGGGAGCAATAACAATAGTTTTTCAGATGCATCAATGGCCACAGGATTTGGTTCGTCTCCAAAGAGTGTGCTTCAACTTGACAAGGGTAATAAAAAATTACCGTTCCTTGTTTTTTTCCCGTGCTTGGTTTTACATGCTTATATTAATACAGTGTATATGGCACCAACTGGATTACCTAGAATCTGTTTTGCTGTTTGGTTTGTATTTGTCAAGTGCCAGACCCTTAGTCAATCTGATATTCCTTATTTGGTATTGATATCTTTCCATACGAGTCTTCTTGTCTTTTCTTCTTCCATTTAACTGTCCATGTCTCCTTGTAAATGAGGAAATTAAGTACAGTAGGTTTCAGGAAAGAACCTATTCAGGCTTAAAGTTGGGATAAAGTGATCATTTTTCCCTGCCTGAAATGGGTAGATTCAATTGTTTTGTAGCTGGTGCCTGGTGGCTAAGACAATATCTCTATTGGTCAGTTAGATTACCTGTGAATGGAACATCAGTTGGGGCCTGGATTGTTTAGATCCCAAAGCTTCGGGGCCTTGTAGAGCATCCTTCTTATCTGTTACTCTAGTTTTGGATTTCAAGTTTCTAATTGAATGGTCTTGGTCATAGGCAGAGCTGATAAGAAAAACTCAAAGTACCAAAGGGAGTACAACAGTGACATAGGTTTTAGTAACTTCAGTCGCATCATTAACTCCAAAATTGACAGGAGCAATTGAGTGAATGGTAAATATTTTTTTCTTTTCTGTTGCCATTTCAATTTAGGGAATTTGGTTATTAACTCCCGACAGCGTTCTTCAACTTGTCAAGTATAGTCATTAACTCCTGTTCCTTCCTGATTCCAGTTCCCATTCTTGGTTAGTTGGTTCTCTTGCCTGTCAAGTACATTGCACTGTACTAGGTTTTCTTTTTAGTTTTCCACAATGTGTTGCACACCCTTGGGTTTTTATTTCCCATTCTGGTCTTTCCTCTTGTGCAAGCTCTGTTTGTGTTCATTTATCAGTTGAGTTGGTTTTGATGATTTCTTTTTGTGTTGGATTCATTGCATATAGATGATTATGATTCTGATGTGATTCTTCTTCTATACTAACATGATGAGACCTGGCGTTTAAATTGTGTTTACAGCCACAGTCTGTACTCGCTTGAAGCTGGAGTGTAGGATGCCGGAAGAAACTGAACCATCACGATGCAAAAGAAGTGATGGTAGAAAATGGAGATGCAAACGACATGTGATGCCTAACAAGAAATATTGTGAGATTCACCTGTCCCGAGGATCCAAGAGGTTTATGTCACAGTCTAGGGCAAGTGGTGCGCCAGTTCACATTCCTCATGGTTTTCCCTCCAACTGCACCACACCTTCAGCAGCTGAGAACAAGATTAACCTGAACACCGATCTCTCCATCTCAATCACTGCCAGCCCTCAGAAGACCTCAAATAGTGACTCTAGCAGCAGTGAAGCCACCGATATTACCGTCTGAAAATGCCAGCGATCCTTGCAATTTAACCTTGATTTCCATAACTTCAGTACGTACCACCTCCATTTTGCATTGGACCAACTTGCTTCGCACAATTTGACTGTATCCTAAGAGCTTCAGTACCAAACTCGGGAAATCGGTCTTCCTTTAAGCATTTTGAACTGGACCAACCCAGGTTATGTTTATCTTTCATGCAATGGGGCAAGGGTCCATGTCTATAGAGTTGTAAAGCTCTGTACATTTCTAATTATGCCTTTTCAAGCGATGTACTTGTTTTGATCTCTCTTTTGGAGAGTGAATGGTTTTTTCAACATGTGCAAAAGCTACCAAAGCTAAGTTGGAGAAAACGAACAAGCTCACCGAGTTAGTCACTACTCATTAAGGTGATCTCATCTCCTAAAACTAGAACAATCTACTATTATTAAGAAGGGAAAAAAGAAAAGTTCTCTCATGAACAAATATCAGAACTGGCGATCCATCAACAGTGGTTAATTTTTGATAAAATGCCACTACAAGATTGTGCAACTGCTGTTGCTCTCGTTTTTGGCTTTTTCTGAGTCCAACTCCTCTCTTAACTTACAAATCTCCTCCTCGGATTTTGCCAATTTCTCTTCAAGTCTACTTGTTGTCAGCTGAAGCTCGGTAAGTTTCGAAATTATCTGTTGAATGTTCAACAAACTTTTAAGAAAAGGCAAACCAAAAAAAAAAAAACAAAAACTACTCTCTTTGTCTCAAGATTATCGTCCAGTTAGGATTTTCACTTTTAGTTTAATTTGTACTAAAAATAAATACTCAAATTGAACAAAATTATTTTTACTTTTAGTTTAATTTGTACTAAAAATAAATACTCAAATTGAACAATAATTTTGGAACTGAGGGAGTACATTTTTGCTGCGTATGAGAACTGAAAATGGACAGAAATGAGCAAATGAGGCTGAATGTTGAAGAATGTGTACCATGAAAGTTAAGTTTGAGTCTGGAGTTTGCTCATAAGGTAGCTTTGGGTTGGCTCCTTTCTGTGATCAAAATCAACTTTCTTTTAGTAAAAACCCCAAAAAATAAAATAAAAATTGAAGCTGTAGTTTACCTTATATTCCAAGAATAACTCGTTCGTATAAGGTTTGCCACCATTTCTTAACCCAATTTCTTCGTCAATGAGAGCTAAAAGCTGCTGAATCTGCCTGGCCTTTTCACCTTTATCCTTCGTTCTGTTATTGAAGACCACCCATCTTTCTCCGCACTTACGCAGCAATTCCTATGACCAAATACACACATTTTTCATAATAAGTCTAATTGACCTAGCTACATTGGATTTATGGTGGAGTCAAAAATTTGTTTTGATCAGTTAAAACAAACTAAGGGTAATAGTACCTTTAAAGCATCTGGGCTGTCAGCTAAGCGGTCATCAATTGTTTCATCGTCCTCAAGGTCATCCCCATGTGTAAAAGCGACAATCATATAATCGTTAATCTTATTCCCAAAAAACATTTGGAGATTCTTAACAGCTTCTCCTTGTTCATCAGTGAATCGATTCTTCAGCGAAACGACCATGAGGATCGCATGAACACCGTCTTTAGCCAATGCTATGCATTTAGCAATCTCCTCCCCAAGAGATTTTTCATCAGATGCATAACAAAATAACCCTGCATTATTTGACAAATTAGTAACCTAACAAAGAATAATCTTGTTTTCTTTCTTATTTCTTTTATCCCTGGGAAGACGAACCACGAGAGTTATACTTCTTCTGTCTTAAAATTATTGTCCAGTTCGAATTTTTATTTTTTAGTTCAATTTTTGTATTAAAACTGAAAATCTAAACTAGACATTGATTTTGGAACAAGAAGAGCATAAAGAAAAGAAATACCACCTGGTGTATCGATGACATTAAGAATCCGTCCATCTTCTAAAGTAGTCTTATCGAGGGCGCAAGTTTGTGTCACACCCTTCAGTTTGGACTTTGATAAGAAAGCCTTTTTCCCTAAAATACTATTACCAGTTGCACTCTTTCCATTTCCAGCACAACCAACTAACACAATGGTTCGAGCAGAAGAGTGAAAATCACAGTTATGTTCAAATGAACACCCTCCCATTTCCACAACAAATTACAGTGCACCGGCAGGTTGGCAAGTATGAGTAAAAAATGTCGAAAATGAGGGTGGAAAAAGAGAACCCTTGAGCAATCGCACTTGAAAACAATCGAGGACAACAGTCTTAGGACGGAAAGAGGAAAATAAGCTCAAAATACTTTTGATATGCAGTTCATGGAAAGATCATAAACTCAAAAGATGCATAGTAATATATTGAAGAAGCGAAACAAGAGGTTCTTCTGGCGTTGCAAATTCTCGTTTAATTAATTGGGGGAATGCAAAAGAACATAAAACCGTTCCAAATTCCTGCTCTTCCAACTTCCAAAAAGCCAAGCTACATCCTTCCCAAATCCCAATTTAATTAGTACTTCATCTTATGTATTCTCATGTTGTTTCATCTGATTTGGACTGAAGGACTAATCATTGAAGACGTGTTTTTTTTTTTTGGGTATTAATGTCCCAAAATAATGAAATATGGTTCAGATTTAATTCTGTTTCCTTTTCTCTTCTTTTATAACACGAGATGAGATTAATTTGGGTGTGGTCCGCTTAGTGTAGATCTCAGAACACTTTTATGTGATTATTTCATGGACTCGTAAAAATTTACCTTCAGGCGAAATCCCAAACGTCTGTCAAATCCTAAGTTATCCGCGAAACTAAAGGACAACTTCATTAATTTTCAAGTGCTAAGAGTGTTTTTTAGCTGATTTTATCCAAAAATATAAATAAAATTACACATATTAACGATATAATTTGAAGTTTCTTGTAAGAGAAGACATAATTTTCGTCCCGTTTTTAATCAAACATCCGACTATAACCTAAATGCCGAGGCAGCCGTCTCCTTTACAAGTTTACATCCTAACAAAATCGGGCTTAAAATATTTCATCGAAATTATAATCACTTCTGCTATTTCTCCATCGATTCTGAGTTAGTGAGCTTGTTAATGGAGAATTTCGAGTACCAAAAATCGAAGCTTTTCATGTTCAACAACAACAACAAGGATATCACAACCCAGAACAGAGCATTTGACAATTCCGCGGATCAATGGAGGTTAAGATTTGCAAAAACCTTAAATCCTGTCAGACCATCCACACCAAGTAGCAACTTAAATAGTAACTTCCGCATGTTTTCATCAGCTGCTGCATCATTGCACGGCAGATTAAACATTGCTGATGATTCAAAGAAAGCTTTTTTATTGAATGGTTCTGCAGGGAAGAGATTCTTCAGCAGTTCTTCTGCTAAAGGGGCTAAAAACAATGTCGATTGGGAACAAATTCAGAAAGTGCTTTTGGATTCTTCTGCTCCTATCTTGGGTTGGCTTAGAAGGCACAAATTGTTAAGCTTTTGTATTTTTGCTACATTTAGTTTCGGAAGTTTGCAATGGATACCAGTATCAGAGAGAATGCATATGTCTTTATCCACTGATAAAGTAGAAAATGTGCTTGGTGGTATAATTTGGGAGGAGGAAGCAATGAAAAATCGGGCCCGATTCATGGGTCCAGATAGCCCAGAAAGCATTCGGGTTGTTCGGGTTCTGAGAGACATTTTACAGGCAACTAATCAAACATTGGGGCTGAAAAATGATTTTTCAGGGTTTCAGTCTATGTACCAAGGAAAGAATTGCAGGGGAAGAATTCCGGTCGCCGCCGATTGTCATTTATTCAACGCTGGATCTTCAAAATGGAAGCGATGATGTATAGTTGTTCCCATCCTAACAAGAAGCTTTCAGATAAGCCTCACAAAGTTAAGAAATTTGGGATCAAATATGGAACAGAGCATTTGGAGGGATTAAACTGGGAGGTAATGGTGATTGATCATCATGTAAAGAATGCTGCTCATATTCCAAACGGAAGGATTATAATTTATACTGATTGGTTTAAAAATAAAGATTTTACCGATACAGATTTGGCAACTATTCTTGCTCATGAGGTATAAACATCAAAAATCTTGTGTTTGTTTGTTGATTGTTTATAATTCTCTACTTTTGATGTGATTTTGACCTTAATTAAAAATATAGTGTAATCATGATGTAAGGCTGATGTCACGTGACTGCGATACCACCAATCAAATTGCAGAAAAACTAATTGGCCAGGCCACGTGGATTTTAAACTAATTGACCAATCTTGTGTTTTTGTCACGTTTATTTTAGCTTATAGATAATATATATGATTCTTTTTTTTTTTCTTTGATGGTGTTTATAGATAATATATCATCCTTCATATTCAACCTTTCTTTTTGGGTGATGATGTACACAAAGCAAATAGAGCGGTTGTGAAAATAAGAAACACCATCTTCGCCTTCATTTCAAGAAGGTATACTTCTTCCACATTGTTGTTGGAGTTGGAATATGATTTATCTGTTGATATACTTTTTATGTCGCACTATTGTGAATTGTTGTTGTTGTTGTTGTTGGAGGAGGGAAATGGAAGCTGGTCGAATCGGACTAATGTTGATGGCTGCAGCTGGCTATGACCCGCATCATGCCCCAAAGTTCTACGAGAAATATGATAATGCTCACGGAGATAATTTCTTGAAGGCAACCCATCCTTCTGGAGAGAAAAGAGCAAAGGCGCTGAGAAAGGATAAAGTGATGAATAAAGCCAAGGACTTGTATGATCAAGCTCGTGCCAGACGTGAACTTGAAAGTTTTAATGAAGAATCATCGGATTTTACATTTGGCAACAGTTTGTTTGAAGATGATGATAAGGGATTTGATTTCATATCCTAGAAAAAAACAAAGTTGGGGTACTAGCTATACTTTCTCTTTCCTTTCCTAATTTCTGGAGACTCGTATTATTTTTTTCATTATACAACATTTATCATTTTCTTACATTTCCAAGTTGAATTGGAAGTGGATTGAATGTTGATTTTGAGAGAGCGAAAAAACATTTTTTCCGAAATTCTAAGAGCACTGATGTGTTCAAATATAAAGGAGCACAACATACCGATGTTGGAAGCTTGTATGAAATTATAAACGGATACAGAATACATTCACTCGAGCGGTGTAAGTTCTTTCGGGAGGTAAAACTCCAGTAAATTCTAGTCGTAATATCTAACAAATTAACCCTATCTCCATAACTTGAGTACTATGCATGCATCCTTTCCTCATTTTATCATTAGACCAACTTGTTTCTCCCAGTACCAAAACTTAGGAATTGGTGGTCCTCTCAGCATTTTGAAATTGACCAAACAGCAAGCTTTTTATCCTTTATGCATACGGGGAATTGGGCGTATTGATTTATTTTTCTGTTGTGAAATGCATACAATTGAACTAGGTGATCTAGAACATGAAAGAAACGAAAAACACTATAAACTAATGACCCGACAGTACATTGAATAGTATTTTTCTTCAATAGAATCTTTGTCATCTCACAAGATTGTGCAGACGCCCTCGTTTCTCCCTGTTTCATGGGCATTGTTTTTGGCTCTCTCAAACTCCAACTCCTCTCTTAACATAAAAGCCTCGAATCTGGCTTCATTCGAGTCCAACTGACGAGCCATGTTTTCAGATTTCTCACAGTCCAACTCCTCTCTCAACTTACGAATCTCGTCTTCTGATTTCGCCGGCTGAGTTTCAAGTCTACTTGTTGTCTGCTGAAGTTCCGTTAGTTTTGAAACCACCTGTCCAATTCATACATATCCAACAAAAATTTCAATACAGTTTCGAAACTACCAATCGACTGAATAGTTTAGTCAATGTACAAAGTTGTCGGTAAAAATATGCTTAATGTGATGCTGGAAGGTGAGATAAGGCATGTTACAGTACCGTGATAGTGAAATTTTGAAGCTGCGAGTTCGGCAACTGATCTGCAGTTTGCTCATGAGGAAGCATTGTTGGGTTGGCTTCTTTCTGTTCATTCAAAATTAAAGATTCTTTTAGTTAAAAAAAGCTTAAAAATTAACCAATTTGTAATGCATCTAAGAACAATTTAAGTTGTGTAACTGTAAACTAACCTTATATTCCACAAACAACTCAGTAGTATATGGCTCGCCACCATTTCTAATGGCAACTTTGTGGATGAGGGCTGAAAGTTGCAGAATCTTGCTTCGCCTTCTCGGCATCATCCTTTGTCCTGTTATTGAAAACCAGCCTTCTGTTTCCGCAACTCTTCAGTAACTCCTATATCAAAAATAAGGTCAAATTTAGACTATTTTTCCTGATTGAAATATATGACATCTGGTAAGCGATCAAACATATGCAGGCACTTGTGCATACCTCTAAGGCATTGGGGCACTCGGCTAACGATCCTCCAATGTTTCATCTTCTTCAAGATCATCACCATGTGTAAAAGCAACAATCATATAATCGTTGATCTTATTCCCAAAAAAAGTTTGCAGATTCTTAACAGCAACTCCTTGTTCATCAGTGAATCGATTTTTAAGCGACACGACCACCAGGAAAGCGTGGACGCCGTCTTTTGCTAGGGCAATGCACTTAGCAATCTCCTCCCCAAGAGATTTGTTATCAGATAATGAACAAAATAACCCTGCATCGCAATTCAATAACTTATAAATTTTACATTAACCTTGTGAAAAATGTCATAAACTAGGGCTAACGATTTATACGGACAAAAGAGGTTTCGAGATCAAGTACCACATTTAACATTACCTGGTGTATCAATGACATTAAGGATTCGACCATCATCTAAACTAGTCTTGTCTAGGTTACAAGTAGTTGTCACACCATCAAATTTAGACTTTGATAAGAATGCTTTTTTCCCTAATATACTATTACCTGTAGCACTTTTTCCATTGCCCGCACAACCAACCAACACAATGGTTCGAATTGAAGAGTCACAAACACAATAATCTTCTTCACAATAGCATCCACCCATCCCAAACACACGAAAACTACTGTAAGAGCTACGAATTGATTAAACCAAAAAAACAGCAGTAAGCCACTAACACACAAAGCAAAAATTGAATTGGTGTTGATGGTGGCGGAATCCTAGCTCTTCCAGGAACAAAAATAAGAATATGAGAGCTTAACTATATATATAATTGTGTGCTTATTGCGTTCTTATACCACTAGAAAAGTACTCACTCCGTCCCAAAATTATTGTTTTGGATTTTCAGTATTAGTTTAAACTGAAATAAAAGTGAAAAGTGGACAATAATTTAGGAGAACAGAACAAGTACTACCTTGTTGACAATATCAGGCCCAATGATATAACTTAACCGACTTACTAGGAGACTCCAAGTGTCATATAGAGCACTTTCCTTCTTGTTCAATAAGGCCTAATTTTTCTTTTTCTTTTTTTTTCCCCTGTCTTAAATTAAAATCAAACATCCAATTATAATAACCTAAATTCACGGCAGGCTATCACTTCTCTGCAATTTTTTAGTACCCTTGGATCGTGAGTTTGTTGACGAAGGATTTCAAGTATTAAAGATCAAAGCTTGTTTCCCATGTTCAACTACATCAACAAGAAGCAACCAGCTTTTTTAAAGTTCAGTAGCATTGACTCTTGCGGCCGGAACAGAGCATTATTATTAGTTCAAAACTCCGTCAATCAATGGAGGCTTTTAAGGTTTGCCAAAACCTTAAATCCTCCTGTAAGAGTCAGACCCACATCATCAAGTAGCTGCTTTCGCTTGTTCTCATCTTCAGCATTGTATAACGGATTGAACAATGCTAAGAACTCAAAGAATAAAGCTTTTTTATTGCATGATTTTGGGAGGAGGAGATTTATCAGCAGCAGTTCTTCTGCCGCAGGGGCCAAAATTAATTTTGATTGGAGACCAGTTCTGAAACTGATAGGCTTGGGTGTTTTTACTACATTAGCTTTTGGAAGTGTACAATGGGTACCAATCTCAGAGAGGTTGCACCTGGCCATATCCACTGACAGATTTGAGAATATGCTTGGCGCTTTGATTTGGGAAAACGAAGCAAGGAAAAATCAGGGCCAAATCTTGGGTCCTCAGAGGCCCGAAAGCATTCGGATTGTGCGAATTCTGAGAGAAATATTACAGGCGACGCATCAAACATTGGAGTTGAAGGATGATTTCCAGGTTTCAGTGTATACACCAAGAAAAGAATTGCTGAGGATGAAAGAGCCTGTGATGAGGATCCTTTGATATCAAGGTTTCTTGATTTCTTGGAGTTTCAAATGGAAGTGGTGAAATACTATTTATCTCATCCTAACAAAACAAAAGGGCTCAACTACACAAGCCACAAAAAGTTGAGGAAATTCGGGATCAAATACGGAACATCGCATCTGGAGGGACTACATTGGGAAGTGATGATGGTTGACTCTAATACAAAGAATGCTCTTCATTGTCCAAATGGAAGGATTATGTTTTACACAGAGTGGTTTCGAAATCGCGATTTTACTGATGCAGAATTGGCAACAATCCTTGCTCACGAGGTACCAAAACAATAAAAAAATAAAAAAAAATAAAAACCCTCGCCTTCCGGAAAAATAGTCCACAGTGAATTTTGATATTTATAATGTAAGCAGTATAAATTTCAAAACTAAATTCTTATTTTTTTTGGACAGGGGAGTAATACACATTTCCTTTCCCTAATTTTATAAGCTTTGATTTCCTACATTTACATTTTTTTAAAAATTTTTTACTGTATTTTTTATTTTTTGGCTTTGATCATCAATTGCTCGGATTCTGTATAAGGTTGGGCATGGATTGGCGCGGCATTCATCTGAACATATGCTGAGAGCACTTTGGACCATGGTTTTCTCTATATTGATTCAAACATTCTTTGGTGATGATTTGCATTCCCACGAAATGGTGGATAAAATCTGCCAAACCTTCTTCGCCTTCATTTCAAGGAGGTACACATATAGACACCCAGCATATTGTCATTGAAGTTTTTCAGTTCTGTTTGCCAACCAATAATCCAATATATATGTCACAGAAAAAACACATAGTCCGGCATCCTACATATTTCAAAGAAAATTTTTTTGTTACCTTGTTAGTTGTTACCTTAAGTTAATTGGTGTATAAGAGTTGGTCTATCATCAAAGAGAAGTAACTTGTGTCATACTTGTTGAGGTTCATAAGTTGGCATCAAATTTTACAGGTCTAAAACACTAAGCTCCCTTCCCTCCCAAAAAAAGTAATCTACATTGAGTACAAATTTCGAAACTCGATGTGGACAACTTTTCTGGGACGGAGGGAGTATTAGATTCATAATAACCAAATGAGCGAAAACTTATTGCTTGAACATTTAGGTTCTATGGTCCATTTAATTACCTTTAGGTTTTTGTTTTTATATGTTGTTTTGTAGGAGGGAAATGGAAGCTGATCGAATCGGAGTGATGCTGATGGCGGCTGCTGGTTACGATCCTGCTGAAGCCCCAAAGTTCCAAGAAAAACACGGTGACGCCAGGGATGATTTCCTGACGTCAACTCATCCTTCTGGAAAGAAAAGAGCTAAGGCGTTACGAGAGGATCAAGTGATGAAGAAAGCCAAATACTTGTATGATCAGGCTCGTGCCAGAACTAATCCTGGAGTTAGATTTCGTATTTGGCCAAACGTGAAGAACTAGCTTCGTTCATTATACTCTGGATTTCAATCATTTCATAAATCAGGACAAGTCGGGTACTGTGCACAAAGGGCTATTCAGTTTACATGAATTTCTGTTTTCGGTCATTTAGAAGACCACGACTCAAGTTAACTTAATATGTGTACCTGAAATGCAGTTTTTTCTTGTTTGAACATTGTACACGACATTTTATGGCAGAAGAAAAAAGACATTTTTTTTTACGTAGAGGAGGCCACGAAGCCTAAAGTCACAATATTCATCCAATATTTCCTAATATATCCTGCCAAAATACGATCACAAAATACCTTGCCATTCCTTCTACCCTTGATAGTAGCTTGACCCATGAATCTATGATAAGCCTTCTATTCAGTATTAGACAAAAGCGATACCCTTCGAAGCATATGGAATTCCTTCAAAATCACCCTAATCCAGTAGTCTCAATCGCTTCCAATCAAGCGATTACTACTCTTGCTCCAGTTCGGAAGAAAAAAGACTTTAGTAGTGATATATGAGATGCATAAAATAACTTTTCATAGAATTATTTCTTTTCCGAAAGCCTAGAAGCAATAAAGATTATTTCTAAGTTAAGTGAAGGAAAAGTAGTTCCGGTGAACAATTCAGTAAGGCGATGAGGTGTAATAGTATAAGTATTGTTCGTTGATAAATTTGTATCACGAAAATACCAGATGAAATTATTGACACCCATGATCATACCATTAAAAATCCTTGAAAAGTTAAATTATCGACAGCCATGATCATGATGTACTTATATTTCTTACTCTCTCTGTTCTAAAATTATTGTCCAGTTTGGATTTCCACTTTTAGTTAAATTTGTACAAAAAATGAAAATTAGACAATAATTTCGATACGGAGAGTATTTGTGAACAAAGATGGAACATGAAAAACATAAATGTAGAATTCGGGGAAAATGAGCAAACTACAGTCGAATCTCAAAAGCAAACTTTGACATTGAAACTAATATACTACCAAAGTACCAAATTACACATCTCATCCAAGCTAATACTACTACTAAGTACCGCATTGAGGGAATCCGCCACAATCACTTCAAGGAAAAGAACCCTGCAACAATCACAAATCAATAGTCAAACAAATGTGAGATCAGCATAACATTAAATTCCCCAGATAATCCCACAAGTTTAAAACAAAAGGGAAAGATGATCAAAGCTTGCAGCGACATAATTACCTCGGAAAGTAGTGGGAGGCCGTAATAGGCAAAAAACAACAAGAAACAAGCCGTTAAAAAATGCAATTATAGCCCCGGTGATAAAAAGCCGGTCACCGCCACAATCATCATCATCACCAACAAGATTAACCATTCTCTGAGCCCTTCTTAGAATGTCTCCGGGCAAGCCGGCAGTGGCGGCGAAATCCCTAATTTCAGCAATCAATTGACTAGAGCACTCTCTTTCTAAACTTATATCCAAGTGCAAGCTTGAGATTAGGTCTAATGTCGCCGTGACAATACTTCCGACAATAAAACGTAGGTCGCAATAAGGCCAAAATCGAAGAACGCACTATCACAGTTGAGGAAGATAGCCCAGAAGACAAATATGCCGACCGACATCATCATGCCTTTCACCAGATCCTCTTTACGGCGATAAATCTCGTCGCTTTTAACATCAATGGATTTCATCATCTCGAAGGCAGATTTCTCTAAACGCAGACATTTTTTCTCCAATTGAGGAATTTCGGCGGGTTTTAGTGGTGGGCTATGTGGTGGAGAAGGATGGGGTTTAAGGTTAGACATAGATTAAAGCAGAAGGGTTTTACCTTTTACGGGTTTGGAGAGAAGGGAGCGAGGGAGACGAGGGGAGGAGGAGTTGGTCGGAGAAGGTGATATAGTATTTTGGTCGACCGATTTGATTGGTGGTGATATTGATTTGACCCGGCGGCGTTGGTGGCGTTCCGTCTCCGATTATCTTCGTGTTTCGTAATTTTGTGGAGGAAGATTGAAACATGCGTATATTTGTCTTTGAATACACAAAATTTTACCTACCTTTTCACTGCACCGCCTAATATTTTCACTGTTCAGTTTTTACCCGCTTTTCATCATATGCATTTTCAATTTCTCTATTTTTTTTTTCTTTTTGCCTCTGCAAAACGAACAAAATTCTGGCTTCTTACGGTTCTTTGATTTTAATTAAACTATGCTCATTGAGTTTTCTTGTTCAACAAGATAATTTTTAATTAATAATTGGCGTCTTTTTAAATCAGCCATTTTCATAATTCGTAAACAATTCTCGTCAAACTATACCCACAAATTTTATACAACGGAGGATTAAAAACGTCAATGGAGGAGTTCAAGTTTCTGAAACCAAAGCTTTTCATGTTCAACAAGAAGAAGCCGCCACAAGCTCGTGATTCTTCCGAAAATTGTAATAAGGGCAAAGACCTTCTTGTTGTAATCAAAGCCGTGAATCCCTGGAAATTAAGGTTTGCAAATAGTACCTTAATAAACATGGTCAGATTCAGACACAAATCGCCAAGAAGAAACTTAAATAGCTTTCGCGTGTTTTAAGGAATGTTAAGATTAATCCCATTACAGCTTTTCCATTTCACAATTTGGGAAGGAGATTTTACAGCAGTTCTGCAAGGGAGCTTCAAATGTATGTTAATTCAGGACAAGTTGCCAGAGTTTTGCAATCGTCTTCTTCTTCTTCCCCTGTCTGTGTTTGGCTTAGAAGTCATAAATCTATAGCCTTTGGTATCTTATTTGCATTTACTTTCACAAGTTTGCAATGGATACCATTGTCAGGGAGGACTCACTGGGCTATTTCCGGTGACAAAATTTGAGAATATGATGGGCACCTCAGAATGGGAGGAAGACTGGAAGAGGCAAGCAAACATTGTAAACAAATTCTGGATGCAGAGGCTCCTGTAAGTATTCGGGTTGTTCGGATTCTGACAGAGATTTTCCAGGCAACTCATCAGTTGTTGGGGCTCAAGAATGATTTCCAAGTATCAGGGTATGTGCCAAGTAAAGAGATGATGATAGCGAATCCAAAGACGAATAATGTTGTTCTTGGTGCTTTCTTCAAGTTTCCTAAGAAAGTGAGATACTTGATTTCGTCCCCTCCTAAAAAGAGGGTTCAAAACAAGCCTCTTTAAAGTTAGGAAATTCGGGATCAAATATGGTACACATCACTTGGAGGGATTAAACTGGGAGGTTATGGTGGTCGACAGTTATACCGAGAATGCTGCTCATTTCCCGAATGGAAAGATCATGATTTACGCTCGTTGGCTTGAAAAACCAGATTTCACAGATGCAGATGTGGCAACCGTTCTTGACAAGGTATTTGTCACTACAGACTCAATAGATATAGGATTTTTATCTTATCATTGTGAAGTTCATTGGTTCTGCGGCTACTCAATTCAAAACCACTATCCATATAATTAACTAACAGAACAAATTCGAAATTCTAAACAGACATGTAAAAGGAGCTACTAAAAAATAAATCTGAATCCATGCATGAATCCAATCACTGATTCAATTAGATTTCTACGTGCAAACACAATTTTGAACCCGACTGGGAATAGACCAAAATTGGCTCTATAAATATGATATGGTCGAACATATTTTAATTTCATATCATCCCATCCTTCTCTTCTTCCAATTCTCGAATAAGCTTGGTTTCTCTTCTTGCGATTCTTCAAATTACGTCCAGCTTATAGGCTAAAAGAAGAAGCAAAAGATAAATCGTGGAGATTTTGTGAAGTTTATATAAAATCCCTGCGCCTTCAGTCGCTTCTTTCATGGCTAGTCGTATACCAAGATTGATACAAAGATTCCCAATCCCCGGTGTCTCTGGACCCGAGAGTATCGCTTTTGATCCAACCGGCGGTGGCACATACGCTGGAGTTTCTGATGGTCGTATATTAAGATAGGATCCAATCCAAAACTGCTGGATTACTTTTGCGGTTACCACTTGAATTCGGACTAGTTGTGAAAGATCTCACGACCATACCTTAACAGAAGCGAAATGCAGACGTCCGCTAGGACTGGATTTTAATAAGAGAACTGGCGAACTTTATATCGCGGACGCTTATTGGGGTTTACTTATAGTTGGCCCTAAGGGAGGAGTCGCCACACAACTAGCAACTTCTGCTCAGGGCCATCCTTTTCGTCTGACGAATGATGTCGTTGTCGACTAGACTAATGGTCTCGTCTATTTCACAGACAGTAGTACGAAATATCCACGTAAAGATTATGGGTCTATTTTATCCACCAGAGATAATACTAGAAGGTTGTTGGTGTATGATCCCAGAACTAGAACAGTAAGAGTTCATGCAAACGGGCTCATGTTTTCGAATGGTGTCGCCCTCAGTCAGCGAGGTGATTTTATTTTAGTGACGGAGACTACTAATGGCCGAGTTTTGAGATATTGGCTTCGTCCAGTACCGGGAAAATCCGCGGGAATGATTGAACCATTTGCACAACTTCTTGGTAATCCAGACAATATTAGAAAGAATCAGAATGGTGACTTTTGGGTGGCCATGAACTCAAGAGGAGTTCCGAATTTTACTGGATTGGGGATGATCGCAAGGTTAGATTAAAATGGAAAAATTGTTGTTGTGCCTCAAGATCCTACTGGAGCAATGTGGAGACATGCGAGCCATGTTCATGAAGATCGTGGATCCTTATGGATAGGCTCAGTTGTAGAATCTGCTATAGTTAGATTGAGAATTTAAAATATGATTGTAGTGTGGTTAGGGCATCACGAATGTTTACATTCTAGATTCTCAATAATACTCGACGGAATTTGTTTTTGTTTGTTTGTTAGTTTCTCTATTCTATTTAATATAAACTTTCAGTTTTTTTTATAGAATTTGTTTTTTTAGTTTCTCTATTTAATATGAACTTTCATATTTTGTTTCTTTTAGCATATTGAACTCTTAAAAAATTTTAATTATTTTTCATTATTACAAAAGAGGCATAAGTCCACAACTACGCATTGAAATGTGATACCCCTATTGGATTCTAGTATTTGGATATTTTCCAAACAAAATTCCCGTGTATTATTTACAAGTTTTGCAAGACTACTTCAAATCTTCGTTTTCCAGAGTTTTCTTCCGTTGTTTGAATGAACAGACAAAGAATAACTGCCTAGTATTAATCCCGATCTAAATTAACAGTGCACAATAAGGCCAAAATCCATATTTACTTACTTTACCCAAAAGGTTTAGAAGGCAAAAATTGTTGAAACAAAATAAAAATTTGGAAACAATGAGGGGGTTTGTAGAGGAAGAATAAGAAAAAAAAAATTAATCCTTTTTAGCAAAGAATCTGCCACTCTTGTGACTTGCGAGGCAATCTCCAAAAAAAAAATGTTTTCTTTTCTATTTCTTTAATTTCATATTAGGCAATTAAATTTTCCTTATTCGTTCCAAACTTCCAATTAGATGTTATGTTTTCTTTTCTATTTCTTTAATTTCATATTAGGCAATTAAATTTTCCTTATTCGTTCCAAACTTCCAATTAGATGTTTTTTTTTGTTGAAGAAAGCTTCATATCTCCCGCAAGCCCAATATATCTTTTTCGTTTGGGCTTGTCTATTTTCTTCAGTCCAGTCATCGCCTCACGTCTTAGCCCTACTAATTTTATCATATCAGGCTTAGAGTCTGACTCTTGGCGGGCTAGTTCTAATATCATATAGAAGCCCATGGAGTTCCACCTCAAAACCAATTGGTAACGAGGAGAGTAGTCCATATTCTTATATATTGATATTAAGTCTGTCACATCACCAATGTGGTATACTCATCACCCTTTTCTTAAGCGATAAACAAATCTACTTCATTACCCGCAGGCCCAGAAATTTGTAAGTTCGTGAATGGAGGATTCCAGGTCAAAGCTCTTCCTGTTGTTCAACAAGAAGAACCCACCACCAGGTTTTGATTTCACCAACATTTATCATGATAACAAGACAAAGAACAGAGAGCATAATAGATCTGTGTTTCGCAATGCCTTGAATCAATGGAGATTAAGGTTACAAAATAACTTACATCATGTCAGATTCAGACCCAATTCGCCAATAACAAACTGAGAAACTTTCGGGTGTTTTCTTCTGTGGCAATATACCACGGTGTTAATAATGCCTCCAATAAAGCTTTCCTATTGCAGAATTTGAGAAGTAGATTTTTCAGCAGATCTGTAAGGGAGCTTCAAAATTATGTAAAATCAGGACAAGTTGCAAGAGTTTTGAATCCTTCTTCTTCTTCTTCTCCTGTATTGGGTTGGCTTAGAAATCACAAATTAATAGGATTTGGTCTCTTATTTGCACTTACTTTCACAAGTTTACAATGGATACCAGTTTCAGGGAGGATTCACTTAGTTCTGTCGGGTCACAAAACAGAGAATCTGCTCGGCAACTTAATTTGGGAGTACGAGGCAAGAGAAAATTGTCAACGAATTTTGGGTGCAGAGAATCCGATGAGCATTCGGGTTGCTCGGATTCTAAGAGAGATTTTACAGGCAACCCATCAGGCATTGGGGCTCAAGAATGATTTCCAAGTGTCAGTGTATGTGCCGAGGAAAGAGTTGCAGATTCCGAAACCGAGGAATGAAGATGAAGAACTTGGTGATTTCTTTAAGTTTCAAAAGAAAGTGAGAGACTATTATAAATCTTATCCGAACCAAAGGGTTCAACACAAGCCTTTGAAAGTTAGGAAATTCGGGATCAAATATGGTACGCAGCAATTTGAGGGATTAAACTGGGAAGTGATGGTGATTGATGATCATATAAAGAATGCTGCATTTCTTCCAAATGGAAAGATTGTGTTTCACGCCAAATGGCTTAAAAATCCAGACTTCACAGATGCAGATGTTGCAGCTGTTCTTGGTCATGAGGTACGACATTAAACTTTTTCCCCTCTTAACCTCTTATTGTATCTTTCTTGCTGCAGCTTATGTACAATAATAAATCATTTAACTTTCAGGCTTGATTGCCTTCATTCACTTATCTTTGTTTTTCTGCTTGGATCAATATGGAATATTAGGTTGGCCATGGATTGGCTCGGCATGCATCCGAAAACCTGTTGCGAGCACTTGTGTATGCAGTTCTTACGTGTTTAATTCTACCTAAGATTATACCTTATAGCTATGACTTAAGATTAGTTTTCCAAGGGATTGGTCTTACAATATTGGTCATCAACGCCTTCATTTCCAGGAGGTACACTCTTATTTGTTTTTGGTGTCTTTCATTTTCGGTTTGCGAATGCTGTTGACGTATTTTTATATTTTCTTGCTTGTTTTTAGGAGGGAATTGGAAGCTGACCAGATAGGCATGATGCTGATGGCTGCGGCGGGCTATGATCCTCGTCATGCCCCGGAGTTTTATGAGAAGAACCTTGATTTTGAGAGAGATATCATGTCAACCCACCCACCTGGAAAGGCAAGGGCTGAGAAGCTGAGAAAGGTTAATGTGGTGAGAAGAGCTGAGGACATATACAATCAGGTTCGAGCCGGTCAGCGATTCGAAGCTTTCAATCATCAAAGATCAAAATTGATATCCCGCGAAAAAAATTGAATAGATTTAAATTAACTAGACATCATAACTCATAAGAGTATTTAGTAGTTCCTCTGTTGAGATGTAGCATCTTTGTAACGGTTTTGGCTTGTCCCTTTAAGCATAAAATCAATTTGAGCACCAAAATCTTAGCAATAGCAAGATGTTTTGAACAAACCTCATAATGAATTAGGTATTCTACCTATATCACTACGGCTCTTTTATTGCATTACAGCATTACTGATCCTCATTCCAACACTCTGGCCATTGTTCATGCTGGAAGAGATCTTTGAAGGTCAAGAATGAATCTATCAAATCTCACATATCCTAATGAGATACTAATGAATAACAAAATCGGGGACAACTCGTTTTAGGTGCTTAATCCCGAATTCTACTGCGTACAGAAGGGTGAATGGTTGCAAGGAATACTCTATCAGTCCTAAAAATTATTGGTCAGTTTGAATTTTCACTTTTAGTATAATTTGAAATAACTAAAAATTCAAATTGGACAATAATTATAGGACAATAATGAGTTAAGTTGGGAAACTTTTAGAGGGGAAAAAAAAAAGAAACTTAAAATTTGAATGTTTTTTATGTTAGGTTGGAGGTAAAAACCTTGTGAGCAAAGAGTGATACTTTTCAGACTTAGAAAGCACAATAGTGCTGGTTTTATCAGGAGTAATTCTGTAAACTCTGACTGAATGTTGAATTGAAATTTTGAAAGTATTGCCACAATGTTACCAAGACACTCCGAACATATCTCACAATCTGATCATCATCAATAACATATTTTTGACCTATTCCCCCAAATCAAATACCGTGTAGACAAAGTTTCTTTTTTGTAACCCTATAAACAAATCACTTTCATCAACCCACCAAATTTTAGAAATTTTAAAATCAAAGCTCTCCATGTTCAACAAGAAGCAGCTGCCACCAGTTTCCAAGACGACCCTTTTCCGCAGCAGCCAGATCAGAGAGCCTTCTACTGCTTCATTTCAGAATTCCGTGAATCAATGGAGGTTAAATCAGGTCAAACCCGGTAAAGTTCGCAGCTTTTCTTCTTCTGTTGCATTGTTAGGCAGATTAAGAAGAAGTCTTGAGGACAGTTTCTTTACAGCAAGACTTTGGGAAAAGATGTTTCAGCAATGCTGCTGGAGGGGTTGTTGATGAAGTTGACAATTCATGACAGATTTTGAAACTTCTGAACCCTTATTATTCTTCTTTGTGGGCTTGGCTGAAAATTTTCAAACTTGTAGGCTTTAATAGCAAACTTGGATTTCCTCTCCCAAGTTTGAGATGGATACCAATCTCAGACAGGATGCACTTGGCTATATTGTCTGAACAAACACATAATATCATTGGCTCAGAGTTTTGGGAGCTGGAGGCAGTAAAGGCAAGAACAAAAAAACAAAACAAGATTCTGAGTCCAGACAGTCCTGAATCCATTTGGGTTTTGCGGATTTTAGAAGACATTTTACAGGCTACTAGTCAAGCTTTAGGGCCCAAGAATGATTTCCAAGTGTCAATGTATGTGCCAAGAACAGAGTTGTAGATGCCAGGAGAAACCGATGATGATATGATGGAGTTTCGAGACAAAGTTATAAACTACTATTTGTCACATCCTAATTACAAGAGGGTTCAGAACAAGGCTGAAGAGGTTAGAAGATTTGGGATCAAATATGTTACGGAGCATTTGGAGGGATTAAACTGGGAGTTAATGGTTATTGATGAGGATACCGATGATACTAAAGGAGCTGCTTATAATCCACCAGGAAGGATTGCGTTTTACACAAAGTTGCTTAAAAATCCAGAATTTACAGATGCAGATGTTGCCACTATCCTGGCTCACGAGTTGTGAAAACTAATTTTTTTTCTTGTTTACCTTAGGCTTGATTCGGACAAAAAAGATTAAAGTAGGGTTCATTTCTTTTCACTGTTTTGTTCTAACCTTTTTTTTTTCTTTTGCTTGCTTGATCTTCCAAATTTAGGTTGGCCACGGATTAGCTCGGCGGCATAGTATGGAGCCATTACTTTGGTTTTTAGTACTTTTTTCTCGCTCTCAGCTTTTCGTTGGAATTGATGGCTCTGCGTTACTGATACCAAGAAGTTCTTTTTTCAAAGTCATTGATGCCATCTTCGCCTTCATTTCCAGGAGGTACTTCCTACACATTTTTATCCATGTCTCCCAGTTTCCCGTTTGTCAACCAATGTAAAATAGAGGGATCAGTGTAGTTTACCTATAGTCCTCTCATCCATCTATGTGTATCATCCTTGAAAACGTTAGTACATATTAGTCAATTAGCTATTCTCTTAATTCAGGTTCTAGCTAATGTAGTTTTCAGTCATAAGATTTTACTCATTTTCTTCTTTTAGCAGGGAAATGGAAGCTGACCGGATAGGGATGATGCTGATGGCCGCGGCTGGCTATGACCCTCGCCGTGCCCCAGAGTGTTTAGAGAAATATGGACCACCCAAAAGCAATTTCAAGTCACACTCTCCTACCGGGAAGGAAAGGGCTGAAAAGCTGAGAAAAGATAAAGTGAGGAGGAAAGCTGAGCAGATATATAATAAGGTTCGAGCTGGTGAGCGATATAACGCTTTCGAAAAATAATAACACTTTGATACCTGGCAAAAAGCGAGTAGCTTAAATTAACAAGATAGATTACTGTCTTTTCGTGGTTTCTGGAGAGGGGAAGGTTTTCATTTTCCGGGCAATGGTAGAGTGGAGGGATGAAAAACACTTTTGGAATAATATTTGGTCTGTCCTTAGTTCCTGCAATGCATGAATCAAGTTGTGCATCAAAAGCTAAGCAATGGCTATAGGATTAATTCATACATTGGTGCATAGATATATTCTGTCAAACAAACCTCATGATGTTACAAAAAACTTTCAGTGGAATGTATGACCTTTTGCATACTTGGTGCTGTTTTAATCGTTGATCCCCATTCCAATGACCAAGTCATAAGGTTAAATTCGAGTTGAGGAACTAAGATTTGCAGCAAACAGATAGAGTATGTTGCATAGGTACCTGTATTAATAGATGTTTTCTTTGCTTTACATTTTTTAAGCTCCTACTCTTCGTGATTGTTTCTTTCTGTATGAAAGTCGAAGCTCTTATTGAATTCGCCAAAGAAAGAGAGGCAGAGAAAAGAGAGATTAATTACTCAAACAAAAACAAAAGGGCTAAAGGCTGCTATTAACAGAGATGAATGCAGATGGTACTACTATGACTAAGGAAGGCCTTAGAGCAATATTGCTAAAATCAGATCAAGAGGTCAAACCGTGCAACCTACAATCACATAATTCCCTCCAGTTTAGGACGGAAATAGAAGCTGACCGGATAGGCCTGCCACAAATGGCTGTGGTTGGCTTTGACCCTCGTCTCGGCCCACAGTGTTTAGAGAAATATGGAACACCTGAGAGCAATAACAGTCAACCACCCCTTCTGGAAAGGAAAGGGCTGATGAATTGAGAGAGGATATAATTATGAGGAAAGCTGTGGATATATCATATATGCAATGGGTCTGGTCATCGTTACAGAGCTTTTCATCAATGATCAAACTTGTTTCAATTAATATAAGCCATTGACAGACTTTTATTGGTTCCTATAGAGATGGAAAATACTTTCAGATTAAAATTAGGTCGGTCCCTACGATGCATTAATATAAAGTTGTGATCAAAATCTGAGAAATGGCTAGATTCAGTCAAGAGACTCGTGAATTAAGATACATTGATGTTACAAAATGCATCAGTGAATATATGGCCTTTTGCTGCTACTGGTGCTGTTTTATGCAGTATTCAATGATCAGTTCATAAAAGGATTTTAAGGTTATCTGCTACAAAAAGAATTGAGACTTGTAAGTTTTTACTCAAGGTTATACTTTTAGATGTTTTCTGCTGTAATTTGCATTCAAACCTTCATAGTCAGATTTTCCAAAGAAAAAGAGAAAAGGAAATGAGGTATCAAGTTATCAAACCAGTAAAGTTAAAAGGTGTTCTTATTCACTTAAAAGAAATGCAGAATCATGGAGAAAGGCAGTGATGCAAAGTTGCTGAACTTGAACAAGAGGTCAAACATTCCCTACTTGATACAGTTAAGTTAGGATGGAACAATAATCCTACTTTGCGCTTGCGACAGAGCATTCAACTGTTTTTTTTTTTTCTTTTGCGGTACAAAGAAGACAAAAGCCTAAAATCCCAATGCTAATACAAGTTGCGGGTGGGAAATACTGATTCAGCATTCAACATTCAGCATTCTTAACTACCCATGGATGCTCCAGGATTTCCTTAAGGGAGAGCCTCTTCGATGCATCCTTGACCAGAAGCTGAACAGATGAAAGACTACATTATCAGAGCAGTAACTGACATTTCAAACCCTCATGTTCTCTTTTTGTTGGAAGATGAAGGAAGAGATTCGTTAGAAAACTCACCCGACTAATTAGATCTTTGGCTTCTGATGACACAACAGGATTAGATGGGAAACTTAGATCAACCTTCATTATCCTGTTGAAGTTAATAACTCTCCGTTATTTGAAGATAAAACATTTGATTTTAGGACTAGCTGCAACTGTCATTTACCTTCTGAATGTATCTTTTTGGCTTTCTGCCTCAAAGGGAGGGGCACCATATAAAAGCTCATAGCAGAGCACACCCAAAGTCCAGTTGTCGACTGCATAATCATATGCCTTCTCTTCCACCATTTCTGGTGGTAAATAGTCCAAAGTTCCACACATTGTCATCCTTTTCCTTTCTGATTTCAACTGGACTGACCATCCAAAGTCAGCTATCTTTAAACACCCCTGCAATAATAATCATCCAGTTGCATTGAATCAAGCAGTAGTTGTAGAAATTGTCCCAAGATCAATGCCTAATGAGAATGCCATAAGGATATGAATGTCTGAAGATTCATATGTAGAAATCAACATACAAATTTTGGAAGGCATTTTTTTTCAATACTTTTTATATTCTATTTGCTGAAGGCATTCCATTTTTCTTGAAGGCATCCCTTACTCTCTAAAACGATGCAAATTGAAATGACTCACTACTGTCAACGACCTCATATGGGATTGTCAAGTCTAAAAACTGAGCTCAAGTAAAATCCCAACCAGTGAAATACTTTCCATCACAATACCACTGATATAGCTTGGAACGAGTAGACCATATCGAGCAATGGTCACACGTCAACGAAATCATGTCAGCTTGAAACAGTTTCAGAAAGTCTAACTTCTCGGGGTAAGAAATCCAGTAGCCAACACACGAAAGCTACAAAGCGCAAGTTTAATGAAGCATTACCTCGTGATCCAATAGCAAGTTTTCGGGCTTAATATCTCTGTGAATCACATTCTTCTCATGACAATAAGCCAATGCTTGTGTGAGACTTGCTACGTACTACAACATTGAAGAAAATATCAAACACCAAAACCGAGAGCCCAACACTAAAAAATTAAAAATCAGTATACAAGATCTCAAGCAACTGGAAATTTCCACCCGAAACAGAAACACAACCATGAGCTGTGAATATTTTCCCTCTTTTCTTTGCCCTATAAGATTATTTGAGATCTTACACCTATCATAGACAAATTAAAGTGTGATAGTGACAGTGTAACTCAAGCACAAATTAATGGGGTAGTAAAAAAATTCATTAGAAGGTGTTTTCAGCATTCTGAAAACTATATGACCAGCTAAACCTAGAAAAAGGAGTGCAGAATACGTACAGTGGCAGCTTGTTTCTCAGAGAAGGAGCCGGATTTGCGGAGATGGCGGTAGAGTTCACCGCCGTGAGCATATTCCAAGATCAGACAAATGCGCTGATCATCATGGAACCAACCATAGAGCCTCAAAACATTAGGGTGTCTAAGATTAAACTGAATTTCCATTTCTCTCCTTAATTGATTGTACAACCCATGCTTCTCTATCTGTTCCTTGAAGATTATCTTTAGCGCCACTATGAACTTACTCTGCAAAACCCCAAATCAAAATAATTGAAATTTCAATTCAAATGAGGGGGAAAAAAAAAAATCAAACTTTGATGAATCTGCAATTTGGGGTTTGGTTTTTCTGCCTTGACTTCACGGGCGAGGTAGACGCGGCCGAATTTGCCTTTGCCCAGGGGCTTCCCAATTTCGAAATCATGGATTGACCATTGCTTTTTTGAGGCGGCGGCGGTGGCGGTGGCGGTGGCGGTGTTGGTGGCTGAATTGGTGGTACTACGCTGGCTAATTGGGGGTTTCTGCGATTGAATTTGAGTTTGGGAGTTCATCTCCGGTGGGATTTTGTTGCTCTTGTTCTTTCGTCGGAGTTGGGAGGGAAAACTCAACGTTGAATGTTTAAAATTTAAATGCGAAGAAAACATTGGCCATAATGCTGGGCCGGGGCTCCTTTATCCTTTATGCTTAAAAAAAAATGATTTTGAGGCAAAACTGCATTTTGCAAAGTTTAGCATGAATGTTTGTATAGACGACGCAAGCCGGTCAAGACTCTAGTATGATGGGACAAGGAATGTAGTACTCCTTCCGTAATTAATATAAAGCATTTTGATTTGTCATAGGTTTCATCTATTATGTATTTTTAATTGACAAAAAAACCTAAAAATATTTCATAACAATCAAGAAAACATAACGAATGAGAAAATATATTTTTAAGATTTTTCTGTCAATTAAAAGTACATGCTAGGTGAAATATAAGATGAATCAAAATGTCTTATATTAAGGTCCGGAGGAAGAAGTAGTGTTTTGGACTTTTGGGTTGTATCAATGTAATAAGCCATTTGGCTTCCTTGGTATGTAAAAAAAAAAAAAAAAGCTTCAACCAGCAAGATGTTTCTTTTTACGGCGACAATTGTTTATTTAGATTAATAAATTTAATAACGCGTTAAAAAAAAACTTGATAAGAACAAAGACTAGACTACAAGTTGTAGTTATTAGATAGTAAATAATTTCAAATGTTATTTTCGGTGTTAGCATTTTGTTTTGTTAAGGTTAAAAATTGATTACTTTCACGGGCCAAAAATAGGGGGTTAACTATATCAGTTAAAAATAGGAATGATAACCTAACTAATTTCTTTCTCAAAGGTGAAAAAGGTCTGAAAAGTTTCTTGTCAAATGTAAAATTTCTAGAGTATATACGAATTTAACACGTTTTTTTAAGAGTAATGATTCTCGCTTCCCCAAGTTTTTCTTGAGCATAACATATCACAATAATGTCGCATTAATATATCATTTTTGTTTTTGGCCTACTTAATATGGCTTGTAAGTGAGCTTCATCAGACAAAATAAACTTATCCAAAATATTCAGCTTTTGAATATTCATTCATTCCAAGGTCTAAAATGTTACAAATCCTTGTAAGGATTGAGATCAGCACAAGGCATTACAATAAGAAGAGACCAGAATCTAGCATTCATTTAGTAAATACACTTACAGTTGCGCCTATAAATTTACAACAGAAATTTGGTCCCGAAAAGAGCTACTATGCACAAATTTGTCGTCATTTTGAATGCCGCGCAACACGACGCTCTAATCCGCAACATTTTGTCACTTCCTCAACCAGAATAATTCAATAAGCTTGTCTGAAAACATCTCCGTACATTTTGAAGCCATCATCAATTAGCGCCAAACTCCGCGTTCCACTGTTCAAGCTCTCTCCACCTACTCTTTTGAAGGCTAGGTCTGATTATTGTCAATGCCTTCTGAAAATCCTTATAGCTTAGTGGCCTTACCTGCATATAAAAACATACGCTAAATGTTGCTTTGCTTGAATTTCTCACCAAATGGAATACACACATGACTAAGTTCTCCAAACAAATAAAGTAGGGGGTGGAGGAGAATGAAGGTCGGATGATAGCATGAAGTGAATGTCAACCGTTAACTGACAGCAAAAGACACTTAACAATTTGGTAGATGCTAAGGCAGATAATGAAGCCAACAGCAACTCAGTGATTGGCACTAATATTTGAGTCATAACTGCAAGAAATCTTGTACCTGATCTTTTCTCATTTTAAGGACCTTATCTGCACCAAGCTCCCTCATCGGCATCAATGCAGCTTCCGAGCACAATGCTTGAAGATCACTTCCAGAGTAACCTGCACAAATTTTCTTCAGATGAGTCCTGTCCAACAAAAGCAGCAATAAAAAAGAATAACTCGGCTGTGGTAGACTACCACAGACTACTTTATGATGACATCTAAAATGATCAAGAACTTCCACATGTTTCAACTTATTTTGGCCTCGGTGTAGATTTCCACCATTTGGCCCCCCAGTTAAAATCAGGAAACACTTCAAAATTTGTGAAAAAGGGTAAGCTGATACAAGCATAAAGAAAAGTAGCATTACCGTCTGTCTCATTCACGAGTTTCTCCAGCTCGCTATCTGTGACACAAAAGAGGATTGAGTCAATAACAATACTTCACTATCATAATTAATCCAAACAAAAGAAAGTTATCATTTTGGCCAGAATGTTACAGAACATAATTTGACGTTTTTTACTTCTGTAGCTTATACGATTTAATTTAACTACCGAGAAGTTAAAAGAAAAGAAAACTCTGCTCATTCCAGCTTAGATGCATGACTTTCTCCAAAGTTCAAATCAGTTTCTTTCATTTGAAGGACGAATCAGTGTCAGTAGATACATAATTCACTTTACAAATATTCCATACCACGCAAGGAATGTGGTTCATGTTTGAGTTTGTGCTTCAGAAGCTGCCGTCTGACATTTGCATCGGGCAAAGGGATATATATTCTCTTCACCTGCAACAAAATTGGAATATTTTTAACAGGCCATTCTGTCAAGAAACCAGATATTTTAAGTTTTTCCAGCAACTTTTATGATTATCAGTGCGGATCATTTTTCGGCCTGGATTAACCAAATTCATCAAGATATTCATCCTCGTGAAACATGATTGTCCAGATACCAATAACCAAGTTCTTTAAACAAGTACATGGTCAAGTAATAATCGTAGCCCAGACATAATTGGTCACAAGTAGTACACTGACACATGTCAAGACATACAGAAATAGACAATAGATGTATTGTTTTTTTTTTTTTTTGGCCGATTAAAAGTTGCCTAGAAGAACAATGCAACCACATACTTACCAGCCTCCTAAGAACTGCATCATCCAGCTCTTGTGGTTTGTTGGTAGCTCCTGCATTAACAATGGAAAACACAAATGTTAGAGTTTAGTCTTATCATCTGGTGGTGTTGAATGCATGAGAAATTGTAGCGTACAATTGGTTCAACCATTCAGGTGGTTCAATTAGCTAAGGGAGAAAGAACAAGGAGAAAAAATAAGCTATCTCAACTTTAACAAATAACCTTACCAATGACAATGACAAGATCATCCGAATTTGATGCTACTCCATCAAACTGAACCAGAAATTCAGACTTCAGCCTTCTGCTGGCTTCATTTTCGCTAGATGTTCTTGTTGACATGATGCTATCAATCTGATAATCATGCTATGATGTCAACAACTACTATAACAAAAGCACATGTCGAAATCTGAGCAATAACAGGTGTATAATTACAAGCAGTGAGGCAGAGAGACAGTGAAAAATCATAATCTTTGTACAAAACCAAAAGTACAGATTCTAGTGACCTCTTACACCTGTGACAAAGGGGGCAAGGAGGGTATGCCGGGAGCACATTTATTTTGGGGATTTGCCTTAGGAAGCTTTTACTTCCATAAATTAATTGTCCAGGGTAAATTGAAGTCATAATGATTGCCATAAAAGGTCCTCCCATAAAAGAAAAAATAAAAAGAACATTGCATCTCACTTTGTAAATGGTTGAGTTTAGCACAACCAATATTTTATGTAGTCTACTTTTTATCTAACGGCAATAATCCCATGCTTCAGTGCCGCATAAAACTATAATTTCCTCCCTATTTTCCATATGTCACGTGCATATATTTCTCATTAGAAAAACAAAGGGAACTGAGGAAACATGAGCAATTCAAGCATAAACAAGGGCAAGACTGGCTCAGACAAGTTACCTCATCCATAAAAATAACGGACGGCTGCCGAGAAATGGCAACAGAAAAAAGAGTTCGGACAAGTTTTTCACCCTCTCCAACCTATCATCAAAAATGACAAATTCAAATATGAAAAAGAACAAGTATCAGGAACCCAAAATTAAATAAATAAAAGGAAACCCAAGAGAAAATAGCTAGGAATGTAGACAGACCCATTTAGATGTCAGTGAAGATGCGGAAATGTTAAAAAAGGTTGCTTGCGACTCAGAAGCAACTGCTTTAGCAAGCATGGTTTTTCCAGTACCAGGTGGACCAAAGAGAAGCAGACCTGAAGAATACAAAGGAGATGATGAATTTAGAAGGGTAGGCAACATCAAATAATAAAAACTACCACATATTTCACAGGAAAATAAGTAATTCATTTTTTATTTTTAACTCCTACCTTTGGGTGGTTTTCGTAAACCAGTAAAAAGGTCCTTCCTTCGAGTCGGAAGAATTACCATTTCTGTCAATGCTTGTTTTGCCTTTTCCAGGCCCGCTGCAAGACAAAATGGACCATCAGACCACATCATACACTATTTAAAATTCTTAATAGTAGATGCACAGTAAATGTTATGGTCACTCACCAATGTCTTCCCATTTCACAGAAAGGCTCCTATCCAAAATAACAGAATTTATCATTTCAACCAATTGGGAGTCATAACCGCTACCATGTTTTGAGGTTTTTGGGCTCACGGCATTATTATAACTGTTAATTGGCACAGGACCACTGCTGGTCTTATTTGAAGGCCTCTGTGATGTAGCATTTCTACCATATGAAGTTGTAGGTGCATCAGCGTTACTCTGCAAGCGAGGTGCAGTACTCTAGACAACAAACAGAAGCATGTTTAACAACTATACTTCTGAAAGTATCAGAGACAAAATAAGTGCAAAAAGCTGCCAACTGTAGTTGCAGAGAAACATATAAATCAACTCAATGCAGAAAATGATTGGTCATACCTTTGTGGTGGAGATTGCACCTGAGGTAAAAGGCAGAAGGATAGATGAAAAGAAAACAGGAGATCTCTATTAATGTAGGAAGCATGGATGAAAGATACAACAGTGATCAGAAGAATACAAATATCAGTACCTGTTCGTCTACCTAAAGCTTTTATTCGCTCGGATATGTTCCCTTGCCAGTGTGACATTTTCCGACGATAAGCTCTCACCTTCTCTAATTCACTGTTAAAACAAAAATGAAAAACAAATTTACTTCGCATTCATGATCATTTGCCACAAATTTATTGCAGGTTAGGTCTCATATTCCCTCCCACTCAAGTACTCTACTTAGTCTACAAGGTTTCATAAAGAAAAGATTGAAATTTTCTGCAAAGCTACGCAATAACTACTAAATTCATGGCATCTATAACAAAAATATGCTAATATATCTACAGAATCTACATTCGGCTCCCCCCATGCATTTGTCAAGAACATCAAATCCCAGATAGGATGCAACGAAATTTGATTTGTTGGCTATAAATGGATGGAACTGAGGAAAAATTCTCACCTAGAAGTGACATAAGAAGGAACTGGAATAGAAATCCCTTCAGCGAGAATTCTCTGTGCTTGCTTATAATGGGATATTGCATCTTCAGGCAACCCCCACTCTTCTGCATTCACAGCCTTGTCAACAACCTCCATGGCTGTGTCAAAGAATCCTTTGAGCTTGTAGGCTGTCCGCTCATTCCCCGTGGCAACACTGTCCATCTTCGACACTGTCCGCTGGCTTGATGAATATTCTGCAGTAGTTGATGACGATGATTGTGGATGATCGGAGTTGAATACTGAGTTTAAGCTTTCGATAAATCCCCTAAAAAGACTCATGACTGCATCAAATTACAAAAAGAAATCAATTTTCATTTAACTATTCAGCTGTTTTGCAAATGAATAAATTCATGGAAATAAGTGTAGATTGATGAGCTCAAAACTCAAACATTACAGCACAGAAGACGTTAAGACAATGTCAATACAAAAATGTCTCTTTTCTACAACAGTACAAAACTCAATCATTCCAACAAGGTAGCGCCAAATTCAAAGAAATTTGATTTCAATTAGCTCAAACCCTCAAACCATTGCAACTAGCAAATATCTGGCTCAACAAAAGTTACATAATCAGATTCTCGCATTCACTTTATTCATAGCAAAGGTCTTCTCGTGAAAGATAAAAGGCAAATTAGAGTAAAATCATTCAATCGTTTTCACCAGTAAAATCGAAATCAAAGAAAATTCTACAAAATCATCCGCGTCAATACAGGTGAAAAGAAAAGCTTATCAAACTAATGAAATTCTAATTAGAAGAACGGCAAGTCAAGTCAAGCAGCAGTATCAAAAACAGTACTATTACAGAATGAATCTGCAACTCACGCCAAAGACGAAGCTTGTCGGGAAAACCCACTGTATAGGCTTCAATGGAATCCAAAAGGGAGCCAAACAGAGTGGAGGTTTCAGCAATGGCGGGATGAGATGATCGGGATTTCCCCCATGAAGGCAACCAGTTCATGAAAATTATGCAATCAGGATTCTTACAGAATCTTTTTCCGTTTTGCTTCAATTCGAAAACCCTACTCCATATTTACAGGATCACAGCCTCAAATCGTGTGTTTTTGAAATTCTGGGAGACTGCGTGTAGTTGGGACGAAGTCAAGAAAAAAGGAGAAGAAAGAATGGATTTTCGAGTTTTTCTACTGTGCCCAAAGATTAGATCATAATCACCAATTTACCCATACCTCTCTCATAGTACTACCAATTTTTCTCTTAATGTCTTATTTGGTCCCTTGCATATTGAAACTTTTTTTTTTTTAAACGCCGGGGACCCCACCAGAGATGGGTAAACCAACGCCCACTGCAATAACCTGTAAACCACAGTGGAAGGAAAACCATCCTAGGCAAGCTCAGCGTGACAAGTTTGGGTGCGAAATCAAGAGTTCATGAGTGAGTTTGCCATAACAAACCATCCTCTAAAAGTGCTCATTGACAAGGTTAGAGTCACCCCTCACTCTTGTTGAAGTAGGAGTTTGAAACTCATGATCTCCTCTTGAGAGTAAGGATGGTTTTACCACTGAACCAACACCTCATTCGCTGAAACTTTTTTTTCAGTCTTTTTTTTTTTTTTTTGGTGCAATGAAAGAGGCCAAAACGCTTAAATTGTTAAGCTAACACAGATGAGTATGATCAAGAATAACACTATTGATCTTAAAAGGAAAAATTTTAACAAATTGGAATACTATAACCTGCAACAAATAGATCTTAACTTCCTCAGAGATTAAGAATGCTTCTTTTTTTTTTTGCAAATTTAAATGTTCTTTTTATAGTCCTTTTAGTTTTCTCAAAATGTTTTTAACCGACATTCAAGACTCTTTCATTGCTGGAGCAGTAGCTCTACGGGAAGCACTTAATCTCGAATATAAAAAGGTTCAAAACTTTACAATTCACGGGAATTCCACCAATACTATTTTTGTGTTCCATGGTAATTATCCTTGTTCAAATATATACTTACATTTGGAAGACTGTAAAGAAACAAGACGAAGAAAGACGGCCGGTAATCATCCGAAACCGAGAGAATCTTATTATGTATTAGGGTTTTGTACAACTCATGTATATATACTAATTAAGACTATAACTAGATAATATAGGACCGTAAATACATACAAGAGTTACATCCATATTACCCCCCTCAATTTGGAGCATGAGGATTAACAATGCCCAACTTGCGAAGAAAAAATTCAAACTGTTGTTTTCCCAAAGCCTTGGTGAAAATATCTGCAAGTTGCACATGAGGTAGGATAGTCCCAATAAGTACGTCATTGCGGATAAAGTGATAATCAACCTCAATATGCTTCGTGCGCCCATGAAAAACGGGATTAGCTGTAATTTGTAAAGCAGCCTGACTATCACAATATAATTGATAGGCCTAGAATGAACCACACCAAGAGATAGAAGAAAAGCTTTCAACCATTTTAACTCACAAATGGTAGAGGCCATGGCGCGATACTCAGCCTCTGCAAAAGAACGGACAACCGTCTGTTGTTTCTTTGTCTTCCAAGAAATAGGAGAAGACCCAAGCTGAACAAACCAGCCAGTGGGAGAGCGACGGGTCAAAGGACAGCTGGCCCAATCAAAATCGCACCAACCATAAAACTGTAAATTCGAATCTGCACGAAGAAGAATACCATGTCCAGGAGTGCATTTTAAATAGTGAACCACACGAAGCGCAGCATCCCAGTGAGCCTGCATGGGCTTCTGCATGAACTGAAATAAAATATGAACGGAAGAAGACAACTCTAGACGAGTGACAGCCAGATAGATCAAACGACCCACCAAACGACGATACTGTAAAGGATCCAAAAAAGGAGCATCAGCCGACAAAGAGAGGTGATGTTTCTGCTCGAGAGGAAAAATCAACAAGTTTAGCACCTAATAAACCTATCTCAGATAGAATATCCAGAGTATACTTGCGCTGAGAAAGAAAAATGAGTGGGTTGACCTTTGGGCTCTGATAAGTATGTAAGTACTTTGGCTCCCATCTCAAAACTAATTGGCAATGAGTGGGGTGACCTTTGGCACTTATTTACAGAGTCACTTCTCTTCACGGTGGCGATGTGGGACAAGGTTATATACCTTAACACCCTCCCTCAAGTCCAATGGGTCTTTTGAACTTTTTGCCTAATGGACTTGGATCAGGACAAGAACAGAATGACCCACGAGTCAACGCTCAAGTGAATTAATATAAAATCACTACAGGCCACCTCCGACCCAGAACATCACCACAGGCCCAGACCGCTTTAATACCATGTAAAGAAACAAGACAAGAAAGACGGCTGGTAATCATCCGAAGCCGAGAGAATCTTATTATGTATTAGGGTTTTGTACAACTCATGTATATATACTAATTAAGACTGTAACTAGGTAATAAAGGACCAAAGGCGGAACTCTTAAGGGGTTCGGGGAGTACCGATCGAGCCCCTCCGGCCGACCGAAAAGTCCCTTGAGAGTAGTCAAGGTTAACCTTACATCATCTATATTCTACCATCGATCTTGATTATTTATATATAGTTAACTCCTCCAAGTTTGAATAGCCGATTCCGCTACTGTATAGGACCATAAATACATACAAGAGTTACATTTGTATTAATGACCTTCGACTTAGACTCTTCTCCTTATTTGTGCGTCTTTTAGATTCGTAGGACAGGGAACTCAGTAGTTCATTAATTTTTATTTTTATTTTTTTGTGATAAAAACAGTAATCCTTTCTGTGAAGAATGGTCTACGGCTCTACGCCACCCTCTTTTCCTCAATTGCATTTAGGGTTTTCTCAAAGACATAGTCTTTTTTTTGAAAAAAAAAAATTATATACGAAAAGCCTACCAATTTTATACTATCACATGATGGACCATCACTAATCACTATCACAATAACCTTTTGTTTCTGAATTTGGCATACGTTGTAGATATAATGGACCTTTCACTACTAGAAAAACTAAATTGCTATAAAATTTATCTCACCGAACACATGTTTAACCTCTCCAATTTCGGGTAAGAACAGTCCGTATTGTACTAATTCATCATGAATCCTGAAATTATCACCGTCCCCGTCGCCACTAATTCACGAGCTCTAATATCTCAAACTATTTTTTTTTTTGGTAATCAATATTAATTTTTTATCAGTTGATAATCTACTCAAGTAATAAGAACAAGAATGGGTCATAATTATCGGTAAGAAAGAGGAAAAATATACATGATCAACTCTTTTTTTTTTTTTCTTCTAAACGCTTGGTCTTTGTCTGTCATAAAACCAATTGAATTTTGGCTGTTATAATTCATTTGGGATATAGGAACAAACAAGTGGTGTATAATTCATTGGCGGATATGGGAACAAATAAATTAATTACCTTAAAAAAAGTACAAAAATTATTTGAACAGTATTAAGGAAAAGGAATAATGACGTATGCCACCATTAAATAAAATACCCCCAGAAACAATCTTTACTGGTATCATTTCACATTTATTTTTACTAGTTGGAATATTTTCCTTTGTAATATATTATTATAATAATTAACTGAACAATTTCATTATCTTTACCATCAATCTTGCCTTACCTCGGTGGGAGGTGTGGTAGAGGTGGATATATATATATATATATATATATATATATATATATATATATATATACTAGTGTTAAACCCGCACGATGTGCGGGGTTAGTAAAATGTTTTTAATACAATTTTTAGAATAATTAGAATATGAAAAAATAAGTATATGAAAAAGACTACTTAATAAATACATTTACAAAAAGCAAGGCATGCAATATTTGTTTGCATTTTGAAAAATAAAACGGGTATTATTGGAGAACCTTTTTGACGTGAAACAAATTCACTTATTACGGGACATTTTCATATTCCAATATCCATATACACAGAAAATGTAAATCTTAAAGAAAAAGTAATTTTAGCTATACTTAAAAAAATAAAGAAAAAATAAATGGTCTCTAATGATGGTGTTGATTTATTTTTTTTTTTCCACTAATACTTTTTGTCAACAGTTTTGAGTACGTTCTTTCTTTACTTTCGATTGCCGATATTCTCATCATTCTGTCAACAGCTTCTAATACTTTTCTCATCGTTCTTTCTTTCCTTTTTCCCTTCTACTTCTCCTACCCAATTCAGAATTCTTATCTTAACAATTTTGAACAGGAGATGAGTTTGGTTCTGCCTTCTTCCGTCGCATTTGAAACTTTCACATTAGTTTCTTGGAAACAAAAACATGGATCTTGTGCCACTGAAAATAGTATTAATAAACATCCATCATTAAATTGTTGAAAATATAAATGAATAGATATGTTCTCATGAAATATTTCGCTTAACCTTATCAATTGACAAAGCTTCAGCGGACGCAACCTGAGCCCACAAACATAGTGCATCAAGGATCATACGCAAGCCCTCCACATGTTGAGAACGTGAATGGGATTCTCCAGTACTCACTACCATTGGAGTGGAGTTATTAATGTATATTCTTGTTCTTGGACCTGAAAAGAAATACAACAACCAAAGGCAATCTTATTTTCAATCATAATCAGAAAAAAGAGGGAAAAATGAAGGAAATCATAGACTGATTTCCCAATATTGATCATATCATCTTATATTAGCCTCAATTATGGGATTTGCTAATGTTTGGGATTTTGATAATTAATGGAGCATACATTAATTTTAGGGAATCATTTATACCCCTAATTAAAGGCTAAAAGAATCAGTTATGATATTGTATTAATTATTTTCAAATTTCAAAAGATATTAACATTAATTATTGATCAAATTAATACGTAATGGCATTACTTTCATATTTTTGTGTGAATACAAAGTATTACATTGGAGCTTTATTCAAGCTAATTGGGAAATTTATTCAAATCAATCAGTATTAAATTATAAATGAATCAAATCAAAATTTACTTTTTTTTTATAACACCACATGGAAAGAAACTATTAATGTTGACTTTTTAAAAAATGTACCCTTTTTTTGTTTGACCAAATACAAAATAAAAAGTTTACCACTCAATTGATTGGTAGAATTAATTGCGATTTGATAATACTTTATTTACTGAAAATTCTAAAGATTGTTAGTGTGATTGTTGTAAATATTTTTCTGCCAACCTATAAGAAAATGACAAATAGGATTTTGTGCTACGTGTCAACGTGAGGAGAAGTTTGAATTTCTCTCTCTGGTTTCTCTCTTAGTATAATATGTATATATATTATATATAATATATATACTATATATATATATATCATATGAATCGGGGTTGAAACCGAACTATAACTTTTTTTTATAATAATAATAATAAGAACACTAGTTCTACCCGCCAAAATCACAAAATAACGATGTTAATGTTTTAAAGACAGTGATAGTACTGATTTATGATCATGGTGCTGCCTATCCCAGTAGCTCTTGCTTTGTCAGTATATCGTACGTTACAAATAGAAAGACATGTTGCATTGTCTACTACTTTCTGTAGATGATTAATGGTTATCATTATTCAACATTGCAATAAACTATTTTTTTTGTCCCAAAAAAATAAAATAGTATAATATACATTATAATTAGTATAATTTATATTAATAACCGTATATAATTTATAAAGATGTAGACTATTCTGTCCCTTCCATTTTAATAGTGCCTAAAATAGGACAGGATGAGTGATTTGAAGGGAATAAATGTGAAACCAATAAATTAATTAACACAGTAAAACATACACTAGGGTTGTGGTTGAACTTTGATCTTCTGCAAACCATTACAACGACTGTATCAAAATTGCATCCCGACGTTCGTATAAAAGGATTGCAGAGAGAAGTCTTTAATTAAAACTTTGGCCCTAAGTCCACAAGCAGAAGCAAACAAGAATGCTGATAAAGTTTGCAAATTAGAAAATGCATACTATATCTGTTGGAGCTTAACTTAATCTTTAGAACCCATGCTGAATCAATTCAAATCAAATTGTTGTAAGTGATTGATTGATAATACATAGATTTTCATCCCTGATATCATCAGACTATATAAGACTCGTACATATATTGACACGTTCTTAATTAGACATTAAATCCAACAACAGATGAGGTTTTGCAGATTGAATTCGATGACACAAAATAACAAACGAGAGCACTATGTGAGACTCAAAAGGTATCGGCGACTTCATGTTTCTTAGCGTCCGCCTCCTGCTCCACCGCCGGAACCACTCCCAACACCTACACCTTTGCCAGCGCCAGCCCCAGCACCAAACCCAACCCCAACGCCGACACCGACGCCTACTCCGAATCCTCCACCTCCACCTCCACCTGCACCACCGCCACCGCCAAGGCCACCACCGCTTCCAAGGCCGCCACCACCTCCTACACCTCCTCCGAAACCACCTCCGTGACCGGATCCTCCTCCGACTCCACCGCCACCGCCACCTCCGAATCCACCGCCACCTCCAACGCCTCCACCGGCTCCTCCTCCTACCCCACCGCCAAATCCACCTCCGTGTCCAGAACCTCCACCAAGGCCGTCTCCGCCGCCGCCTCCACCACCACCACCTCCGCCTCCACCTCCAGCAGCACCTCCTCCGACTCCACCACCTACACCACCGCCAAATCCACCACCGTAACCTGATCCTCCACCAACGCCGCCTCCTCCTCCTCCGCCACCACCTCCACCAGCTCCTCCGCCAATGCCTCCTGCTCCAACTCCTACGCCACCACCAAATCCTCCTCCACTCCCAGATCCACCTCCAGGTCCACCTTCTCCGCCACCACCTCCGCCTCCGCCTCCGCCTCCAGCACCTCCGCCTACACCACCTCCACCAATGCCAACGCCTCCTCCGAATCCACCTCCGTGTCCTGAACCACCACCAACTCCGCCTCCACCTCCACTTCCTCCTCCCCCACCAGCACCAATTCCTCCTGCACCACCTCCTACACCACCGCCAAATCCACCACCCTGACCGGATCCACCTCCAAGTCCACCACCTCCTCCTCCGCCTCCGCCACCACCGCCAGCACCTCCACCAAGTCCACTACCACTTCCTCCACCAACACCAGCTCCGAAACCACTACCATGCCCAGAACCACCTCCTACACCACCACCTCCACCGCCACCAACTCCATCTCCCCCACCAAGACCACCCCCAGCTCCACCTCCAAATCCTCCTCCGCCACCGTGTCCTCCACCGAAACCTCCCCCAATTCCTCTCCCTCTGAAACCACAACCTCTCCGACCGAACTGACAATCATCATTTCCCCATCTTTCAGTCTCAATCTTTGCAAAAGCAACACTCACCACACTCAACAAAAGAAGTGTAACACACATCCATTTTTGAGAAGAACCCATTTCTTTAGTAAGCTTCTAAGTAAGATTCTTACTTCACTTACTATGCTTCCATGCACTGCATTCAAACGGCATTATATAGGGCTCGACCTGGAGGAACAAAACTGGTTAGTTAAACACTAGGTTTCCCGGGGGGTACGTAATAAATGCATGAACTGTGCATGGGGCTGAAAGTGTTCGCGTATAAGCCGTTGGGAAGATAGGAGGATATGCTACTGGCGCGGGAATAGGTCAAATGAGAAAAAATAGATATTAGTATACACTTTGAGCCTTTGAGGCTTTGCGTTGAAATTTAAGTCAACGACACCGACATGAGTCTAATTGAGTTATTCTATTCAAGATTTCGAGTACAGATGAGGAGTTTATGGATAGTGGGCCAATCAGCATACAATTTCCTTCATATCCATGTTCTTGATGTAAATGCTTTACCTAAATTTCTCCCCTCCCCGGAAAAATTATATTTCTTTTAAGTTGTTGATCATCAAGTTACAGAATACTAGTTTTTTGGCGTAATATCTCCTTTGGGTGACCAAGAAGAGAGGAGTTAAGTCGTTAATAACGTAAATTGAGCCCCATTTGGGTTCATCTCACTTGATCAGCTCATCGGTCTCTCTTAATTTGCTGTTTAAATAGGTCAAACGTCGTAGTAATTTTTTTCCTTCTTTTTTTTTTAATTTAATTTACGTAGATTTGGTGGAATATTCTTGAAAAATTAAGCATTTGATGGACATAAAAATTGCTATTGTCAAACTATATATTCACTCCGTCCCAAGATTATTATCCAATTTTAATTTTCATTTTTAGTACAATTTAAACGGAAAGTAAAAAATCTAAATAAGGCAATAATTTTCTCGAATCCCTTAAAAAGTAAAATTTGTTATAGTATCTTAATTTAACAAATTGAATTATTTTTTAGAAGCAGAAGTGTATAATATATTTTTTTTCTACAATGATGGAGACAAATGCTTAAGAACGCATATTTGCAGAGTATGCTACCACCATTACATTTTGGTAAAAGGTGATAAATATTTTTTTTCTTCTTTTGTTTTTATAATAACAGAAACAATATACAAATACACAAATAAAATATTATATGCGTGAAGAAACTAATCACATCCCACTGTTAGTGTATGTATATATTAGGGTTAGTGTAGGAGGTATTGCTGTAATCCTACTGTAATCATGTACACTATATATATGTTAAATCAATACATAATAACTCATGGGTTTCACACATCTTCACCCACTCTACCTACAGTTTGACTTTACCCGGTGAATCATACAAATGAAGAAAACCTCGTCTTCATATATTGGGCAGGATTTGGGTATCCATCCATGATTCAGAGTGATCTCCGGGCAATTTAAAAAGTTCTCCAGTATGAGTGATGATGCATTGATCTGATCTGATCTGAATCTGAATCTCCGGGCAATTTTGTTTTTCTTGTGGAAAAACTACAAATTATTTTTTTGTTTGGTAAATAAAGAAAATAAGACTAGAAGCCTTATGCAATACAGTTACGGTTATCTACTAACTCTTTTTAACTAGTAGAGCTACACAACTTGGAGCTACATCAAAAGAATATAAGCTCCTATTCTTACTACCGAGCCCCTCCTTAGCCGATATTAGCCAAGGTATCGGCGCTCAAGTTTTTATGTCTAGGTATGTGCAAGAATTACACGTCCCAATCAGACTCCAAAATATTCTCTATTCTTCTTAAAACAGGATCCAAGTTTTGATTCCCATCCAAACTCTCGACCATATTAATGGCCTGTTGGGAATCTGTTTCGATCATTAGTCTAGGAACTTTTTGTTGCTTTGCAAGTTCTAGACTAATTAGTACGGCCTCTAACTCAACATTCTCTACAGAACTAACGCTCAAATTCTTGTAGAATGTTTTTAAAATATTTCCTTGGTTGTCTCTGAAAATGCCTCTCACTGCCGCCTTTCCGTTCTTGCAAACTGCCCCATCAGAATTTGTTTTTATCCAACCAGACGGAAGACGTTTCCATCCTGTTGTGTCTCCTTCTATTCCTATCAGTTTTTGACATTTTAATAGTATCAGACTTCGTATGACCTCTTCTGTTCTATGTTGTATCCTTCTGATCGCGTTGTTTAGGTCAATATCAGTCCCACTAAAAATGAATTCATTGCGCCAAATCCACATGGACCAGCAGGCATCTCCAAAAATTGTTGTCCATTTTCGATCATTATTAGTCAAATTGGAGCTTAACTATTACGGATGTAATTACCTTTGTATATTTACGATATTATATTACCGAGTTACGGTCTTGTATAGTATATATAGGCTTATTGTATTAAACCCTAAATACATGATTTTGATCATCTTTTCACGTCTGTATATGTTGGCCGCCTCTACCTTTTACTGATTTCTGATGGTATCGGAGTAGGTTTTAACATTTTTTTCAATTATTTCACGCTCTTCGTATAGAAGCCCATGGGGTTCCACCTCAAAACTAATTGGCAATGAGGGGAGTAGCCTATGGTGCTTATATACTGATACAAACTGTCTCCAAACACCAATGTGGGATAAATGCTTCAACATTCCCGCTCAAACCCAACGGGCTTGGACTAAATTACTAGGATCAGTAAATAAATCTTGGAATAACATCACGGGCGGCGGAATAACATCGCGGACTTAAATTGAGCCACTGAATAACATGGTGGGCTTAAAATCACCACAGGCCGAGCCCGCTCTGATACCATGCATATCGAAGCCCATAGTGTTCCACCTCAAAACCAATTAACAATGAGGGGAGTAGCCCATGGTGCTTATATACTGATAAAAAGTGTCTCTAGACACCAATATGGAAAAAATGCTTCAACACTTCGTTGCAGCAATGTCGGAACGTGCTGATGATGAGACTTCCAGTTCCTCCAACGACGACGTTGCCATCCACAAAACCATCATCTAAGAAATTTTAATATGCTTGAAAATTAATAAATCGCGTTCTTATCGTAAAAAATTGTCAAACTTTGATTCAACTCTTCCTAACAAAAATATAAGTATTAATAATTTTCAAAATAATTTAATGTGAGAATTATCCAAAGGTTTTGAAATTTAGACAGCAATTATGTTTCTTTGTAGATTCGGAGATAGAGTTTAGACAATAAAATAAAAAAAATAACTTAGACTTTAAACAAATCAAAAGAGTTTTCTTAATTTTGTCCCCAATTTTTTTTTTTGTCAATATAACTTAATTATCGTCAACAACATTTTTCTTATACAACTCTTTTCAGAACGGATTTATATTTATTGAATTATTAAATTAAAATAATACTTCCCAAGTCTCAAAAATATAATCTACATTATATTTTATGGTTTGAACTAAAAAATAATGTCAACACAAAATACTTAATCTAAACAATTTTAGTTTTGTTTTAAGTGAGTATTGTATGTCCCGTACAATATGCGGGTATTATACTAGTATAAAGGGAAAGGAAGAATTGTACTTACTCATAAATTCTTAATTTAAATTCTTATTGTTTTTTTTTTAAAAAAAAAGGAAAAAAAATTGCCCGAAGAACCTTTTTTTTAGAACACAAAACAAACGCTTAAAAAAAAAAATCAAATTTAAGTACATTGTGAGTGATCACTCTTTTAATATTCGGGGCCAAGAAGAAGTGAAGAACAAAAATGCTTGAGAATATCACACGAATGCACATAATTTCTATCCGTATGCCAGATCGAAATCATCAAACAATACATTCCAAACTTAAAGAATTGGGAAATCCACACTATTAAGTTGCCGAATTATACCCATAGCATAATGCTAAAATACAACGATGACAGGGAAAATTAAGTTTTAGTTCCAAAATTTGTAAGTGAATGATCATACATAGAGACTTTACTTTCATCTTTGTGTTGGTATCATCGATCAGATTATATGATACTCATACATATTGACACTTCTAATTAATTAGACACAAAATCCAAGATAACATATAGAAGAACATAAATAAAAGTACAGATTGGATTTGGGGAGATTGAATTCAACAATGACACTATCAATATGCCTCAAATCCAACATGAAAAAGGATGCACGGGTACGGCGGTCGGCGACTTCATATTTCTTTTAGCGTCCACCTCCTGCTCCGCCACCGGAACCACTGCCAACACCGACACCTTTGCCGGCACCAGCACCAATCCCAACCCCAACGCCAACACCGACGCCTACTCCGAATCCTCCACCTCCACCGGCACCACCGCCTCCTCCTGCTCCACCACCAAGGCCGCCACCACCTCCTACACCTCCTCCAAAGCCACCTCCGTGACCGGATCCTCCTCCGACTCCACCACCACCGCCTCCTCCGAATCCACCACCACCTCCAACACCTCCACCGGCTCCTCCACCTACTCCACCGCCGAATCCACCTCCATGTCCAGAACCTCCACCGAGGCCGCCTCCTCCGCCGCCTCCACCACCACCTCCTCCGCCTCCACCGCCGGCAGCACCCCCTCCGACTCCACCACCTACACCACCTCCAAATCCACCTCCATGACCTGATCCTCCACCAACGCCGCCACCTCCTCCTCCGCCACCGCCTCCACCAGCTCCTCCACCAACACCTCCTGCTCCACCTCCTACGCCACCACCAAATCCTCCTCCACTCCCTGATCCACCACCAAGTCCACCTCCTCCACCACCACCTCCACCTCCTCCACCAGCACCTCCACCTACTCCACCTCCGCCAACGCCGACACCTCCTCCGAATCCTCCTCCGTGTCCTGATCCACCACCAACTCCGCCTCCACCTCCACTTCCTCCTCCTCCACCAGCACCTATTCCTCCTGCACCGCCGCCTACACCACCGCCAAATCCACCACCATGACCTGATCCACCTCCAAGTCCACCACCACCTCCACCGCCTCCTCCGCCTCCGCCACCGCCACCAGCACCTCCACCAAGTCCACCACCACTTCCTCCACCGACACCAGCTCCGAAACCACCACCATGACCTGAACCACCTCCTACACCACCACCTCCACCGCCACCAAAACCTCCTCCGCCACCAACTCCACCTCCCCCGCCAAGACCACCCCCAGCTCCACCTCCAAAACCTCCACCACCACCGTGTCCTCCGCCAAAACCTCCCCCAATTCCTCTCCCTCTGAATCCACAACCTCTCCGACCGAAGCGACAATCATCATTTCCCCATCTTTCAGTCTCAATCTTAGCAAAAGCAACACTCACCACACTCAACAAAAGAAGTGTAACACAAAACCATTTTTGAGAAGAACCCATTTCTTTAGTAGTAAGTAAGCTTCTAAGTTTAATTCTTACTTCACTTACTATGCTTCCAAGCACTGCATTGAAACGGCATTATATATATAGGGCTCAAACCCGGAGGAATACAATGGGTTAGTTAAACACTACGTAATAAATGCATGAACTGTGCATGGGGATGAAATTGTACGCGTTTAAGCCGTTGGGAAGATAGGAGATAATATGCTAGTGGCGGGAATAGGTCAACTGAGGAAAAATAGATATAGTATACACTTTGAGGCTTTGAGTTGAAATTTAAGTCAACGACACCGACATGCATGAGTCTAATTTTGAGTTATTCTATTCAAGGATTTCAAGTACAGATGAGGAGTTTATGGATAATGGGCCAATCAGCAAACAGTTTCCTTCACCTCCATGTTCTTGATGTAAATGCTTGACCCTAAATTTCTTCCCTCCCTGGGAAACTTTTGTTTCTTTTAAGTTGTTGATCATCAAGTTACAGAATATTACTTTTTGGCATAATATCTCCTTTTCTTTTTTTGGTTTACCATAATATCTCCTTTAGGTAACCAAGAAGAGCTAGAGGTGTTAAGTCGTTAATTACGTATATTAAGTCCCATTGGGGTCATCCCACTTGATCAGCTCATCCCGATCTCTCTTAATTTGCTGTTTAAATAGGTTAAACGTTAGATCATTCGTAGTAATTTTTTTTTCTTTTTATTTAATTTTACGTGGATTCGGAGGAACGTTCTTAAAAAATTAAGCATTTGATGGAGATGAAAGTTGCTATAGCCAATCTATATATGCTATCCGATAATAGTAGTACGGCACCGTAAAAAGTACTCCCTCCATCCCATAATTATTATCCAGTTTGAGTTTTTATTTTTAGTTCAAATTGTACTAAAAATGAAATCTCAACCCGGACAATAATTTTGGGACAAAGGGAGTACAATTTTGTTGTAGTATCTTAATTTAACAAATTGAACTATTTTATTGAAAATGAGGAAGTGTATAACATTTTTGTTAGTGTTGATATCTTTCTCTTCTTTTGTTATATATATAATCATTAGACAAATTCACAAGTAAAACATTTCTACGCGTGAAGAATCACATCATGTTTCACCTAGCTACAGTTTGACTATGTTTATCATTGTAACCTTACTTGAAGCTGATTGTGAGAGTTTAAGGTGTATTGGAGGAGGATATATCTCGTCACATGAATATATAGGGGTTGAAACGGAGAAAAAAAAATGGAAGACTAAGAACCGTAATTGTGATCGAAAGAAAAAACGGAGAGAGGATGCTGTGAATTGAAGAACTAGATTTCACCCTTTTTGTTTATACACTTTTTACCACACTAATAATTCAATACAAAGCTACCTAATTTTATAAGCTAATTCAGTACAACATAATTGATAAAAGATAAGACAGGATCGCAGCTTCTTTAATGATGATGATCGACTTTATCTTGTGATGATGATTGACTTCTTTTTGCTGATTAGAAGGAATCGAAAGTCTGGTTGCATATTTATTAAAAATGTGTGACTAAACAAAAGTGTACTAAATGTAATTACCACACGACCTACTTGATTCCAATTACATTCCCTTCTCCGTGCTGATGAGTACATACTTCCTTATTACTCCTAACAACCTTATCACTTCCTGTACTCGAAGAATTACTGTTTGAGTAAAATGGTAACTTATTTTTTTTATCAGAAACCAAACTCACTAATGTTAATGTGTCCAGCTTTGTAACAACAGGAAAATAGACTTGTCACTTTTTTTTTCAAATAAAAAAAAGGGAGAGAGAGATATTTCAGCAAATTGCAGTTGAGCTCATTTGACAAATCTATTCCAGAGATTTATAAACATGTAGATAAAAAAATAATAATAAAATTGGGGCTGGGTACGTAATTTTAACTGAGGCACGTAAATTTTGAGAGGTTTGTCTTCTAAGGAAACTTGAGGCCGGCTAATCAAAACTGTTAATTAATTTTAAGAACTGTTAATTTTTCGATTCGTGTATGTCGTCCATGAATGGGGACCATGCATGCTATTAAGTCCGATGTCTCGGGTTAAACCACTTAGTTTCATCTTCTTCTTTTTCTTTTTTTCTTTTTTTTTTTTTGTTTTTCTCTAAGTTTCAGGTTTGAGCTGGTCAACATAAGTAGACATGTCACTTCTCTAATAAATCTAAAATCTGATATTGAATTAGTGAATCTTTATAGTGACAGAAAACACATTGCCGGAAATATTTACAGTTTATTCAAGATAGACCAGTATCTTAATAAACGTCAGGTCATGTACCATGTGTAACATTCCATCGGTAGATACATTACATTCCATCGGTAGATTTATCTCCCAAAAAAGTTTCATTCAGGTGAAATTAGAAATAAGTAAAAACACACTCACACAGAATCGAACTACTTTGATCTTGATTTAAAAATTGTTTTTGAAATCTAGGAACAAGTTGTAATGAGGCCCGATGATCGACCGGCCGAACGTACTAAAGGGGCCATGTGGACAGTTGAGAGACTTAATTTTCGTTTCTGTACCATCAGATCAAAGGGGGCTGAGTGATTTTAAAGCTTTTCCACGATTGCAATTTTGCAAGTTGCAGAGATTTATTTAGACTTTTGGTACTTTTCCACCTCACTGCATTTATGAATCCATATAAATTCCGGGACGAACCCACAGATTTTTTTTTTTTTTTTTCTAAAAGAAAATATCTTGACCTTTTCAAACCTACATTTAATTTCATATATTAAAATCTCCAGATTAGATTTATGAATGTGGTAGTAAAGTCACCAACACACCGCATGCATGCATGGTTTTTAAGGAGTATTACTTTACGTAAAAAGTAATACTAGTAGTCAATTTTTTGCTTTATACTTTATAGTCAGATAATACTGAAATAGTCAAGGAAAATTTAACTGTCATCCATGAAATTGTTAATTATAAAGCCAAAATAGCTGTAATTAACTTGTTATAGCTTGAGAAAACCCTGCAAGGGGTTAAGCCATTAAAAAATTTGCAACTAGCAAGTTATCTTTTTGAATATTACTACACTTGATCTTAGCCAAAAGGCAAACACTTTCCATATCCATATTTTCAACGAAAACATAAAGTTGAGAGAAACCCAAAAATTAAAAACTATAAAAGAAAACAAAAGTTTTCCGGTGAGGGGAGAAATTTAGGTCAAGCATTTACATCAAGAACATGGATATGAAGGAAACTTGTTAGCTAATTGGCCCACTATCCACAAACTTCTCATCTGTACTTTGAATAGAATAACTTAATTTAGACACATGTCGGTGTCGTTGACTTGAATTTCAGCTCAAATCCCCCAAAGGCTTGTATACAATATATATCTATTTTTCTCATTTGACCTTGGTTTCAAATATGTATTCATTTAATATTCCCGCCACTAGCATATTATCTCCTATCTTCCCAACGGCTTAAACGCGTCCAATTTAACCCCATGCACACAGTTCATGCATTTATTACGTACCCCCCGGAAAACCTAGTGTTTAACTAACCAGTTTCGTTCCTCCAAGTCGAGCCCTATATAATGCCGTTTCAATGCTGTGCTTGGAAGCATAGTAAGTGAAGTAAGAATTAATCTTAGAAGCTTACTAAAGAAATGGGTTCTTCTCAAAAATGGTTTTGCGTTACACTTCTTTTGCTGAGTGTGGCGAGTGTTGCTTTTGCAAAGATTGAGACTGAAAGATGGGGAAATGATGATTGTCGGTTCGGTCGGAGAGGTTGTGGGTTCAGAGGAAGAGGAATTGGGGGAGGTTTCGGCGGAGGACACGGTGGTGGTGGAGGTTTTGGAGGTGGAGCTGGGGGTGGTCTTGGCGGGGGAGGTGGAGTTGGTGGCGGAGGAGGTTTTGGTGGCGGTGGAGGTGGTGGTGTAGGAGGTGGTTCAGGTCATGGTGGTGGTTTCGGAGCTGGTGTCGGTGGAGGAAGTGGTGGTGGACTTGGTGGAGGTGCTGGTGGCGGTGGCGGAGGCGGAGGAGGCGGTGGAGGTGGTGGTGGACTTGGAGGTGGATCAGGTCATGGTGGTGGATTTGGCGGTGGTGTAGGCGGCGGTGCAGGAGGAATAGGTGCTGGTGGAGGAGGAGGAAGTGGAGGTGGAGGCGGAGTTGGTGGTGGTTCAGGACACGGAGGAGGATTCGGAGGAGGTGTCGGCGTTGGTGGAGGTGGAGTAGGTGGAGGTGCTGGTGGAGGAGGTGGAGGTGGTGGCGGAGGAGGTGGACTTGGTGGTGGATCAGGGAGTGGAGGAGGATTTGGTGGTGGCGTAGGAGGTGGAGCAGGAGGCATTGGTGGAGGAGCTGGTGGAGGCGGTGGCGGAGGAGGAGGTGGCGGCGTTGGTGGAGGATCAGGTCATGGAGGTGGATTTGGAGGTGGTGTAGGTGGTGGAGTCGGAGGAGGTGCTGCCGGCGGTGGAGGCGGAGGAGGTGGTGGTGGAGGCGGCGGGGGAGGCGGCCTCGGTGGAGGTTCTGGACATGGAGGTGGATTCGGCGGTGGAGTAGGTGGAGGAGCCGGTGGAGGTGTTGGAGGTGGTGGTGGATTTGGAGGAGGCGGTGGTGGTGGAGTCGGAGGAGGATCCGGTCACGGAGGTGGTTTTGGAGGAGGTGTAGGAGGTGGTGGCGGCCTTGGTGGTGGAGCAGGAGGAGGCGGTGGTGCAGGTGGAGGTGGAGGATTCGGAGTAGGCGTCGGTGTCGGCGTTGGGGTTGGGATTGGTGCTGGTGCCGGCAAAGGTGTCGGTGTTGGAAGTGGTTCCGGCGGTGGAGCAGGAGGTGGACGCTAAGAAACATCAAGTCGCCGTCCGCTTTTCCTACTGGATTTGAGTCTCTCTTTTTTTTGTTATTTGCGTCATTGAATTCAATCTGCAAAACCCAAAATTTGTTTATCGGATTTGATGTCTAATTAAGAAGTGTCAATATACTATGTACGAGTATCGTATAGTCTGATGATACCTTTGTCATTGATGAAAATATATGTATTATTCCTTCCGGTTCAAAATATAATTCATTTTAGGACGTGCACAAAAACTAAGAAAACAATTGTTTACCAATTAATTTGTGTGTCAAATATCTAAGGTGGAGTTGTGAGTTGTTTCAAGTATTTCATTTAGCTCGGGAGCTTATATAGTATATCTAAAATAGATAGTCAATGTGCATTGTAGATGGTGATGAATAATAAGGAGATTCTGAAAATTCATGATAATTAAGTCTGCGTGATTAAAGATTTATTGAGTCGTACGACCATAAGAAGTGGCATTGACTCATCTATGATGAGAAATAAACTTTGTAGTAGACTACTCAATTTCTCTAGCAACTTAGCGATCTTAGATAATTACTTCTTTTAAAAATTTTTATCGGACGTTCTTCGGAAGTGTGTATATTCGGTATAAGTAATATTCACAATGTTCAGTCACTTTAATTATGAGAATCGTGTTTCTTCTCGCGTCTATTTCACCTATTTGTGCCAATTTTAGTTTTTTTAAAAAACAAACAAAATATGTAAATATATAGTATCCCATATACTTAAAAAAAAAAATCTTATTATAATTTGTAAATTATTATAAGAATAATATTATTTAAAATGTACAATGTGATTTTTTTTTTTAAGACAAAAGGAGTGTGTTTTTTTGGATGCAAGAAGACAATCGTTTAAAACAATTGCACAATGACATTGCGGCGATGATAATTTCAGCAATGTCACGACGTAGGCGTCAATCATATACACATTTTAACTAAAATTATTACTCTTCTGTCCTAAAATTATTGTTCAGTTTGAGATTTCATTTTTAGTATAATTTGAACTAGAAATAAAATTTCAAACTGGACAATAATTATGGGACGGGGAATACTTCACATGAGTATAAAAGAATTAATAAAAGTAAGAAATCGTGTCCAAAAATTATTTATATCTATAGAAATTCTTAAATTTTACCTGTAAATCTCAGTTCAACAAGTTTCTAAATTCTAATATCTCCAATGCCCGTGCTAACATACGTACTTTGGGGTTTCAGCCTTCAGGATATCAGTCATCAGTTCCATCGAATAATAGTCACCTAGTCTATCTCGATCTTCCTCAAACCAATTACTTTTCCACTCCAGCATGCTAAATTTAACCTTGAAAAATTTCACAATTTTATCACCGCAATCAAATAAATTCCAATATTTCAGATGATGGTGATCAGCTATATGCATTTCACTTGTTTCCAGTTCCATTTTAATTAATCCATCCAGCGGAGCCACAAATCATAATGTACGGGAGAGAAAATATTTTTTTCCCTATTTAATAGGAGTAAAATTAATTTCTTTTGCATTTTAAACTGAAAAACTAAACCCTCCAGAAAATTTTTTGGAAGAGGGGGTGAATGTCCCTAGTGACCCATTTTCCCGCCACTGATTCTAGCCACTTCGAAACTGATCACTAAAAATCAGACTTTCAAGTTAGTTTTAATTAAAGTCATTTGTATATGTTCTATTCATCTTCAAACAATACTAGTATTTTCTTTTCTTTTTATGAATTTCATAGCTCAACTTTTGATAATACTCCCTCCGTCTCATAATTATTGTCCAGTTTTATTTTTCATTTATAGTTCAAATTCCACTAAAAATGAAATTTTAAACTGAATAATAATTTTGGGACGGAGAGAGTAAATAGTTTTATACGTAACTACAACATATGGAAGAGACCAAATCAAACCAAAGTGCTAAGAAACCGAACTTGGACACAACATATTATTAATTAATTTGATTGCGTAATAAAACTTTGTGAGATACATTTCCGTTCTCATCGCCTCAACTAGTCATATCACATCATAAGTAGTACTCTCTAATTAGTTACAGGCAGACAATTTCACTATCTTTAGATTGCGGACAATCTATTCAACCCGACCCTGTTTGGGAATTTTCATTTGGTTCCAAATAACACATGCGAGAAAAGAAGTGATCCATATATATGAATCGAAAAAAAAAGTGATCCACATATACATATATATTGTGCAATCTTCTTATCACATCAATTGGCTAAAATTTTGTACAACTTGATGTAACATGTTTCCTAATCATTGAACCGATTGGCAATATAACGTTCTCCTCAAAGAAAAGGAATCATGATATATATATTTGTTATACTAAAAGATGACTATCTCCGGTCCTTAATATAAGGTATTTTGATTTGTCCTATGTTTAACTTAGTATGCATTTTTAATTGACGAAAAGTCTTCTGTCAATTAAAAATGCGTACTAGGTGAAATTTAAGACAAAATCAAAATACCTTATATTAAGGACCGGAGGGAATATAATCAAAGAGACATGAGAATACAAAAGTCAGCCCAAGACATTTCATTGAAGTTGTTATTGATGTTGTTATTGATGTTGAAGATATTACATTTTCGTGAACCATTTCTGTTTCGTGCAACTAATAGACTGTGATTAACAAGAACATTTTAAGAATCATGACCGAATATGTATGCAGTTGTATATGTAGTGGTTCATATAAAGCAAATAAGGGAAAGTTAGACGGTTCTCTTAGTACTCAATTTTTACTGATACAAGAGGTAGTTAAAAACATAAAAATATAAAAATGAACTCTTCATCTGCTTTTCCATTTTTACTTTTATTTTTGACGAATTATTATTGTTCTGTATGCCTTAACAAATGGGCAAATATAATTATAGTTGGGCTCAAAAGATGGGTCATATAAGAGCCCATATCATCAGAATGTGACAATGAAAAACAGAAAGAAAACATAATCATTATCTTCACAGATAGTCTTCATTGTCATATAGTCAAATACGTAATCCTGTAATCGTGTCCATTTAGCATGCAAATAAAAAAAAGTTATGGTGGAGTGGAAGAAATTTCTTACCCTTTAATCATGAGTTGATGGTTCGAAATTAATCATGCACATGAAATAATTTTAAATCTTTTAACTTATAATCTTATAACTCAGCCAACATATTAGTTATTGTTACTGACAGTAAATACTTTTGAGAGTCTATGTATGCGTCTTTTGTTAACTTTTGATATCGCCTCTCATTTAATCTCTGATACTTAAAAAATAAAAATAAAAAAAATCTTCTAGATATAAACATCGACCACTTTACGCTTATCGAGTGACGGAAATAGGAATTAAACCCTTCATCTCTATAGATTTGACCCAGGCTTTAATTGTTGGGACGGTATCTATATTCTAACAATTTAAGCAAAACTCATCGTTATAGATGACAACTCAGAAGAAAAATAAAATTCATTCAGACCAATCGACTCTTTATTATTTATAATTAAGTAGCTACAAGCCTACAAATGATTAATTACGTAGGCAGTAGAAAAACAAACACAACATAATGACAAACTGGAACACTGATTGACAACCTCTTAGAGATGTCATTTAGTACAGATGAGCTAAATTATAAAACGCATGCAAGACAGTGACCGACTGAAGAGAGAGGGAGATAGAGATTTTTGTAAATCCATTTGCTTTTATATATATTACGGTATATCAAAAAGGCTCATGAGCTGACGTTTTTTTTTTTTGTACATTAATTGTTGTTATTTGAAACTAATAAAGATGGATCGATTAGGCCTTGGATTAATCTTTGCTAATTTAATAAGAGTTTTAAAATTTATCTATTTGTCGTTTCTTAGTCTAAAATAAAAGAAGAAACTGGTTGATGAATCTATTTATTAGCTGCTTTGAATCCGAATCTTGCCACAGTAAGACATGCATGTTTAGTTACTGGTATGAGACACAATTAAAGAAAAAACCATAAACAACTTGTATAAACTCTATTTTGATTTAGGGTTTTTTTTTATTGAGTTTGAAGCATATACTCCCTCTGTCCCAAAATTATTGTCCAGTTTGAGATTTTATTTTTAATACAATATGAATTAGAAATAAAAACCCAAACTGGACAATAATTATGAAACGGAGGGAGTATGATAGTTCTTATGTCACATTTGAGTATGCTACTTATAAATTAACTGCACTCTGATTTAAGATATAGTCCGTCGCTTCGACCGTTTAATTAATTGAATACTTTTCACAATATGTTCTTCTTCGGTTCTTAAATGATACCGAAACTTCGAGTGAATGAAATAAGTGTCAGATTTAAATAATTACTACTGAATGGTGAAAATATGAAATTAGGAAATTTGTAACAAACATTATAATTCAAAAGTGAAACAAGCCACCCAAAAATAAAAATGAGAGGGAGGATTTATAAGAACGATGCATGCTTTGTCAAGTTTGAATTATTTATAAAAATTATTCTTATGCAACGTATGGATAAACTTATCGCATTTGTGCAGCTCAAGCTAAAATTTAGAAATTCAGAAAATTTGGACGCAAATCGATTGACATTATGTGGGCTGGTCCCAATATCCTATTGACAAATACTTTATTTTGTTTGTTGACCTCCTCCTTCTTCTTGTTCATCATTATCATCATCATCATCATCATCAATATGCTGCTTTTGTTAAGATGATGACAAGTTTTAAGTGTATGACGTGGGAAAGAAATTTTAACAATCTAAAATATACTACTAGCTATTGGTTATTTCATTGCAGAAAACATAAACACATGAAAATGGTGTTTTGATCCAAACATGACATTTGCTACTTGCTAGCTTTTCCTTCTATCATTAGTACTCTTTTCATGAAAAATATTTATCTCATTACTTATATTCCCTTCAACCCAAAATAATTGTCATATTGTTGAGCTGAAAATAATAAAAACAAAAGAACAATAATTTCACAATGAAAGAAAAATTCATTATGGTCCTAATTATAAATTACAAATTTGAACTAAGTTCAATGATAATTTGTTCCTTATAATTAGGACCTGAAAGACACTATTTAACGAATAAACATGATAATCATTTTGATACGGGTGAGTAGTATATGAGTCCTGTCTGATTCTACCGTAAGCACATTTGGTTCTTTCCCTTCTTCAACATCAGAGATTTAACAGAATCACAAAAGCATGGCACTTGGAAGCATTCACAAGCACACAGAAGAAAATCCTCTGCCTATGGCAGAACAGAACAAGAAGAAGATGCAGAAAGCATGGTTCTATGAAGAACATGGTCCTCCAGAAGTACTCAAGTTAGGATATATACCAATCCCAAATCCCCAAATGAATCAGATTCTTGTCCAAGTTAGAGCTGCTGCCCTGAATCCCGTTGATTCCAAGTTTCGCCGAAAACCAGTAGTATCATCAACTTTCCCTGTAAGACAGTTGATCAAAATAATTAAGGGCTGTCTTAATTATTGTATTCTAAATTTCAGACATTTTTTTTTTAATCTGATCTTTTAAATCTCCATTGATGCAGGTAATCCCTGGCTGTGACATGGCTGGTGTTGTGGTAGCAAAAGGAGAAGGCGTTTCCAAATTCGACATCGGTGATGAAGTCTATGGCAACCTCCAGGATTTCAATGTAGTGGAGAAGTTGAAACAACTAGGTGTTCTGGCAGAATTCGTAGTTGTGGAGGAAGATTTGGTCGCGAAGAAACCCGAAAACCTGTCTTATGAGGAGGCGGCAAGCTTACCGGTTGCGGTTCAAACAGCAGTGGAAGGATTCAGAGTTTCAGGCTTTCAAAAGGGACAGACAATCTTTGTAGTTGGAGGAGCTGGTGGTGTTGGAAGCTTAGTTGTTCAGCTGGCTAAACATTTGTATGGTGCTTCTTTCGTTACCGCAACTACGAGCAGCCCGAAAGTCGAGTTCTTGAAGTGTTTAGGAGTTGACAAGGTTGTTGATTACACAAAAACCAGATACACAGACATTGAGGAACAATATGATCTTGTCTATGACACCATTGGTAAATTTTTGTGTTACTTTTGTTCCGCAATTTTTTTGATCAAATTAAGCTACTTTCATCTGATGGTGTTTTAATCTTTTTTCTTTTTTCAGGCGATTCTAAGGATTCATTCATTGTGGCAAAAGATGATGGATCTATAATTGACATAACATGGCCACCATCGAATCCAAGGGCAGTGCATTCCGGCTTGACAGTTTCCGGCGAAATCCTTGAGAAGCTTAATCCATACTTAGAGACTGGAAAGCTGAAAGCTGTGATTGATCCCAAAAGTCCATTCCATTTTTACAAGGTTGTAAATGCTTTTAGATACCTTGAAACTGGAAGAGCTAGAGGCAAGGTTGTCATCTCCCCCTTCCCTTCTTTCTCCATTGATCAAACAGTTGATGATTTCCCAGAGTTTGATATGAAAAGATAGGAAGTTACCCGCCAACAAGATTTAATTTACATCAATCAGTTGTATTAAATCTGCATTTCAAATTCTAATACAACTACGATGTCAATTAATCTCAATTGTAATTAGAAATTTTCTCTATTTCCGATTCCCTGTAGACCTGCTTTGTCGGAGTTTTCCTTCTGCAACAAATTTCCTGAAATTGTATTGCAAATCAATCAGGAAATCCCAACTATTCGGCTATATAAACCTGATAAAAAAAAAAACCCAAAGCCACCAGCCAAAACGGAAAAAAGTCTCCGGCTTCCGGCGTAGAGAAGAATCCTGATTCCGATCAGTAGGAGGCTGAACAATGTTGCGCAAGAAGAAGAATTCCGTCAACATGAAATCCCTGATCGCGCATGCCCGAATGTGGGCCAGAGAAGCCGAGATGGAAAATCTAGAAGCTCGCCGGAAAGAGGACGAGGAGTGGCTGGCGTTGGAGGGACCCAAGTCACGCGCCGCCGTGAAAAGGGAGGAGAAAGCAGAGAGACGAGCGGAGGCGGCGGCCCGGAAAGCAGAGTCCCGAATGTTAGCGAAGATGGAAGAAGAGAAGCTAAGTAAGAAGCCGTTTTCTCCGCCGCCGAAGGTGACGGCGGCGGAACGGCGTTTTCAGCGGGAGGAATTGGAGAAGGCAAGGATGAAGAGGAAGATTCTGGTGAGCTGCCAGATAACGACGGAGGAAGAGTATGAACAGATGGTTGGGGTGATGAATACGAACCGGACCCGGTTTGATGGTGACGGTTCGGTTATGGAGTTGGAAGCGGATACGATTGACAGGGCGATTGCAGCCTTTATGTATAACGATCTTCCGGCGGCGGTGATGGTGGAGATTCGTCGTTATGGGAATCAAAAGGCGAAGAAGATCCACAATAAAAAACTAAATGCCAAACACAGCCGCCACAGTTATTTTGATTTTGCGGTTTATTAGTTTTTCGATTTTTTTTTCTCTTTTTTCTATTTGTTTTAACAAAATTTTTATTTCATGGAAGCTAAGTTTGAATGTTTGTGTTTCTTTTGATTATGCCAGGGATTTATAATTAAGAAAGTTTACGCGCAATTTAATAACTTGTAAACGGAAAATATCTTATATAAGTATTGGTAAATCGAAACGTGTATTTCTACCTCAGTTGTTATGAATGAAATGTGATTTATTTTAGTCTAATATCTTAAATTTTGCGGGATGATTAGGCTGATGGTATCAGAAGAAGTTGTCATATTGAGATTTGAAGTTTGGAAGTAGAAACATACGTAACTTTTTATCTTGATAATATTGTAATTTGTAAGTAAATATGTAATTATTTCAAAGAAATCATGCTCTTGAAAATACCTTTACAAAAAAGAAAAAAAAGATCTGGAAAATAATGAAATGTTGTTTATTTCAAGTGATTTTTACCATTTAACAAACATTGATGAAGTTTGAAAAAGAAAATTTGGGGGCAAAAGCACCAGACAAAAATTTTGGTTATCGAATCAAATTATATACTACAGTCTACACACACACATATATTTTATACAGACCTTTTTTGAGAGTTGAATGTAGTTTAGTGATTCGAATAAAGGGTTCTTTTGAGAAAAGTTCGAAATTCGTTCTCATGAGAAGTGGATTTTTGAGTGAAAAAAGAGAGAAATTGTCTATATTCTTGTGTTTATAACATTTACTAATCTTTAGGAGAATAATATTGCTTTGACTTGAATGAAAATCAAATTATATTTTGCTTCCCAATCACATATGCAAATCATCGATCAAAGCCGAAGAAGAACAAAAATCGTATGCATCGTCCGTATTTGGCTATGTTTGAGTAAATTACTGCAAGTATTGATGATGAGTTGATGCCGAGGGACGTCGGTTTTGCTTACAATAATAAGTAAAAGGTGCCAGTAAGGTTAACAAAATCAGAGTGGCGCAGCGGAAGCGTGGTGGGCCCATAACCCACAGGTCCCAGGATCGAAACCTGGCTCTGATATGAGAAGCTTCTCATACCACTCTCTTTTTCTTTTTTCCCAATCAGACCTAAGGGGCCCAACCATACATTTTCTTTCCATCTGAACTACAACACCACATCGGTCCATTGTCTCTTCACAATTTTTTTTTTTTTTTTAAAATCAAACTTTTATATAATTATATTAAACGTACATCAGGTATCCCGAGAACTTGTATGAAAGGGTCTTTTCCCTATAAAAATTAATTAAAATAAACGTAGACAAATTTAAATTTTTCAGAATATCTGTAGACAGGAATATATTACACGGATTTCTGAAATTCGAGTTCTGATTAAAATTAACGATTCGGATTTCGGAAATCTGAAACTCCATTTAATAATAAAATAATAATTAAATAAATTTTGTTGAATAATAGTTTTTAAAAATTCTTAAATGAACAGTACCGTTCGGATTTGCGGAATCCGAATTTAATTAAAAAATAATAAATTGAGGCGCAAAAATATTTGAACTCCTGGACTCCTTAAATAAACAATAAGACTCGGATTTACAAAATCCGATTTCTCAAAAAGAAAAAAAGATAAAAAGAAAATCGAGGCGCGAAATTTTTGAATAAAAAAACCGGAAGTCCATAATCCAGTTTTCTGTATTCGGATTTTGGAAATCCGATTGCTATTAATTTTGGTTGGTGGAAGTAGGCATGTGCCATAAATTGGAGGACCAAAAAATGAAAAAAAAAATTCAGAATTGACCAAACTCGGATTCTGGAAATCCGAGTCCACCGTAATTCGGATTTAGGAAATCCGAGTTACTTACGGACTCGGATTTTGGAAATCCGAGTTTATCGTGCTATAAAAGAAAAAAAATTCAGACAGTTCTCATTCGAGAACTGAGTTGGATTTTCTGTTTCTGCAGCTCAAACAAGACGAATTGGAGCTTTTGATGTATTCTTGTCTCTAGATACGTGGGAATCGTTATTTGAAAGAGGTTAGATTGCAAAACCATGTTATCTAGTTTAGTTTTGTGTTATTTTGATTGTTAGAATGATGTATGATAGATTAGGGTTTATGTTGGTTGGTTGTTTGGATGTTTTAAGTGTTGATTTTGAGGTTAGAGACGAGAAATCATAGTTATTCATGAGATATGGAAGTTAATTTATAAGTATTTTAGTATTTTATAGGTTTTTTGAATTATGAATGTAGTATGTATGGTGTATTTGTTGATTTTGTTATGAAGAAATGATTAGATATTGATAATTTTTTTTAAACAATTATCAATGGCACGTAATGTATCATACATGCTTAATTTGTTTCATACAAGCAAGTATGTGATAGAGAATGGTAGCATCAACACTTTTTCGAATATGCCGGATGATGGTTTGTTTGTTGAGGAAAGGTTGTCATATGAGGGGTTGATTAGTAAGATTTGTATGACACTTGGTTGGGATCCAGCACACGTGAAACTCCACCTTTCTTTGATTTTTGATTGTCCCGGTGGTAGGCGTGTAATGAAGATCAAGAATGATTCGCATGTAGAGTTCATGAACCATGTAAATCCAATGTCATGTTTGGATTTATACATAGATTTGGAAGATATCACTCACGAACAAAGAGAAGCGAGTTTGGAAAACAACGTGTCATTTGGTGGTTTTCCAAGGGAGGCACGTGATAGTACTTCTCGAAACCGTGATGAAGAGGAGAAACCTTTATTTGCACAAGATGACTACCGGGAAGAGTCGGATCCCGTCTACATAGCTCCAAGCGAAAGCGAAGAAGACTGTGATGTCTCCGAAGAGAGTGATTTTGAAGAAAGTGATGAGGAAAGGTTGAAAAATGAGGAAAGGGATTGTAATCCATTCCCTCGACGCCATGTATATAGTAAGATGGGGAAATGGGATGCCTCATGTGTGGATAACGATGAGTTTGCTCTTAGGATGTGGGATGAGACGTCCGAAGGAATGGACATTGGTGTTTGTTTCAAATCCCAATCAGAAGCAAAGCATGCTGTGAAATTATGGAATATCCATCATAAAAAGGAATATACGGCCGCCGCGAGTAGTTCAACGACGTGGGCTGTGCGGTACAGAACATTAAATGTGGAAAGTGAGAATGGTGAACCACCGTGTGAGTGGAAGATGCGTGTGTCTTTGAAAGCTCACGGCCTTCATGAAATTGTGAGATGACATGATGCACATAATTGCATGACTCCCGTGAATGATAATGACAAATCAATTCCTCATTTTTTTTTTTCAGAGAAAATTAATTAGATTAAATATTACTGCGTCAATCCCAAGAAATTTTAAAATTATATACTAAGATTAGTATAATCTAAAATTGATTATATTACTAAATAATTTTAAATTTAATCCAATTTTTCGTATTATTTTTTTAATTTCCAAGATTAAGTTACTAGTATTTTTATATTTTAATTTTTTAAAATTAAACAATTTTTTTGGGGCGGAAGTAGTACATTGTTCTCTTTGATCAGTTATATTCCTTTGTTTTTATTTTCTTGAAGAGAAAATTAAATTAAATAATATATCCTTAACCGGAAAAAAATTAAATAAACGTCCTTCTCTTGACATAGATTCATTAACAAAGAGGATAAAGAAAACATTACCATATTTATGTTTGGAGATGGATGGATTCTGATTCTATCTGACGAGTCCAATATACGCGACTCTCAACCGTGACCAGCCCAAGTTCGAGAAACGATCCAACCGACAATTCGGCAGCTTCTAGGTCGGTTTCTAATTACTTTTCTACCAAGAAAGGGTTTTACAACCTAGCTCTATAAATAAGGATCAACCCTTCACATAAAAGGTACGCTCTACGCACCACAATTCATACCCTATTACAATTACTCTTACTGATTTAAGTTTCGGAGTGTCTACCCTCGGGAGACCCCGAGGCCCTCTTTTGCAGGTTTTAGGGTTTTGATTCCGCCATGGCAGCCGGAGCAACTAACCGGAGACATTGGCGCAGATCCATGCTTCGTCAAGTGGCACGCCCAGTGAAACCCCTAGGGTTTCCCATACCAAATCTTCTTGCGAAGAAGGTGAAAATTGAGTTTGAACGTCTCCTTCCGATTGCGGAGAGCAAAATTCACGCATCACCATGATAAGGCACAAGCTTGAGCCAAATCACGGCCACCAGGTTTTGCGTTTTCGATTAATTATGATTTCGATGTAATTAACTAACCGTATCTTGACCTACATGCACGAATCCCACCTTTTTGTGTCATATCCGAGAACATGCCTTGGTTTGATTGGATATGGGGCTGGCTATTCTTGCGTGGTTCCTGCCATACACACACACACACACACACATATATATATATATATATATCTATATATATATCCATGAAGCTTATACTTATTTATTTGATCAAAATCAGCCCAAGAACCTATTTGTAGTCGTGCATTGTTGCTCACGTATAGGGGTCTATTTTGCTCATGTGGTCACCATTACTCATGCATGGATTGCCTGGACATAAGGTCGAAGAAACTACATTATAATGACATGCTTTATTGGTTTACATAACTACTGGTTAACTAATTCATGTCTCAGTAAAACCCATAATATGACTAGCGTTTAGGGTCCACAAATAATTGTTCAATCCAATTATTAATTTTATGAGCAAAACTAGCATTCCTAGACTTGGCATTATTTTGAGACGAAATCAGTCGTGTTGCTTTTGGGGATTATGCAATAAGCTTCGTCGTTCAGGTGAGAAACACAGTTCTCGACGGCAAATTGTTACTAGTCCTTTATTCCAATTCTTTATGTCAAATTTTAGGACAAAATTGCTCGTTTGTTTTTATACATGCTCGAGGCAGGACTTCCTGAGAAATATGATAGCACATGTCATAACAACTGATTAAATTATCTTGAAAAGCAAGACTCAACTTGTTCACGATACAACACTTCAAAGGCTTTAAAGATTTTTCCAATTGTGATTAAAACGCCCCAGTACTTTAAACAGTATAGT